AATTAAGATTAGCCTTCTGTGAATCTTGTATACACCGAAACACATATTTAACCGCCAACCCTCTCAAGTCTCTCAGCTTAAAGGGGCCCTGTTATGGGAACTTTTTAGGGTCTTCCCTTTCCCGGGTTTGCAAAGGTTACAATTTCCCTCCAGAGGGAGTTTATCTCCCACACACTCCCCCCCTGCCTGAAACGCCTCACTTTGATTGTTTATTTCTGTAACATAGTGACGTCGTAACACATTATGTAACAATAACGCTTCTATTGGCTAGAGCTCCAACACATCGTGATAGGCTAAGGGGCAGGACATCTCTAAGTGGTTGACCAATCGCAACAGAGCCGGCCAGCTAACCAATCAGAGCAGACTGGGCTCTGGTTTCAGACAGAGGGTGAAAAGAGGTTCTGCAGCACAGGCAGTATGAGAAAAATAAAGAGCTTTTTGAACCTTAAAGCATGGAGACATGTCGCAGTAGAGGCATAGAATACAAATACCCCATTATACAAATGAGCATAATGGGCTCCCTTTAACACCTAAGCAGTGAGAGCTATTTCATTATTTGACTCTATATATGGATTCTGCATTTTGTTTTGGTTTTAATTCCTTTAATCAAACAACTTAGACTCATTAACTTGAAACCGATCTTTCCCCAGAAGGATCCTTCACTGAGCTAAACTATTTCATCAACAGCATTTCATATTTTTAATTAACACAACACGAGATGCAGCGTCCTTCTCCGTCATCAGCAAGGAATAAATTAAACTCGGGCTTAATGAAAATGCTCAAGACAGATTTGGGTTGTACTGAATGATGTATGAAGACGTGTGAAGATTTTCTTTCATTTGAATCGCAGCCTTTCAATTAGCAGTAGGGCGCTACAGATTGCTGTAGGAGATTTGAATTATACGTGTAAATATCACTGGAATGCAGTGTATTGATGTGCGTACGAGCTGGGGAAATTAAATTGCTTTGGATTTGGAAAAACACCTTTTGTCTTGGACGTTTCAATCAGAACAATAAGCGGAAACCTCTCATTAAGACGGAACACAGACTGAAGTCTAAACTTGTGATTGCTTCTATATGCCTGGAAACTAACAATGGAAAGAAGAATGCCTCTGTGAATTCATAATAGAGCTGAGTTTTCCCACCAAATTGTACCTAAATTATTCCAATTTCAACTAATCTGCACCTGGAAATATATGGAAAATACCTCTGGGTGGGCTCTTTTTCCTTCTAATAGCTCTTTTATTACATACAGAAGGACCTGGCCATGACTCAAATGAAATTCTCTATCAGTATTAAACGGCCCCAGGGTTAAGGAATAAAATATGAGCACTAAAATAAGTCCTGGACTAAAATCAAGAATCTTTAGTCCACTAAGTTCCACTTGCCAGCCTTTCAAGGTTTCCTTAATCATAGTTTGATTATTCATCATAGTTTCTAGATATGGAGCTCTTGCTTTATGATAACAGGTGGTCTTATGGGGGAGATTGTAAACCTTGTCTCTGGTTATCAACTGTGTTTTTCTCAAATAAGGGATAGTGGCACTGTGCCAAGGGGCTGCAAAGTTTTAGATTACAAACAGTTCCAATGGCTTCCAAAAGAACAAATGACAGTTAGCATTCGCTTCGGGGGGATCCTTGGAAAATCTTTTCCCATGAAATAGATTTCCTGGCCCCAGTAAAAAATAAGAATCCCTGGTCTATTGCTCTCAGGTCATTTGATGACAACTGAGCCCCTCATCTACTGATAGAGGCCATGGGGGAAATCTCACAAGTTAACCTTGTGTTGAAATGATTTCTTCAAACAAGTTTTCCCTTGATTTCCTGTAGCATCAGATGCAGAAATGTGGCAATAATTAGAAATGTCTCTGGAAACAAATCCCAAGAAATCAAAAGAATGTCCCCGTAGTTCTGTTGGTTTATCCAAAGCTAGATTAAGCTTTTTGGTCTGTGTAAAGACCAGCCTTCATTCTGCATCTGCACATTATTCCTTAACTGGTTGAAAGCTCTGGAAAAGTGGACCTTAGGTTAAGATTTGTAAACAATAATTTCAAGAATAAAATGTCATGTTCAACATGGCCTATGTCAATTATTTTCACTTGCTAACACATTCACTTCTCTGGTGCATTAATACTCTAGCACCAAATGTGTATTAATCTACAGTCCAAGAGTCTCTAAAAATGCACCCGAGTAACAATTGCTTAAAAACTAGCATGCCCAGCTACTCGAGAAAGACACTGAAACCTTACAAAAAGAATATACATATTCTTGTCATTGTAAATCCTCAGGAGGAGTTGTGGGCTTGAGGCCGAGAGCCACAGGTGAAGGAGGGAAGTAAGAAGGCATTTAGAAATACACCAACAACATTTGTTTTTTGATCTGATCACAGGATTTGCTGACTGTTCTGAAGAATACAGAATATTGCCAGCGAAGATTGGTCGAAATGCAAACTCCAAATGGAGTCGAAATCAAGACGGCGGACAAGAAGGGGGTCCATTTGGTTGACATTTTATTTCATGGTGGTAGGAACACAAGACAAAGGTCATAGAGTTAGTAATGTTCAGGTCATGCCACTCGTACGCGGGGCACTGGCCTTTGAGGAGCTTTGCAGTCAGACAGTAGTTTACAGAGGCCGGACATGGAGGGTCATCCACATGTAGACATAAATAAGGAACAGAAAATAGATTCCAAAACAGTAAATAGAAGATCTTTTCGTAAAAAGCCGGAGGGGACATTTGCAGAGCCCCCCCCCCCGGGATTATTTTTGTGTACAGTATGAGCATTATTACTGATATAATTATCATTATTATTATGTATTACTCCTTTACATTATGGGGATGAGGCTAATACACTGGCTAAAATAAGGAAACAGTTATATGGGTGACGTCACCTGCTCAGAGAAGAGGTGATTGGGTTTTTAAGGCAAATAGTTTCAAACCATAGACTGCTATCGTCTTAATGTTCTCGAGTCCATCCGAATACACAGGGATTTCTCCTTTATTAATGTCGCCACCTGAGCGGATCAAATTCAAACAATGGTACAATAAGACCAGTCCAAGGTTAATAGTGCTGGAATTTTAAATGTGTCTTGCATCAGAAAATAAGGGTTTCCTGGTGTGGACACTCAACAACACAGTTATAGCTTCAGGGCTTTCCCTCCCTACATGAGTATATCATCATGTGGGCGACATGGTTCCAGTGTATATTACTAAAAACATAAACCTCCACATATAACACATTTGCTAAGTTCACAAGGGCTGTACAAAAAACAATGATGATTTAAGAAGGAAATTAAGAAAAGAAAAAGTAGCACAAGACCATTCGATACTCGACCATGAACAGGCATGATTTTGTCTCAGAGTATTGCCAAAGTTCTCATATCAAAACAAAGTGTCCTTTAAGTCGGTCAGCGCGGCTTATTGTGGAGCGAAGACGACTTCACCACGTTGCATCAATTCACTGAAAGTTACAGAATTCGCACTAGTAATACAAACCCATGCGTCACTATGTTAATTTGCAAGTACTGTAGGATTATGCATCGGTTTCCCATGTTTGCGGCTGTTATGGCTCCAAAAAGTCACAACAACGTCTTTCTCTGGACAGCCGGAAAACAAAAGAGTCCTCCAGGAATGCTCCGAGGTCAAATACGAAAAGAAATGGAGTCTCAGAAAGAGTTTTTGAAAATATTTCTGTTTGACGGGACATTCCCAAGAGTGGTAGCTCTCCTCATGATAAGATCTCTGCTGGCCTCCTTCCTGTCTGTCCTTCTTCAGTCTTTGCTTTCAGCACCTCCTTAAGGTCAGATATGGTAACAACCTCTTCCCCGTATGCACCATTCAATGTCCTGCAAAACTAACTGCTCCCAGGAAAACATGTTTTAAAAAAAGGCCATAAAAGATACAGGGGATGAACAAATATAAAACATTATTCCGAGCTCAGTGGGAATAAGAGAAACCTTTTTTTCTTTTCAAAATAAAACTAGAAACAAAAACCAGATTCAAACCAACACTGCAGAAGTGCATGCATTTATAGTGGTCATCATTAGTTTGGATTGTAAAACAGAACGCACAATAGTATATGAGAAGCAAAATTCTCCAAAGAGAACCCATCTTACATATTCACAGTCTCAGGTATTATTTATATACTCTATATTTATAACATTTATTCATGTCTTGACTTATGACTAATGATATGCGCGTCATTGTGGAGCGCTCTCTCCGTCATGTCGGCTTGAAGTGTTAGTGAGTCATATTTCAAAACTAGAGGCTCTGATGGGATTCAGATTGAGTGGAGAGTTTTTTTTTCTTTTTTGGGGAGGGCGCTCTGCGATGGGGGTTGATGGAGTGGTCTCGACTGTGTACTTTCTCACCGTAGCAGCTTGACTGATATCTGAAAAGTCCCATTAGGAAAAAACAGCGGGCTACTGGTGGCTGATTACATTAGAGTTTCTTGTGTGGAGTCGCCAGCTGGTCACAGTATCAAAGAGCCACAGTGGGGGGGGGGGGGGGGGGGGGGGGGGGGGGGGGGGGGGGGGGGGAATGTATGTCTATCATGGAGGTACGGTACGGGCCATGCTTGGGGAATGTGGACGATAGATATGGCACCAAGACAAGGCCGTCACCAGAGATCTGCTGCGACGTCCACCAGTGTTCAAGTAATGAGCGAGGAGGGAAAAAAGGAGCAGGCTTCTTTTTTTTTTTTAAGTTGGCGTTTGTTTTAAAACAACAAAACTGACAAGAATAAAATATCTCCCTTTCACAGAGATGCCTGCTTTTTGAAAAAAAGAAGATATATATGAAGGGGCCAGGGGCAGAAAGAAGTGTGTTGTGTTTATGGAGGTGCAGATAAAAAAAAAGAAAGAAACAAATATATAAAACAAAAATTAAAACAACATTTCCTTTCCATATAAAAAGCAATGAAAAGTATACAAAAATAGAAAATAATTACAGCAGGAGACATGGCGCTATGGAGGGAGCGAGTGGGAGGTTTCTTATTTTTCTCCGTTTATTTTCTCAAGATTCGGTCTCTGCTGGGTTATTTGGCGGCGGAGCAGTGTAGTATTTTGGGGCTGTTTAGGGCGTCTTCCACCAGGTGGAGCTCCACGCCGTCCACCACCACATCCTTGATGCAGCCCATGTAGCCCGTGCTGTAGGCTTTGGGCAACCGACGGGCCACCGCCAGCTCCTCCAGACCACCTGGGGGGGGACAGGGGGGTTAATACAGGAAGTTCAGAGTAACACTTATACACACATATTAAAGAAAACCCCAGAAAATCTGAGAATATAATTACTCAAACTACAATTCCGAATCTACAATAAAAATGGTCACTGGCCAACTTTGAGAATTTCACACATTTTTGAATGTTTTCAGACAGACTAAGGGGATGAACAAATTCGAAATACACATTTAGTTGTTTATTTTAAAGAGGCCCTAATATGCTTTTTGATGTTATCTCATTCCTGATGTTTGCAATATAGGTTTTTGTGCATATAAATGGTCTGTCAAGATTAAAATCCCAAAGTTCACTCCGGTAGTGACATCACTACACATTGTACGTGATGGGCTAAGGAGTGGGACATCCCTAAGTGGTTGTCCAATCTCAACAGAGCCCCCTTTAATGGCTGTGTCTATTTCTTTTAGGATTTCTTCTAAATGTACCAAAAGCTGCCTCATTAGCATTTTTAATACACAAGTGGATTAAGTGCAAATACACTGTGTGTGAGCTTTGTTTGCAATAGGGCTGTTATCTCATGTTTTACATTTAGAAGCACACACCAAACTTTCTAGATGTATTGCTTTCTATATTCTAAATGTTTAGTTCAAATAACATTGATAGTAATATGACATTTTGTTGTTAGAAGTATGGTGAAATGTTTTATCTGATTTATGGAATGATGTAAAGCGATGTCTAAACATTCCCTTTGTGAAATGCTTTAAATGTAATATGTCAATATCCAATGTTCAAATGCGTAATTTGCATATTTAAACATTATATTACGGAAACTTGAATTAGCAGAAAGTACTGTTTTGTCAGTTATCAACTGGAGTAGTTTAAATGGTGAAACTAGTATCTGTATTTGAATTATTACCATATTCATATGCAGTATCTCCACTCTAAGGGCTACTGCAGTTATTGGACAAGCACTCAACCTCTAGTTGCTACATTTCCCATAGTGCATTGCATTCCCCACCCAGCTTCTCTCTTACAAATGTTCAAGATTGGAGCCAAAAAAAAAATCCCCAGATGATATCTTCAAGGGTGAAGACATTACACAATTATCATCAAGGTATGCCCCTTTAAAGATAAAAAAAGAGAAAGGATAGGATTTCAGTTCAAGATGAGACCTTGGAGATGCCTTCAAAAGGCTGTACCGGAAATATATGTTCCTAGAAAAATCTATTTCTGGGTCTAAAGTAGTTACTTGTGTTTGTCAGGCTTTGTACTTCTTTTATTCTCATGGCGACGCCAGCGGATGTACATGACAGGTTGACACTTTATATGTCAAAGCGCCATGATCAAAGGCAGAAAGCTTCATGCCAGCCAGAGTTAGTTAAGATAGACGGGAGTGAAGCTTCCCTCATTTGAAACGATGAACAAGTGCTCAAAATGTTCCACTAATGAAAGGTGATGACAGAAAGTAACATTATATATACCTGACATCCTCATTATATCTAATTTGTTTCAGTCTTAAAGGTGGGGTATGTAATTTATTTCAGAAACACTTTTTGTTATATTCCATGGAATGCTCTTAACATCCCGATAGCAATGAATATATTAAATGCTTTGACAATAAATACATAAAAAAATGTCATCTGTGGAAGCCGTAGTACTGTAAAAAGCACGACCAATTATCTGAGCCGGCCCGGCTAAAATAACTGGATGGCCTACCTGCCTGTCAGCCTTCCATCTGTGCACAAACTTATCTCGTGCCCTCATTGGTCATGTGCACGTTCGTGTGTGTTGGAGGAGAGGCTCTGTAAGGAAGTCTGAAGGAAGTGGCAGATTTTTCTCGGCTGCGTAGTTTCAAATTCTAGCGCACTCGAGCTGGTTTCTCCAAAATTACATACCCCACCTTTAAGAGCTAATCGCTAATTTCTCTCCCTAAATATCACCTGTCCATCAAATACTCCGACAGCTTTTCTTTAAGTTTGACTCCTTAGGTGCTGCTCTCTTCTGTGCTAACCACCCACTTCTTCCTGTATTAATTCAAAACAAACCAAAGAGATAAAATAAAAGCCATTTTCTGTGCGACAGGTAGCAAGTCAATGGAAATGGTAAAGGGGCCAAATTACCCCACTTCAAACTACTTTCTATGAAAAAAACAAATCCCTATAAAAACTGTTGGCAGCATGTTCTGGGACACTGTTTCTGAAAAGAGATGTTGCTGTTCAATTTTATTTAAAGGTCCTATGTCATGCTTTTCCGGTTATTACCCGTCCCCTTGTGTGTTATGAAGGTTTTTCTGCATGTAAACAGTCTGCAGAGTCACAACCCCTCAAAGTACACCCTGTAGCGAGTAAAACTCTAACACAGAAAATACCTGGCTATGCTGCTCAAATGGACCCATTGGTCCAAATGGACCAATCCGTGGAGCCGTTACGTTACGTCCGCGGAGCCGTTATGTTAAGTCCGTGGATTGGTCCAAATTGACCAATCCGCGGACTTCCTCACACACTCAATCATTTCTCAGCTGCAGCTCCGCCGATTCCTCCTCCCTGAGACGGCGGGACGCGGCGAGGCTGTGAGTCTGTGTGTGTTCGGGCTGGGTTTTGCTGTGTCTCGCTGTCTCGCAGACGGCCACTGGGCTCACAGGGAGGGGGGGGCAGGAGCTCCAACAAGCCGTTTAGGACAGAGAGTGAATACACATACTATACAGAGATGCTGTATGAGAAACCAATGTGATTTTGGAAAATTGCACAATATAAATCTATTCTAGTATACCTCAACAATGGAATTATGATCAGTAGAAATGGCCATGACATGGGACCTTTAAAGCAAATGTTGTAGAGCTGTAAAATACCAAGTACCATTCACCTTCATTGTAGTGAGGTGGAGAAAAAGACACAAACAATAGATATGTAGTTTAAGGGGCCCTATTATGTTATCTTCAGGTTCATATTTGTACTTAGTGCCTTTACTGCGACATGTTTACATGCTGTAATGGTCAAAAGGCTCTTTATTTTTTCTCATATGTCTGATGAGTCACGCTGTGTGTGTCCGTCAGGAAACACGCTGTTTACAAACAGTTCCTGCAAACATCCACTGATAAATTGCGATGTTAACAACCTCATGATAACCTCATATTTTTTTAACTTAGGATCGTATACCTGTGTTTAGTCTAGAAAAAGGTAAATGTGTGCATTTTATTATAAAGTTGTGTATATTTACAGACTGTTGCAAAAACTAAGAAGCTTATAAACATCAGGTTTAAAACTAAAAGAGCTTTACAAAAAAGTAACAATTAAAGATGTTTGGAGTTTTATTTGAGTTATTAATTTACATTTTTTGTCTAAGAGATGCTGATTTGAAACCGTTGTTACATACAGTTACGGCATTTCCTGTTTCTGCCGGAGAGAGGGGAGTTTGTCCCAAAGCTTGCCGCTGTATTTACTCCCTCCATCTGACAGGAGGGAGCCTCGTTGAGCCGCGAGTGTCACTCCACAGAGTTCACTCCGTCACGGAGGGGTAAGTGTGTAGGGGTAGGGTGTAGGGCGTGGTTTGGGATTGGGCCTATATGTGTTGGAGCGCTACCCAATATAGGCGCAAGTGTTTCATAGTGATGCCCCTATCTGACGTAAGTAAACAGAGGAGTTTAATCGAGCAAGAAACTCTCTCTGGAGGGACCTTTGGGATTTGAGTCTTTGAAGACCATTTAAATGCACAAACATCTACATAACACACTACAGGAAAGAGAAAAACACCAACAAGCATGATAGGACCCCTTTAAATTGATTCTTTATGAAAACATGTTAGAAATGGCTGTCTTTTAAGCCTCTGAAATATGAAGGTTTCTTGATTTTCCCTATTTTATATCATATCAAAGGATCATTTCTTTGGATTTGAGACTGACGAAATTAGACATTTACGGACTTTTAGTGGATTTTCCTGTATTTCCTGACATTTTGTATACCAAACGATTAATCTAGAAGATAATCAGATTCATCTGGGATTGCAGCGCTACAAGAGATAAAAGGAAACACTTGTAATTTTACTCAAAATGAGCCTTTGAAGCACTTGTGCGCTGGATGCAAATTGTCTCACTAAAGCGTTTTATCTATCAGTCATAGAACGTTTTAAAAATGGAAATCTCTTAATATGAACATATTGTGGATTCGTACTTCAAAGTGTTTCAGCCCCTTGTATCTTCCATTCAGCTTTAACTTTCCTGCACTTTTTCTTCCTATTTTCTTCTTATACCGTCCTTTTGAGGAGACGTGGTGACCTAATTGCTGGGTGTGCTGTTGCCTACTTTCTCCTTTTGATGATGTGTTGAGCTTCCCTTCTTTGAGCCAGCACGCTCAAAGTCATTAGTGTCTCTCAATAAATCAGCGTGAAAAGTCTTTATGGAGAGTTTGAGATCTGTTACTGGGAGAGTTTCTGACCCCAGGTTTTGATGTTTTACCTGCTCTCGGTCTCCCTCTCTATCTACACTTCCAGAACTCTCCAGCATCCTCCTCCTTCTCCTCCCTGTTTTCTCTCTTTCTAATCTGTCTGGCTGAGAGTTCATTTCACCAACGAGCTCCTTACATCCCCTGCCCCTAACCCCTCTAATCGGATTGCGCGCCTCAGAATCGGGGATCGACAGGGCTAATTTCATGCAAGTTACAGATGAATTAATGATGAACAGTCTGAAGGGGATTTAAAAAGGAGAAGGGCTCTCGACGGGGGGGCTGTGTGAGGATTATGTATTCCTGCTGCAGGCTCTCAGCACCTGTTCTGGCGCTCTGCCTCCCTGTGAGTGTTTGTGTACCTGAGTACACCTCTACATGCAGCCTCTCTTCTAAGTCACTCTGCACTCAAAAGGAAAAAAACATGACTTTATTTCAATGTTATTTCCTCCGAATGCTCTATACCGCTGTGCCGTGTGTGTTCTTTCAGAAAAGCCATTTCTCCGAGCTAAGTTCAGACCAAATATGAGAAGCAGATAACAAGGCAGCTTGGTCATTTTTAATTCAGGAGAGCAGACAACTTTTCACTCAGACAGCCTTTCATTTCTCAAGTCAATACCTGAATGGGCTCGGACACTTTTCTTTTGCCCAAACCGCAATGTTTTTTCCCCGTCTGAGACTTTGCTTATCCTCTGCAATGCCAATGAGTTCATTGCTCATTTTTGGCAGCGCGTTGGAAGAAAGAGTAGTACAGAATTACAAGTATTCCCTTGACTTTCTTTTACATTTGTGGGTACCAGTGACGGTCATATTGGTTCCTCTACTCTGACATGTGCTTAAATGTTTGTAAAGTGCTTTATGCGAGAGAGAAACTCTGTCTGGACAGAACTTTTCGGATTTGAGCCTTTCCAGACGATTTACATGCACAAAAACCTATACAACCTATGAAGGAAAACCCCTTGAAAACCATGAAAGGGCCGGTTTAGGAGAAAATGTTAATGTAGGAATTTAACTTGTGATGGAGTATTTTGACAGAAATGTATTGGTACTTTTATTCAACTAAAGATCTGAATGCTTCTTTCACCAGTGGTGGGGACCTACCGAGCCACAGCGCTCCGTCTGTGTCCAGCTGCGTGGCTGCCAGGGGCGACGACCCTGTTACCGCTGCCTCATTGCCGACCTGCAGAGAGCCGTCTCTGAGTGCTCTGAGGAGGAGAAAGAAGAAGAAGAGAAAGTTGAAAAGTGATGCATGCATGGCATGGTGAATAGCTGTAAATTGGAGTTTCATTTAATCTCAAGCATCGAGACTCCATTGCTGTGCTGCCAGCGCACTAAGCACTCCCATAACTGCCTTTGCCAAGCAGCGTTCTAAATGTGCCTGTCTACAAAGCTAACAGATGTCGCGAGAGCGCCATTCATTGTAGGTGGCTCGGCGCTACGCATTAGCGCGCACTTAAGAATTGTGGCGACGGGGCTAATTTGAACCCATTAAAGTGTGTTTCCAGCAGTGAGAGGGTGTCGTTAACGGCAAGCCGCAAACACAGATATCTATGTAACCACATGCTGCGGTTTACACCATCATCACATTCAAATTATGTCATCTCATGTGGCCTCCCTGCAAAAGCCTGGGATGTTTGGATGCAGCGTCTTCTTTCGGAGGATCGATTAGTCTCGCTTTACATGATGAAGCCGATCTAATTATCCCCCCCGATTCTTTCACCCACAGCCACGTTTGAAAGCAAATGTTGGGCAGAGATAAAGCAGAGATCCCGTGGAAGGTGTTAAGTGGGTCGTTCTCAAAGTTCAGGAAGTTAATTTGTTTCTAATGAAGGAATCCGTTAATGTGACATCGCTGTGTGGCAAAAATAAATCTGTGCTTTGTTTTTTTTATACATCTGAATGAAGATTCATGTGCTAAACTAAAACCTTTGTTAGTGTGACTAATGTGTGAGTGATTTATTTGGTGTACACTCTAAACTCATGCTGTACGTGTATAAGACTGAAGTATGAGATAAACACTATTACTAGTGTCAACCTTAATGATAAGAAAGGTTTTATTTTATGATTCTATTCATGCTGATTCTATATTAAGGATTCAAATAGGATCAACATATCTAATAAGAATGCTGTATGTATACATTATATACATACACTTTTTTTATATATAATTTATTCCTTTTCTGGATACATTACCGCTAACGTGCCATATGTTTTGGGATGCTGCCGCGTTTTCTTCCTTTTTGAACGATATTAACGTGGCTAAGCAATTCCATGCTCGGTGCGTCATACTCATGCATGACCGGCATGAAAATAACCTTAATGTGAAACTAATCAGAGGCATCTCAGTGCAGGGGGATCACTGTCTAGCATTGAATTCATGCTTCAGATCACACACCGTTCGCAGCAACACAAACACAATATGGATTAAGTGTAATCCCGGGGTAACAGCTGATCCGCGGCTCACCTGCTGGCCTTGATGCGTATCCAGCGGTTGGTGTTGACGCGCACCGAGGAGCGCAGCACCACGGGCTTGGAGCCCAGGTCGTATGTCATCTGGATGTGTCCGTCAACGATGGCCAGGGCGATGTAGTCGGAGCGCTCCACGCCCTTCCCGCTCCACAGCACCAGGCCCTGGGTCGCCTCCGTCCGGATGCTCAGCTCAAATTTGTTCACCAGCAGAGCCTTCTCGCTGCGAGGACAGGAAGCACATCAGTTAGCTATTTGGACTGATTTTTCAAAGAGAGAGCTAACCTTTGGCATACATAGCCTTTGTCATGTATGGCATATGTGAAACGAGAAATCTCTGCTGTACATTACCCATGATTCATTGACATGGTTTTCTACAGTCTTACGTGTTTTTAAAGCTGAGCTAAGGAGTAGGAGGGAGCTGTTTTGATATTAGCTTCCCTACATCCTACTGAGCCTGTACTGCATTGCTGCTCAGTGCTTTCTGTGTGTGCGTGTGTTTGTGTGTGTGTCTTGAGGCAGCTTTTTGATCTCTAGTCCCTCGAGCTGCGGGGGTGATTTGGATGCAAAGACTTGGCGACTTCCACCTTACCACTGTACGTCACTGCCACTGGTGGGTGAGGGAAACTCAACACATTGATGTGCTCCTACTGTACCCTCACACATACAGTCCTGCATACAAACACCCTAACAGAGTCCTGAAGAGATAAATAGCCGACATCCAGGGTCACAACTTCAATCTGTGTGTATGTGTGCGATTGTGTGTGTGTGTCATCAATCAGCATGTGTGCAAAGGTCTGCACATCTGCCAAGTGGATCTACTTCCACCTTCTTCAAAGGGTATCCGAACACAAAGACACAGACAAGGTGAGGACACGTACAACAAAGAACAAATTACACGTGGATTTGGTAAAATAAAAACAAGAGCTGGAGACAAAGATTAGACAAGACAGACGACAAGACAAAGGAGCAAGCATAGCAAACAAAGAGGCTCATGGGAGTACAAATAGGACAGGAAATGGGAAAGAGAAACTGGCAACTTCTCCTTACACTGTAGGAGTATTCCCTCATTTTCTTTTCATTATGGAGCAAGAATAAAAAGAGCATTGGTAAAAGAGTCATGGGATGGTATGTAACTTTGAGTTTTTTAACTGCTGGCCTCATGTTAGGCCACTTTGACCCCTGAGGCTAACAGTAATAGTGGTTCACCTCAGCAGAAGTGGGGAACGAATCAAGTAACTGCTTCAAAAGCATGCTTTGGTTGGAAACTTGACCCCCTTGATTAACTAAAACTGCTGAGGTAAACACGAACAAAAAAGAATGATTCAGGAGAATGTTTATTTTCTCCAAAGAGAGAAAAAAAACACAGCTCAGTGTACCCTCTCCTGGCAAACCCTCAAAGAGCTTACAGGGCCCTATAAATCTCCATCGGAGCGGCGTGTCGGTGATAAGGTCAAGGTTATTAAAAGTGCAGAATATATCATGAATAAAACAACGCCGGCACACCGCATATACACCACTGACTTCACAGATTGCTGGTGTGTTTCTCTTTGGAAATAGGATTTTTATCTATCTCTTATATGTATTCAAATTCAAAAGCTTTTTCAGAGTGCCGTCCTTTATTCCATCTCTAGGTGGCAGTAGTGGTTAGAATAATAACAAGCCATCAGGGAGGACAGCTGCTGCAGAGAGGCTGGCTCCTTCTGTGCTCCTTATCAGAGCTCTGAACTTCAGAATTAATTGAGGCTCTTTGTGATTCCTATTGGTAACTCTATCTCGATAATGGGAACAATGCTGTCTCTGGGGAGGAGGGTTTAGCCCTGTGAGAGGTCGGGGAGGGGTTGTCTGGAGAGGAACGGAGGGGATGAGGAGATGAGAGGCGAGTGGAGGAAGTCCAAAAAAGCGTTTTGAGAGACTCACCTCTGGTCAGATGGGTTCTCCAGAGACTCGGGACTTAAGGGAGCAGGGGGAGAAAGTCAACGGCATGCAGTGTAAGCGCAAGAGGCCAGAAGGAAAGAAGGAAGGAGGGGAAGGGGAGGATGTTGTGAGCCCACTGGGTGACTCACAGACTAGTTTAGACCTGGAGCTGCAAAAAAGCATAACTTATCCGCTCTACTACAGTATCGACTGAGTCAACAGTCGATAACAACTGCTGTGTGATCATGGGAAGTATGTAGCTTAGCCCGGATCACAACACAACCATAAAAGAAGGATCTCAAAGGAACTCGTCTGATCAAGACGGATGAAAAATGCACCATAATGCCCTAGAGATAAGAATTGCAGCATTTTAAAGGGGACATATTAATATTTTCAGTTTCATACTGGCTATTTTGGGTTTGTTACAAAACCATGTTTACTTGCTTTAAATGTAAAAAAAAAACACATTATTTTCATTATATGGTCTGTCTGAATATACCTCTGTTTACCTTCTGAGTGAAACACCTAGTTTTGGCCCCTGTCTCTTTAAGACCAACTCTAAAAAGCCAGTTAGTTTTGGTTGGCTTGGAAACAAATTGCAAAGGTGGTTCCCTAGCCTTTGGTTGAGATTTTTGTGAAATATTTGTGTTGTAAAATGATTTGTTGGCTGGTAGGACCCCATATGCCTTAAATGTATATGCACACTGACTGATATTTCCCCTTTAAACGTGAGCATCAAGATGAAATACACTCATGGTCCACACAGGTACGAAGGCCACCTTAAGGTCCAATTATGTACTTACTACTTTGAATTCATGATACAGCAAGCCACAGTGCAGCCGCAATTACCTTCTGTCTCGAGATGGAAGCCGTGATTGAGAAAAATTGGGCAATTCTTTAAAAAAAATGTGGTCAAGCACCATATCAGTTGCGAGTCATGGTAAGATATGATTTGTCACGGAAATAATAAGCTTGAGCAAATCAACCCAAGCCTTTAGATATGGGCAGAGAGGTGAAGGGGGAGCGTTCAAAGGGTGCTGTAAATAGTAACGGCAGAATTAACCTGAGGTGAGCGCTTGACATTTTGGCCTCGCCAGCTCTTAATGGCCCCTCGAGAAATGTTTTCATTTCCCTTTACAAAATCAAATTATGCCAAATTGATCGGAACGCCTTCAGAGTGCTCGCGCCAAGGCTCCAGTTTGCTTAGGTTCACCCTCATTGTGGCCCTTAGTAAATGTGACATCCATTTAACTTTTGACAGTCTGGCTCCAAGGACCACTGTCCCCTCCCGCTAAGTGAGATTGATGCCCATGGCTACACAGTGCAGAGAGATCTCAATTGGAGGTCTGATCTACAAAAGGAAGACAAATCTGTGATTAACATGTCACTGCCTCGCTCTACCACCCGACTCGGTAATTATTCACAATTGCAGTTAGAGATCTGGCAAAAAAACTAAAAATGACAGAAGCCCTGGCATGAATTGGAACGCTGGGCTGAATCCTGTCGGCTTAATTTGAGCTAAACTCTCGCCTCGTCGCTTTGTGGGATCTTTTAAAGAGTAGGTTACTTACCGAGCTAATGAGCTGCAAGAAAAACCCTTAACAGCTAAGTCATGACCGAAGGCTTTCCCAAGCAGGAACTCTACAGGCACCAGAGACTAGGTTAAGGGGTATTAAGTATATCCTCCTCCTGTAGTTTTCAAGGGGTCTCGTTCATTTACCACATAACAGATTCAGCGTATAGGCAATTCATTTTGTTTATGAACGAGTTACAACCATGCACACAGTATTGCACATTCTTTGTACAGCAATTCATTTTCTCTGAGGGAGTTGAGCACAATGCTAATCATGCACACATTCATGCTTCCTTTTGCACTGGGATAAATGAGGCTGCAAAATGTATTTCAAGTAATGAAATCTGTCAAATTAAATCATGGATATGGAGCTCGAACGTAAAATCTGACTTCAAGATGATTTCTGCGTGGGAAAATATGACCAGTTACTGAATGTACTTTAATTGATTCCTTTGGGTTAACTATAAAAAATGGATTATCTTTTGGGGTTGCTGTTAGTTAGGCTTGATTTGAAGCTGGGCAAATACCCAGTCGTAAAGTCTACTTACTCTGGGATCTCATTGGTCAGTTGGCTTGAGTGAAAAGGAAAGACAGTGAAGGACATTTATATGAGACAACACATGTGGGGACAAGGACAAGTGAGGTCAGACTGAAGGACAGGACAAAGGTCACACAACTGGAACGCTGCGACCGCGGACAAACAGCAAAGATACAGACAACGACACAAACATACACATATCGACAGAGTTCTGTGTGTGGACGGGAGTCGTGCGTCTGCATGGAGACTCTGATGATCTGCAGGCTGCGGCCCTGTTTTCACACCTGAGTGTTTGTGTGAGGAGCTGCGAGACGTAGATATAGAGCAGTATGCTTGATGTCGTCTCAGGTTTGTCACATGAACATTTTTGTTTACGGCAACCTGGAGGCGAGCTCTTGCCAGCCTTGTAGATGGATGGAAGAGTAAACATTTCTCATCAGCTGCCTAAAGGAGAGAGAGAGCAAGCGCATTTCGTGGCATCTGCAGGCAGTGGCAAGAGAAGGTTTACGGTAGCTGCCACTCGCCTTCCGTGGCAAATGCTGCTGTTTAAACCCGTATTTATCATGTAAAATGTCGCTGTTTAGGCATGACTTTATCGAACTGATCTGTACACAGGACTGATGTGCGATCTCTATTTTTCGAAAAAATTTAAAATGATAATTTCTATTAGATTTTACTTGGAGAACGTGGTTTGTTAAAAATAAATAAACATGCTATTTTTCTGATAATACTCAAGATATATTATAAGTAAATAAAGACAACTTATTGACATTAAGATCTATCATTATTGACCAGAGGTGGGAAGTAGGCTAACTAAATACATATACTCAAGTACTGTACTTATGATTTATAAATAGCCTACTTGTGCTTTAGTTGAGTATTTAAATGATATGTTACTGTACTTAGTTTCTACCCCACTACATTCAGAGGTAAATGGCTTTTACTCCACTACATTTATTTAATACCTTTAGTTACTTTACAGATTCTGATTAATGGTGTGAAATATAATCAAGTGTTAAATCAGACTTTAGTTCCACCTGGAGTAAATTCACAAGCTACCCTGCAGTATACAAAGTCATTAAAACTAGCTGCACCTTTACCAGCTTTCATAACACTTTAATGATCAATCATTATAATGAAAACATGTAATATGTACTTTAAGTATATGTTGATGCTAATACTTTTGCACTTTTACTTGAGTAACATTTGAATGCAGGACTTTTACTTGTAACAGAGTATTCCTACATTCAGGTACTTCTACTTTTACTTAACACTAGAACCGCCAGGGGTCGCTGTATAGCCTACCTAAAACCGCCAACGGGTAAAATGTACCCACTATTAGAATGCATTGATTTTCAAGGTACAATGTTATTTTATTTATCATACTAGAACACAGGGTTAATAGTGAGTTTTGCCACTACTCGCCGTGGCATGTGCCGCGGCATTTGCAGGCAGTGGTAGCTACTTCCGGCATCTGCCACAGATGAACGGTTTACGGTAGCTGCCACTCGCCTTCCGTGGCAAATGCTGCTGTTTAAACCCGTATTTGCAGATGCCACTACTCTGTGGCATCTGTGGCAGGTACTTCCCGCATCTGCCACAGATGCCACTACTCGAGTCGTGGCCACACCTGCCACAGATGCCACTACTCATGGCATCTGTGGCAGGTACTTCCGGCATCTGCCACAGATGCCACTACTTACCGTGTCTGCAAAGAACTAGTTGATGTCCAGCATTACAAATTGTTCGCCAGTTTCGAAAATCAATAAAAGGGTTGGATAACAAAAACATGAATTGTGTCTTGCTTTTTTAATAGACTTTAATGATTGTCTAAACGGAATAACATGGTTTGTTTAGATTCACTGATATCAATATCAAATAAGAATCATCTGAAGCATTGAGAAATGTTGCCGTGTATATAGCCTATACTATTTTTGGATTTGGTTATTCTTAATGTCTTTCTCAAATAGTCAAAAACGTATGATTTCGAGACAAAAAAGTGTATTTGTAACGTAGATTAGGCAAACTGTAAGAGAGTATATAATGCAAAATAATGCAAATTAAGTACATATGCCTATATTTAAAATAACACATTTATACATGTGTACAATAAATATAACTGTCCTTTGCCTCATTTAAGTATAAATCTTAGCATCTCACTAGCAGTGGCAACTGCAATCAGTTGCAGCTGCCCTAAGTCTGTAGCCAAGTCTAATAACACCAGTGTACACGTTGCTGTGTCAATACAGATATTTATTTGTTAATTATTTGTCTTTACTAGTAATAATACACCTGGTTTATCATAGCAAGCAGTGGAAACTCCCCTCCAAAGCGACAATTGCCAAGAGAAGCAATGTCAGCTGGGCTTGCGTTGCAACTCACTCGCCAATGTTTCTCTCTTTTATTACAATATATTTTTAGTACTATCATAAATATAGCACGTTTTTTTATTTAAAAAAACCAAGTCCTCCAAGTAAAATTGAATAGAAATGATAATTTATAATCTTTTTTGAAAAATAGAGATCGCTCATCAGTCCTGTGTACAGATCAGTTCGATAAAGTCATGCTTAGCGACATTTTACACGATAAATACGGGTTTAAACAGCAGCCTTTGCCACGGAAGGCGAGTGGCAGCTACCGTAAACCTTCTCTTGCCCCGGCATCTAGTGGCAACTCCCGTTAAGCAGCGGCAGATGCCTCGGCAAGTAGTGGCATCTGTGGCAGATGCCGGAAGTACTTGCCACTGCCTGCAGATGCCATGAAATGAGCCAGGCCCTACTGCTAAAGGGACAGGATTTATCTTTTTTAACACCTGCTCCAAAAACAATTTTACACCAAAGATGATCGTTTTTTCTCTTTACAAGGCGTTAAAAAGTTCAGGTGAGATGTGCCAGTTTTAATGAGAAAACTTATACACATATTAGAAACAGAATCAAATTGTAATCATGTGAACTTGTTGTCCGTGAGACAGCGGGAGACCACAGAGCGTACTGGGCGCGCTCAGGGCAGCGCTTTGATTGTTAACCGTCTCGCTAATTACTTAAATCCTGTCAAAAGCTGAGCAAGGCTGCCATAGACGAGGGGGGGTGAGCTATTAGCCAAGCGCTAGTTCACCCTGAAGCCGTTTTATCGCTGATGATATCATCAACGCTGTCTTCAAGGCTTACCGAGGGGGGAGATGAATAGACAGAGGGGTTATTTGGCTAATAGCCGTTACAATGGAGATGTCGGATGAAGCCTCAGAGATGAGGATGTTCCCCTTGCCCTCTTCCTTACCTCTTTGTGACAGCGTTGTGGTACTCGATGAACGTCCGCCCGTCAAAGGCAATGGCCTCGGTCTCTCCTGCAGACTTCTCATAGATGGCTGCAAAAGCAGGGGGGGGGAGAGAGAGAGAGAATGAGATCACACCAATCAATAACAGCGAGAGTTCAGTTATCAGAGCCAAAGGCGATGGAGTGTGAGGAAATGGGACAAGGAGAGAGGGGGGTCGGGTTTTTTTTCGCTTTAATTAACGTGAAAGGGACAACCGGCCAGACGCACAAGGTTAATGGCGAAGGCAGTAAGTGAGTGTGTAAGACAGATCGAGCCGGAGTGGATGTATGTCTGGCAGGCTGACATGAATATGATGAAACTGATGTGCAACTCTTGAAAAGAGCCTTTAATGAATATTCAATCAACATGTTTCATCATTTTCAATGGTTTGAAATCAATACGTAATGACCCTTACTTAAAAGAGACATCACAAGTTTAATACGGACATTATAGCCTAGACAGAGAAGAATGGAAACAAAGGTCTTATGAGCAGAAAAGAGATGAGACTATAAGTGTAACTTCCATTGAGGCAGGCTAAGACCAGGCTGTGTTAAAGGAAGTATTGCTGATTTCAGTCCCACTCATACTACGCTTCACAATCAGCCAAAATACTGCCTCACAGAATGAAACCAAGTCATGTTGGATGAGGAAATGGAACAATTTGTACTGTTGCATCCCTGTAATTTCACACTCCCATGATAAGGTGATCTCAAGCCAGCAAGTATTGCTAGTTATTGGCTTGCACGTAAACCAATCATGCCGATTTCTAAAAATATATTTAGAGTAACAGATGTGTATAAGATTGTCCGTAACATGGCTGTAAGGATGGATGATATTGATTGGCAGAGATACTCACTGTTCTGACAACGGCCCCCTGAGAACCCACTGAGGCACACACACTCGTAGGCGTCCAGCATGGGGTTGCAGCGCCCGCCGTTTTGGCAGGGCTCCTGGGAACACGCGTGCTCATGGAACATGTCGATGTTGCTGGCACGCAGGGCGTTCTCCTCTCTAAGGATCGGGGTGCCCATCAGAATGATCTGGGAGCAGCAAACACAGGGTTAACGGGGCACTGCAATGAGTTTACTTTAGGTTGCACACACAATAGGTCAGCTTTACTAGTCCTGTACTTAGACATGTTGTAAACCTTTTAAAGTTTGACCCTTACGAGTGCTAAAAGCCGGGATATCACAACATCTTTGATTTTCATTTCTCTTGGGAGTCCACCAACTTCAAGTAAGTAAAATACTACCACTTTAAATAGCCTCAAGAGTCTGTTCCAAATCTGCTCCGATTGGTTTGCTTGTCAGCTCTGTTATGATTGGTTAACCGCTTAGAAATGTCCTGCCCCTAGCTTGTCACGTACAATAGGCTTAGAGTGCTAGCCAATAGGAGCACGGGTGTAACATAGGGATGTCATTATGTTACGGTAGGAAACAAACCTTTATAACATACTACAGGAAATGGAAAACCCGCCAAAAAAAACTAAGTAGGGCCTCATTAATCAAAAGGAATTCTAATTGGTGCACATAAATGTAGTACATCACTTTTTCTATGTATCTACTTCAAAGAAACTAAAAAATGATAACTTTATCAAAACATTGCTTGTTCATAGATTTACTCTTTGCTGGTTCATTCAAAGTAAGAAACAGATTCATGAAATACTTTATATATTATAATTATGTACAATAAATAATACCATATACTCTGGTGAGGCTTTGGTACCAGTTGCAGGAAAATTCCCAATTCCCTTTGGACCTTATTATCACAACAAATCTAAGAACAAAGTACTTTAAACAGTGAGGCTGTACATTATTGTGAACATGTTCTTCCTCATACATAAACAGTTACCACACAGGTAATACTGAGAAATTAGGAGTTGCTACAAACACATGCGTTAAACAGCACATCAGACTGAAAATACATAGCCTTCCTCCTAATTAACAATTCCCTACAGAGCGAGTTAGACAAACACCACATTTAGCGTTTGATTTGCTCGAAACTGTCACGGGAAAGTTTGCAGAGGAGAACTAATGACAAGTTTGCACAAACAGTAGCATCCTGCCTTTGTTCTACTGGGTTATTTTTGGCACTCAGAGATGAGCTTTTTGCTGGAAAGTGGAGGGGAAAGAAAAAAAACTGGAAGGCTGTCAGCGTAAGATCTGAGAGTAGTGAAAAGGAGGGAGTTCAAAAATGAGCATTCTATTATTAGTGCATGCTAATCCAAACGAGCAGAGCCACTGCCCGTCACATTTTGAGCTATAATGGAAAATATTCTAAAATGGGGGTCTGTAGTATGACAGCTGGACAGCTAATAACTGCTTCTAAGGGCAAAAGGGATCAAAGTCAATGAAATAACAAATATAAATCAGTAGGATATACAAGCAGAGCTAATGACACGATAATCCTGCAAGAAATAGAGGCTTGTAAACATTTACCTTTTGGATTGTTCCCTTGAAGCCCTCTGTGAGTGCAGCGACTCTCGCTAGCCGGCTGTAATCGGGGGCTCCGCCGACGAAAAGAGACTCTTTCAGGTTAAGATCTACGTGCAGGTTCTGATGAGACAGGACACAAAGAGGTATGGTGAGCTAGAGCTTGGTAAAATAAAAGATTAAAACACATTGCATTTAGACTTAAACGCCCAATTGAATCTTTTCTCGAATTCCTCTCAATGGTCTTTATTCAGGACGTAATGGTTTATGGTTTTGATTATCCTGAGCGGAGTTATGTTTGTGTCCAGGGAGCATGAAATAAGTTGTATTCTTTTAGTCAGAATATAAAAAGTGAGATTAATAAACCACATTTGCAGACGTGTCACACTCAAGGATCTAGAAAGACGAGCCACATTGTACCCGGCAGTCGCTTTAACTGTGCTTCTTCGCCTTCTTTCCACATCAATACACTTGATACATTAACACATAATGCATTTCAATGCCTCTCAGAGAGAGTGGTCAATTATCCTCTATCTGTGAGATATAAAAAGGGACTACAAAGAGAAATCAGGAGCAGGCTGGAGTGGAGATATGGATGCTTCTTTACAGACAGCTCTAATGAATGGCTGCTCATACGCGCCGACCTTTCAAACAGTTGAGCGTGGAGACACATTAATTGCGATTCATTTGCGCCAAAGACGTCTATGAAATTCGATTCTTTCCACCGAACCTTTGGGACAATTGCTATGCATTAGCAAGGTGCCGCTGCTGTCTTTCACACGGAAATAGGTGGCCCACTTCAGGAGGAAGGAATTAATGATCTTTATTTTTATGTAGAGCAGTAATTGCCAGAGGGGTAAAGTAGAGTTAATTGCTGGAACAATTATGGAAGGGGCCAAATAAACAGGGCTTTGTGAAGGCGAGCTGGCATTGGGCAGGCTTTTATTTAGGATGGGATTTGGAGTGAAGGAGGCGGCGGCTGGAGCCCGGGGGCTGTGTCACTGCACCTTGAGCCGCTTCCAACGGAGAGGCCGGGGACGCGAGCCAAAGCTGTTCTTCACTGGACAAAGCCTTCCAATGTACCTCTCAACCTCACGCACACATCCATACAACAATGTTGGCGAAACTGCCAGTAAAGGCAACGTTCTCATTGGGAGCCAATTGGGGTTCAGAGTTTTGCTCTAAAACATTTCGACATGTGTATAGGAAGAGCTGGGGATTGAACTGATGAGATGGTGCATTGTTTATTCTGTAGACGGCGCACAGCTGCTTTCTATGGAGTGATTGCGCTCGGTGAGAGGTGTTGTTATGAGTGAACAAGCGGCTTTGTGATTATTATGGAGGATTGTTCCAGAAGAAGTGAGAACAGATGACAAAAGAACAGCTCGGCTTGGCTTGCCACCTCACCGTCTCCTACGGGCTATTTCCTTCGCTCGCCTTCCCCTGTCTTCGCTCGCACTTTCCCGACAGCCACGCGGCGCTGGCGTGATATCGCCGCCCACGCCGCACTAATGAAGACGTCTCTTTGTTGCTAAAAACAACGGCCGTCACAAAGATGACTGTCTTCTTCTTTCCTTCTTCCCACCTTCTCACCCCCATTCCACCCCCACAGCAGATGGGCTGAGGTGAAAGCCAACCCGCATTCTTTGAGAGCATCTCCACTTCAGCGCTGTTTGTGTGTGTGTGGACTTATGAAATGGCAACGTTTTTCTACAGAACTGGCAGTTTTAAAAGCTGTCCGCGGCTCTGCAGAAGTACCTTTTTTTTATTTTGGATTACTCTGTGCTCTTTGTTGCATGGAGAGATGGGGGTGAGAGGACAAAGTGAAGGATTCAAATGAAACATGGGCGAAGGTGTGACCGGGACTTGTCTCATTACCTTTCGTGATTTCTTATTTCCAGACAGCACATCATAGAGAAAGAAAGACAAATAGGGAGGAAGAGAGTTATTAGGGGAAGACTAGTAAGTGTTTGTGCACAGAGAAGCATGCAGAGCTAGAGCAGGCAAGTGCAAAAGCCCACAAAACACACACACACATAATCCCATTTACACACACGCATGCACATCTGTAAGAAAAATCCACAGAGCTGCAGTGTAGCACGGACAAGTGAGATTAAACATGACATTAAAAATAACCTTTTTTTTTCACATGCATCTTGGCACTTCAAAACACGCTTGATTTTACACACAAGAGCAGTGGTGGAATGTAACTATTGTACTTCTATTTTTTGCAACATTATACTATAATGCCCAAAAATACACACATTAATAAATAGGACCTAAAGACATGCACATATGTGGAGGTGGTAGAGCGAAGGAACTGCCAGTGTACTGAACCCAGGAGCAGTTGGGGGTTTGGTGCCTTGCTCAAGGACACCTCTCCAGCTACCACTCCACAATCCCTATTTTTGGTCCAATCGGGACTTAAACCGTCGACCCTTCGGTTCCCAAGCCAAGTCCCTTCAGACTGATCTACTGTCTCCCATTTTAATGCTCTTCCTGTCCAGAAAAAGGCATGTTTTTCTGGACACGAAATATGTTTGTTTTTGGTTATTTTGTGATAAACTGAAATATTAAGTGTTCCTTCAGGAGTTGAGAAAATCCTTCTTTTAAGATCAATACAGTCTTTAGAAACCCTCTTGGACCCACTGAAAACAGGAGTGTTTTCTGAGAAACTCATGAGAAGTTGAAGTTTTCACAGTTCTCACAACGAGAAAAGCTAAAAATATGATCTTAAATCTTAAAGAATATGATGCATTGCAGATGATTAAATTAGCAAACCGTGTATGAACTCGTTAATGATAGCATAACCTAAGACATCTACAGCAGTAAAATGCTACATAATGCAGCTGTAATATTAATCCTAAAGCTTCAAACATTTTACATATTGCTAATTATATAAACATGTAGTTATTTAGGTGTAGTATCCAGGACCTTTTTCTGTATTTTCCCAGTGTGGTATTAGCATTTGTACTTAAGTATTTCAATACTTATTCCACCACTGCTGTAGAGAGTGAACACAAAGAAAACAAGAAGGCCATGCAGGAAGCAGATGGTGAAAAGATGAGAGTGTGAGTGGTGTCACTTCTCCACCCAACCTCATTTACAGACTGCTGCCATTCAGCAGAGGTGCAGCTGATGTTTATATCTCATATGCGTACCTATGTGCCTATGAAAGTATGTACTTCATCATGCTGGCAGCTGAGCCGTCTTTGATACGGAAAACACTCCCAGTCCATACATGTGTGTGACCACCTTTGATATGATATGGCTTCTTTACGCAAGCACTATAACCCCCTCCCTAGTTTTTAAAACAGAGAATTAGCTAGGACAGGCTTTCTGCATTGAGTTTCATAACTAGTTTCTGCTCATCCCTTGCGCCCCCCTCCCCCCCTTCAGCACCACCATCTTTGCCTTGCTCTCCTCCTTTAATAAGATGTTCTGCCTCTGTAGCTGGAGTAAAACACAATTACCATAGGGACGATGGGAGGCAGTCAGGGGAAGGACAGAGGCGGAGAGGGGGGAGCGCTGCATCTTTGAGGAAGATGAGTTGACAGAGTGCATGTTCATAATCACAAATTACACTCTTTAATATAATTGGATGGCTTACAGGCTAATCAAACTATTAGATCACCTTCATTCAGAAGCATGTACCTGCTTTATTGGTCTAGACGTGGGGCTGAGGAGTTTCATTACACTCTCCTTTCTGCTGCTGCATCGCCTTTATCTGCCTCCATCTCCCTCTGTCTCCCCAGACACCACCTCAGAGGCTGCATTTATCAAATTGACTGTATACCAGCAGTAAAAGCTAGTGTTTGTGTTCTGTATGCTACACCGACTTTTATCTCCCAGCAAGCTGAAAGGCAGATAGATTTTTTTTCTCTTTTTGAGGGGAATTACAGGACTTTCAAAATGAAGACAGCTTGTCAAACTGGCCCTCTACATCTGGAGCTCTCCCTCTTACCTTGACTGGCGTCGAGGGGGAAGCGGCATACTTTCAGCGAATCAAGTCGGTACAAACGCATAGTGTTGAAAATCTTAGGAAAAAGGGCAGGCAATGCTGATTCAACTGAGCCCCAAGGTTGTGGCGATGACGTAATGAGAGCACACAGATGATCAAACATAAACAGTATAGTAGTTCAGGCACAAGCAAGGCATAGCGTAGGACAGGCCCGTCACCGTTAGCAGGAGCTTGTTAGCTAGCTCTTTCTTACCGGTGCCTCTCCTCGGACGGGGTCCTTCTTGTTCACCATGATCTCTCCTTTGCGGTTGGAGCGCTCCAGGTTGATGGTGTTCCACACATTCAGCTGGATTGGTTCCATGCTCCTGAATTAAACAAATAAACGAACAAACACTTGGGTTGGCCACCTTTTAGGAAACACAGGCCTCCTTTCACCTGTGGCATGTTCAGGTGTCATTTTATGTCATTCTAGCACACCATAATATATTTTTCACATCCTGTCCTTATATGGAAACCCTGAGAGGCAAATTAGTAAAAAAACACCTTTCTAAGTCTGATTTTTTTCCTGCTGTGTTTATGAGTTAGAACAAAATATGTTTCTAGGTGCATACAGGCAGAACATTTTTTACGTATACTTAAGTCCTAATCACATTAAAAAAATGACACGGAGGATATGGATCAGCCATTTATTTTCCCTTGCCTCTCAGGGCTTCTGTATAAATGAATCTTAAATGTTGCTGACCTGATGGTGGCGGGTCCCTTCCCCAGGTCGTAGCGGAACTCCAGGATGCCCTCATTGAGGGACAGAGAGATGAAGTCTCCTTTTCCGTCCGATTTCTGGCCGTTGTAGAATATCAAACCGTTGGAGCTGTTGGCCTTGAGAATCACCGTCATGCTGACCTTTTGACTGCAGAAACACAAACAAAGCCGAGACGTGAACAAAAGATGCTTGTTTGCCTGTTTTTGGTGCACTAGTACTCTGTCTGTGTGGAAATTAGGTAGAGATACTATGAATTCTACATGCTTAGGCATACAGATTGTCCTTGTCGCTTCAGTTAAAGCTGAGACTCACCGCAGATCGTGCCCGTAGAGGTGAAGTCCCTTCAGCTCCACGTAAGAGTCTCCGTCGAATAGCGGCATGTAAGCCCCTCTCTTCTCAGCCACTGGAAAAACAAAGAGACTATATTCATCCTCAGGTCCCGTTTTTGTTGCTGACAGAATTGAAATTCAGGAGTAGTCAGTACATCTTTCAGGGACCTGTCAGCATTATGGAAAGAGATGGATTTGTGTTTTCATTGCCTTCAGGATTAAGACTTTCTCTCGAAGGAAATTCAAACAAAAAAATCCTTATGTCAGACTGATTACACAGCCCGCCACAGTGTCACAAAGAACCTTTGGAGACATGTGGAGTTTAACACCAAAGCCGGGGCCCATGATATAATGCAGCAATTGTGTTTTGGCAGGCCTTTTTACAAATGACTGTCTTTGCGATGGCTCTACATCTGGCTGTCTGCAGTGATTAGGACAGGCACCGTGCAATCCTTCTAACAAGTGGCTTGACATTAAAAATCGTTCAAGTGTTACCCGGGGGTATGTGTTTATGGTGCAAAAACTACCACCATTCAGAGGCCTGTGCAACGCTTGACGCTCTAACACACATATATGTAGCCGAAAAAAAGCTTTTGTTTGTAATTGGGTGGGATTAGCTGAGACGAGTCAGGATGGGGAAGGCAGACGGAGATGAGAACGCTAATTAGCTATTGTGCACAAGACTGCTAATGATGATGGCACGCACCATGCAGAAGTGGGAAAAACTGTCTAGGATTTGCGCGCTAAACTGAACTCTATTAAAGTAGAAGAGCCGCTCAGGATGTAGTTACTTAAAGAGATTGGAAGGGGGGATTCACCCTGTGTTTCAAAATGCACCACGATCAATAAGTCACCAGAGGTCCAGGCATTGGAATGAGTTGAGTGACCAGGAAAACCCACATGGCGTGCGGGGAGTGAAGCGTGACGTCTTAGAAAAGTTGAACTTTTTCAGAGTTATTTAAAAACGCAGCAGAAATAAGTCCCTGGAAAGCGATGCTCAGGGAGCCGTTGCCTATAGTTCTCTTGTTGACGTAAGCTCAGAGGTAATTTTGTTTGGATTTGAGTAATGCTGCTTAATTAGTACCCGCTATAAAACCCATCAAAACAATGTAAAATAAGGATTGGCAATATCAGAGCAGCTAAAATGCACATTTTGCTGGTTCAAAAACGTTATAGCTGCAATCAAACCTCATGGTGCTGCCCCCCAATCAATCGGCTCTTCAACAGATTAGCTGCAGTGTGAATCAGACACACACACTCTCTCTCAGGTGCTGTTTACACGAGAACGCAAACGGTTGTATCCGTTACTTTTCTCTTTCGCATAGCCCGTTCGTTCACACGAGGCCGTAACGGAAACGCGGAAACGGAACCCGCAAACGTTAACAGGTCCCAAGGTGGATAGATCTGAAAACGGAACGCTCTGGGGGCCAAACGGCTCAGTGTGTACGCCCTATACGATAATTTCCTGGTAACAATGAAACCATAGCCCCACCTCTCCCCACCATGGATGTATAATAAGAACTGGATACAGCGTGGGAGGCGGGGTCTTGTTCTTTCCTATGAGAGCTGCTCATTGGCGCACGAGGACAAAATGGCCCAACTTTTGAGAGAGCGAAACGTCACAGATTACCCGTCATGCCTGGCTTTCAGAGCAGAAGTACCCGTATGTGTGCTCATAGAGCATGCACAGTTGAGTTGCCCCTTAAGCCCCGCCCCCGAGCTCCCACTCTCAGATGCACGTTCATAATGCAGAGGAAAATAACACTCAGAATAACGTTATTAGCACATTTTACAACTTGAGGACCGAATGTTTTTAATAAGGGCTATACAAATGTGCATACTGGGTAGTTTATTTAGTTTAAAAGGTTAAATTATCCAACGATTTACAGACCACTCTTTCCCAATGTAAGTCAATGGGAAAAAGTGTTTCCGGGCCCAGCAACCCATACGGAAGTGTAGTACTGCCGTTTGGCCACAACGAATATTTTCCTCAGAGTCCGGCGCACTTCCTGGGGGCTTGGCAATCACAGAGCATGCGCCCCTTAAGCCCCGCCCCCCGAGCTCCCACTCTGCAGTACCGCCGTTTGGACACAACGAATATTGGCACAGAGTCCGGCGCACTTCCTGGAGGCTTGCTCCCCACCTCTGCTGCTCACTGCTGTAGCATGGTCAGTAGCTACTGCCAGTAGCTACTGCTACTGACCATGCTACAGATGTTAGTGCAAAATCTACAGCTCCTCTACCAGAACCATCAGCAACAAGTGGACATGGAGAATTACATGAACTACATGTTGCTAAATCCATCGCGGGGCATAGACAGAAGGGCAACCATGGCAACCATGCTTGAGGGTCTTCTTCGCTGCTTTTGGTGTATTTTGTGGCAGAAGTACAGCGCCACTTACAGACCCGGCATATGTACTGCAGCGTCTCCAGCGCTTTCGAGCGGTCTCGTGTGAACGGAAGACTTTTTTGATATCGTATTCGGTTCGTTTGCGTTTTGTATGCATTTGCGTGTAAATGGGGTCTCACACACACCCACATTATCTGGTCGCTGGCTTATGTGATGTACGAAAACGGTTGTATCCATGCTACAGATGTTAGTGCAAAATATACAGCTCCTCCACCACAACCATCAGCAACAAGTGGACATGGAGAACTACATGAACTACATGTTGCTAAATCCACCGGAGAATAAACAGAAGGGCAACCAGGCAACCATGGCAACCATGCTCGGGGGTCTTCTATGCTGCTTTTGGTGTATTGTGTGGAGGAAGTACAGCGCCACTTACAGGCCCCGGCATATGTACTACATCGCTTTCGAGCGGTCTCGTGTGAACGGAATACTTTTTTGATATCGTATTAGGTTCGTTTGCGTTTCGTATGCGTTCCCGTGTAAATGGGTTTAATGTAGCTGAATGTTGTTGAATTTCAAACTCCCACCTACAGTTTTTCAAGGACCGTTCCAAGTGATCCTGCTTTCATCACTAAATTGCAATTATTCACATTATCTCAGGGTAAAAGCACTAAGCAAAGTACGCCATTTAATTGGAACACCCTTGAGAGAAGTCCTTGATGGTGAATTTAGAGTAGCTCTGACGAAACTCTGGCAGAATTGAAATGGAAACCATAGCTCAACTGAACGTGCGAGCACACGCTGGGTTACAGTACACACACTTAATACTACGAGTAATTCACCTTCAGGCTTCTGATGAGTGGCCTGTAAGCTACCTGTCTCTTCAACTGTTCTCAGTGCAGCCCTCAGAGGGTACGTCCGCCTGAATGCCGCCTTATCTGCGAGCTCCTGTCTGGGGCTGACACTCTGGCTGACTGACGCTCCCATTAATCACGCCGGGCAGGGAGGACTGATGCGATTAGTCATCTCATTGATTCCAGTGGAAAAAAATAGCCTTTTGGAATGGGAGACACTTTCGCTCACACAGCATTGATTTTGGTTCACCTCAATTTATTTTAATCACCTGCTAACTGGGACTCGGGGCTTGGAAGGAGGCTATTCCCATCTGGTTTTTCTAAATTCCCAGGGATGGGTGCGTGTTTGTCTTTTGATTTAGATGATAGAATATTCTCTTTTATTCTCGGGTACAGAAGTCAACTCGACGACATCTACAAAGCCAGGGGAGGCACAAAAAGGCATAGGGAGACTTCAGAATGCAACGCCCGCCAAAATGCTAATGATGAACTTCAAAAGCAGCTGAGCCGTGCTCTGGTCTTTTCCCAAGCCGCGGCCCGGTTCTGCCATGTGGAGCTGAACAGTAACAAACACACTTGAACACAACACCTGTGGGCGGATAGACAGGGAGCGAGCGGAGAAAGGCTGTGGCTTTGCTGCTGCTAACTCGCTAACAAGCGTAGCAGAGTCGATGTGTTGAACGGCCCGACGGGGCCAATCATCTACCTCGGCTCTGCAGCTCTCCCATCCCCTCCCAGCCTGAAGGATCAAACCCCCCCCTACTTACTGTGTTTGATCTCCCTTTTTGATTCAGGTTGAAAAAAAAAAATTGATGAGCATGCTGCTCGGCTGATTCGGGCGGAAACACCCCGCTCCTAGATATGCACCAGAGGAAGTGATGGAGTAACTCCGGGATATACAGTCAGCTTACTTTTCTCGCAGTGCCTCCCCTCACGTCCCATGGGACACTCGCACTTGTAGCCTCCCTCCGGCAGCGCCTGGCACTGGGAGGATGGATGGCACCTGTTGGGCTCGCATGGATCATGGACGTCAGCACAAGTTGGACCTAGAAACACACATATAAAAATCCCACATCAGAATACCACCAACGTTTTCTCTTTATTCTCTATGCAAGGATTTCCTTTGTAATAGAGGTCATTTTCTAATAGGATTTGGAAATATTACACGTCCAGATTAAACAGTGGAGAGCCTTCCCACCATGCGGCCATGTTTCTGGGCCAACCCTATCTGTGGGAAAGGCACGGTAGTGTCTGTTGGATGATGGTTTTGCCCTCTGAATCCACCCGTCATTACTTTAGCAGTCAGAGCCTGTGGTGAGGGGAGCGCTTTAATGAAGCCCGTCCCCGCTGAGCTCACAGGGCTACCCTGCTTTTTTCCTCGGCTCCTTTTTCCTATCTCTGCCTTCTATACCATCTCTTTGCTCTAATACTCGCTCGCCTCCCTCATACATCCCACTGTTCTGACATGTCCTCCGTTTCAACCGCTCTCCACCCATTTATTCTCTGGTTTTCAGAGATTTGTCCCTCCCCCTCGAGATCCGCAATCTTCCCTACTTAATACATTTACACGATGGGAAAAATTACTTGAATCTATCCGCAGGCAACGGTTCAATTCTCATTATCACCATTCATTTAACACCATGTTGCCAACACATTTTTGATCACAGCAATGCTTCTTCAAAGTGGGAGGGTTATCTGTACCAGGCTCCTTAATAACTACACAACATAAAAGCACCTCTGGAATAATAATACATTGGATTTGTATATAGTGCTTTTCCTAATGCTCAAAGACACTTTACATAAAATCAATGAATGAAAGACAATAATCATGTATTGTGATCTTTTAAAGATCCACATTTTCAATCCAAGGAAAACAGCTCCAAAAACGTTACTGTGAGCTGGTTTCCCCACAAAGCGTTCACCATGTTGTATAACATCCTTTACTATTGAGGGATTAAAGTTAACTCCAACAATTAATTTAGTTCTGGTGGGAAACTTTCTGCAGTAGGCTGCCGTACAACAGGCACGAGTCACGCTTGGCTAGGCGCTGATGGTGTTGGCTTTTAGCTATATTCTCTCAGAGTTGCTTGTTAGTTGGCATCTGCCGGAGGAAGGGATGTGGAAGAAGAGATAGGCCAAAGGCCAATCACTAAGCATTTGGTGGAGGTTTTCATGTTTTTCTGTAATGCTTCAACATAATCTCTCGTTTCTGTGTTGGACATACAGATTTGATGGTGTTGCTGTTTACAAATGACTTCAAGCGCTCCTGCTGGGGGCGTGAGTTTCACTGTCAAATTAGGCTGTCAAGCTTACTTAGGATTTGCGAGTCAGTCATGACCACAGTGAGTCCCAGAGAAGAAGGCAAAACACATTTTTAACGATGTGTTAAAAAGTCTGGATATTTCACATATGAAATGACATATTTTCTATTTATTCCCTGCTCCTACACTGGAATAAACCACTTAAAATTGACCATTAGGAACATCCTGACCTGCTTATGTTGGCATCTTACCCCAGAATCCTTTGCTGCACTTGCAGTGGAACATCTCTGCCTCCTTGACCTGGCATGCAGCTCCGTTCTTGCAGGGGTTGGGCTGGCAGGGGTTGTTTCCACATTCGCCCACGCCGCTGCCGTACAGACTGTCCCCCCCGCTCTCCTGCAGGTTCAGCACACGGTTGTTGACATCCAGCAGGCGGATGCAGCCCACCACACCTGTGGCCACCGCCGTCCGTTCCCTCACACTGAAGAGAAAGAACCAATGTAAGGTAATGTCTTCTTTAGTTTTTTGTGGCAGTGGAAATAATGAGCACAATTGTATTCACAAGTGATGCTAGTCTCCATAGTAGTCATTTCTCTATAGTGAGGCCTTTCTGGCTTTACCTACTGTAACTGTATAAAATGAGCTGCTGTGGACTGTAGGATAATCACTGCCTTGTGAATCTTTACAACCACAATCTAAAGGTAGAGAGCTTTCCTGGGAGGCAAGGCGTTCCGAGGTTTATTGACAATAAGGGGGTTTCTGTGCAGTTTCCAGAAGATTGGAGTACAGTTTTTACTGTAAGTTCAATGACTGCCTGGAGCTGTGTTAAAACACTTGGTACTGCTGCAGGAGGGTGTATGTTCTGTTTTGTCAATATACTCAGGAAATCCATAGGTTTCTAGTTTCATAGGTTATCAGTATCTCCACTCTAAGTCTAAAACGGAGCCTGCTAGAGCCTCCAAACACATTAATGTCAGGCAAAGGACTCCTGGGAGCATAGACATGACAGTTTGTCCCTTGCCAAATGGTGGCTAAAATACGGAGCATTCATTTCCTATTTTTCCGACAAGCTATCATGGCATCATAGGTTTCATTTCATAAGGAATTCTAATTTCCTATGATATCAGTATCTTCATACTCGCTTTAAAACTGAGCCTGCAACAACATTTTAAAAACAGTATTGTCAGTCAAAGGACTCCTGTGAGTATTGACATGACAGTTTTTCCTTTGCCAAAATGTAAAATATAGATGATCATTTTCAAAATGTTTCCAACAAGCAAGCATTACATTGGGTACAAATTTACGAGGATTTGAATGTCCCTATCAGTATCTTGACTTTAGCTAAAAGACGGAGCTCTCTACAGACTCTTGAAGACAGCTAGCCAGGTATCCCGCAGGTCTCACTTTATTTAGTTATTTAAGTCCTATTTGCCTCTCAGGGCCTCCATACATCCAAAGAATTCTACATTTTTGTTAGGGGTCCGATGTTTTTTTGTGTGCTGTTTACCATGTCCCCCCCGATATAGTTTATCTTGCCATGACAGTAAGAAGTAACATAGTACAAATAAAGAAAATAAAGAAAGAAAAAAAACGTTCTTTCAACCCTGAATACAACAATGTGCAACTATAGATGTTAGTTCTTACTCCTGCTTCATTTCCTCGAGCACTCCTCCGATGAACAGGTCGGTGTCCAGGTTGAGGCCATCTGTGCCGCGGGGGCTTTCGCCCTCGATGTGCGGCTCGTTGTCCACGCTGAGCATGGCGTTGCGGCGGTTGCGCGTCACCACCAGCTGATGCCAGCGGCCCTGATTGATTTGTACTTTGCTGACAACTGTTCCAGTTCCCGAACCTGTGTTAAACCTGAGAGCAGAGGGATAGAAATCAGTCAATCAGTCACTTTATACCTCCGCCGCACTTTTTATTAGTTTACAGTATTGGATGGGGGTTATTTTCCACCCAACATGTTTATTCTATATCGAGCAGCGACTAATGAATAGAAGCAATCTGCTCATATTTTTCCACAAGACAGAGAGAGATGAAAGAAAGAAGGTGCGGGACTTCTCATTTGGGATTCCAAAATATGCGACTCGAATGAAGCCTCTACTCACTTAAAAAAATATCTCCATTCCCTCTTGTTAATTAAACCCTTTATCTAATGAGGTGTTGTTGACAAAAAGGAGGCCATATCATGACAGAAAAGAGCCGCCGTGTACCTGCACCGACACATGTGCTAGTATTAGCGCAACCTCAGAGCAATTATCAGCCACAAATAATTAGTTCCCTCCCCACGTCTCGGATTTGCAGAGCTGTGGGTGGTAATCTCACAGCTGTATTTCTGGAACCGAGGCAGAGCTCCGTTTGAAAGCACGAGTGACTAATGATCTCCTTTTAGTTTGCCATTGATTTTGCTCTGAATGGAGAAATCTAACCGGGCCAGGTTCAGGGGAACTGTAAGGGCTTTAAGGGGTCAGGGTGAAACACAAGACCCGAAAGATAAGGGAAAAAGGATGGTGTTACAAGTAATAGGTGGCAAACAACCAAGGTTATTCATCAGATTTCTGCAAATAAATTGCCAAATGGAAGCTCTGCTCATTGGTTTATAACATGTCTTTTGATAGCTTAATTCAACTTAAGAAGTTTACATTTGTGTGTGTTTACTGTAAATAAACGAAAATAAAATAATGAAAACGTTTGGGGAATTTCATTTTTATAACACAAACAACCATAGTCCTAATAATCACATTCAGATTCAAATCTGTATTTATTTACAGAACAAAGAGATTCTTATCTGGCCGTACACTTAAAATGTAATCAGCCCATTGAATGGCCACTCTGCAGTTATAATCACTCCCATTTAGAATGGTGAGACCGGGGAGCTGTGTCGCAGTGGGTAGATAAGCGTCTACCGATCAAAGGATTAGCGGTTTAAACCCAAGATGTCGAAAAGTCTTCGGGCAAGATCCCATAGACATATCTATGGGATTAAAGTATATGTAAGTCACTTTTGATAAAATTATCAGCGAAAATAACATAAACTTCTGAAGCAATAGGAGTCTGGACTCAGAGAGACACGAGGAGCTGGAGCTTTGATGGCAAACACTGATGGTTTATTTGGAGCTTAGGGTGGAGAATTCAAAAGACATGTCACGGGCCACGAGTTGACCACACGGTTGATGCCACAATCAATTCTGAAGAACCCTTCTGTAGTTTGACGTTTTAACTAGTTCAGAGTGTAATAATCAACATTCTTCAATAGATAGACTAAACAGCTGAGGGACACTGAATCACATTTGTTGTCGCTTATGGCTCGGGGTCATCTACACCCCGAGAAGGATGCTCCAGGTGTCCCACAACAATAACTATCTCTAACCGAGAGTTGCCCAGTCATAAACTGGTAACAACAACAAAATGCTTGGGCAGCCCCTCCTTAAGGGAGATAACGGCTGCTCAAGGCTGGGCATCTGCGTCAGAGGGCGAAGGAGGACATGCAGGGGGAATTATTCCCCAACATGAGATATACACATTCTGATGAAATATCCCAATGTTGAAACCCTGTATCTATGTTGTATGATGTCCTTTTTGTTTTTCTGTTGTTTTATGTTTTTCTGTCTTCATGTGTAACCTAATTGTTGCAGGTCTCCCTTGAAAAAGAGATCGATGATCTCAATGGGATTCACCTGGTTAAATAAAGGTTTGAAATGAAATGAAAATGTTGCAAAAGTGAAACAGCTGTAGCTTTACCAAAATGTCTTTATATATTTGTTGAGTAGTGTTTTCACACAGTACCTGACTTGCTCTATGCTCCTGTCATAACTACTTCAGCAGTTAGAAGCTGGCATCGTCATGTAATTATATTCGGGATCAAACATATATACAGATGAAAAGGGCCTTTTGAATCTTATAGTAGGTGGAGCATGCCCCTTCTAACGCACCAGTTTCATGCTGATAACCAGTGATAACACCCATCCAATGAGCTGATAGCTTATAAAGCAAGAGAACTGGCACAGTGTTAATATATTTGCATACTACATGTTACTATCCAACATGATTAGTCTAATGCCTCCATGAGCCATATCGAGGTGCATTTAATAAGTCATTGCTTCCATCTGTAAATGCAATATATGTGATTAAAAATCACATATGAAATGCACACATATGTTCCCGCCATCTGTAAACGTGATCATGCAAAGAGCTTCATTTGCAAGCTTTGAACACATTTCTGAAAAACATGCCTTGGTAGCCTTAGCCTGCAAAATCTGTCCAGAAGCTTCTGTGTCTTTTTATTACATTTTCTGGCAGCGGTATTCTCAACATGTTTACTTGCTGTAATTATTTGCCTCATTATCTTCAGTGCTCTCCATTTGCTTTATTGTTATCTGCATCCTCTCTCAGCTGAAATGACCCTGTTTTCCCCTGCGGGGGGATCATAGAGGTTTCATCAGATTGAATCAGAAGGAAAGCGGCAGAATCAACAGATGATGAAGGTCGTTGACCCTGAAAACTCTGACGAGGCTCACCTGAGTTCCACCTTGCCGTTCACCAGAGCCAGAGAGATGAAGTCCTTCTTGCCGTCCTGGCCGTTGTAGAGCAGGATTCCGGTCATCTCGGATACCCGGAACTCCATGGCGATGCGGACCGTGTGATAGGCGCTCATGGTTTGGAACGCCAAGTACGATTGGCCTCCGAATGACGGGATGAAGTACTTGATCACTGTGGAGGAAAAGCAATCCTGTTATTATTTCACGATACACTTTACCGTTTATACTTAAGTGTTAGCGGAGGTGGAGGCATCTGGAGGAAAGAGAATAAGCTGTCAGTTTATTTTAGGAACGCTATTTGGAAGAAGGAGTTCACCAGAAGGAGAAGGTAGAAAGAGAGGAGGAGCTGAGCTCTTCACCCCCCCTCAAGCCACATTTAAGCCACTCATGCCTCCAGGGGAATCCTTTGTTTTTCTGCCACTCGACAATTAGGATTATTATCATCCACTTTCTCTCTCGGGTTGTTTTTTTTCTCCGTCCATCTGTCTTTCTGTCTGTCTGTCTCTCTGAGGAGAATGGCAGCTGATGAGCTCCGTCTTTTCTAATGACTGCATTGATCTGGGGGAGGCCAGCGTGCGGTCTAAGTGTGTGCGTGTGTGTGAGACTTCATTTAGCACTAACTCAAAGACACACATGGATTCCCACCAGCTAATCCCCATCAAAGCAATTACTGTGAATTATCTTAAGATGCAGCAGCGTGAGGTTCCTTCTCAACCCCCCCCGAAAATCCCAAAGTAGGGTAAGAGGGGAAGAAACAAAAGAGTTTCTCAAGAAGTTCTCCTTGATTTATGATTTTCTCCGCGGCGCTGATTGGATTCAGTGTGTTGGCTTTAGTGAACGGCTCAGCGGTCGCTCACTTCTGAGGTGTTGAACCTGTCGGAATCACTTGAGAGGAGTTTGAAGAGCAGCCGTATAGGAGAGATATTGCGTCAGTCACACCTCAACTGCTTTGTTCTCAAGTTATTTTATAATATATAGAGTAAAATTGACACTCTCTGCTGATTGCTGCTGTCTTATTGAGCTTTATATGACCCAATAAATTCACATCTGTGACCACAGAACTTTGCATTTACATATTCAGGCACTAACTGAAGGTTGTTCCTCACTTTAGGCAGCCGCTTTGTGAAGCTACAATAAGACAAGATACCCCTTAACGTGAGCAATATATGTCTTTTTCTCCTTTACGATAAAAGTTTCATTTAAAGAAACCTTTTATATTAGAGTTTTTTAGCATAATGGTTATTTTCCACTACTTTCTAAATATATTAAAGCACTTGAGGAAGTGGTTAGCAGCGATTATAGACCAGCTAAAAGGCATGATTGGCACAAAGTGGAGTGCCTAAAAACCTCTCAGTTGCTGCGAAATCAGCCTTTGGTGCTTCTTTGTAATTGCTATCGTGCTAAATTATAAGGGAAGTCTGTTGCAGCTCATTTTTTCAGAGGATTTAAAAATACGGGGGAGACTTTGAAACTTTTAGCAAATATAGTGGTACTTAAGTACAATTGTGAGAGACATGAACTTTACTACAGTATGTTCTACCCCACTACAATTCAGAGGTAAATAGTGAACTTTTACTCCACTACATTTATTTAATACCTTTAGTTACTTAATAATGTGAATTATAATCAACACAAATCAGACTTTAGTTACACATGGAGTAAATTCACAAGCTACCCTGCAGTATATTCATTCAAACTAGCTGCACCTTTACCAGCTTTGATAACACTTTAATCCATCAATCTGAGTACTACTACCACCTCTGCTAATGTGTAAAGAAAATAAAAGCGCCGACTCACCCTTCTCGCACACGGAGCCTCCTCGCCCGGCGGGACACTTGCAGCTGAAGTCGTGGCCCTCGTCCTCGCAGGTGCCCCCGTGCAGGCAGGGGTGGGAGCTGCAGGGCTTCTTGTGGTGCAGCCTGCCTCGGACATGGGCTACGGTGGTGGCTGGAGGTGGAGCAGTGGTAGTGGGGGCCTCTGTGGTGGTGGTGGGTCGCAGTGTGGTTACAGGCGCTGAGGTTGTGGTGGTGCGTCTGCCATAGGGCCTGCGTGTGGTGCCTGGGGGGCGGCGGGTGATGTACGGGGAGGTGGGGGGAGGCATGGTGGTGGTGCTGGGAGCGGCTGTGGTGACTGAGGCCGTGGTGATTGTGGTCGTGGTGGTGAAGAAGGGGACGGAGGAGAGGCCTGTCAGCAGAGAACAATGGAAATTAGCAAAGGAAAAAATGCACGTAGAGAATTCCTTGTTCAAGACCCGTAAAAAACCTTTGATAAATCACCTCATGAATAACTTAAAACCCCTTTTCATTTTATTAATCCCCACACACTGTATTGGGTATTACCATAATTGGTGAAGCGGATATTCTCGTCCTCTGGCTTCTTCACAGCGATGCTGGTGTCTTTGGAGGCCTTCAGCTGTTTGAGCAGGGCTCCTTCGATGTCTTCCACCATGAATCTGGTATCTATCATAAACAAAGAGATACAGACACTCAGGACACGGCCTCCGAGGAGCACTTTGAAGCAAATACAGGACTCTGGCTTCTTTAGGGGGAACAATGGATATATCAGAAGGCCCCGTGTATGACAGCTGGAGGGTCTCCGGGGGCCACTTGTTCTCCACCTGCCGCTTGTCTGGCTTTTTTCCAGATGAATCGCTCTCATAACTGCAGATGTTCGCTTTACAGGCCATGGAGGAGAGCCGCTTAACACTGCACCGTATGAAGGGTGTGAAGGACACTAAACTGCGCTCTCAAAATGGGGGGAGGGTGGAGTTTGTAAGGTACAAAGGAGCTTAAAGGCCCAGTTGTGGCGTCAACCGTATAATTAAGAATTGAATTCACATATGTATGAGTCTTAATAATGGCAATTCAGCACTTTGTTACAGAAGGAATTTCTCCTTATTAAAAATATATGCCTATGATTTCAGAATTAGTGATGTAAACAAACTTTAACGGAGAAAATCTTGAGTTGTCTAGTGTTTGTCACTGTATTAGGACACCTGTCAATCAATTGGAAAGTATTCCTTTTCCATTTTTGACAAATGGAGGTGCTGACCAAGCCTTCAATTTCATCTTTTGGGGAACTTTTCCTGGCTCAATGTGAACATCTAAGTAGAAACCTTGTTATGATTTTGTTTTGTTTTGGCATTGAGAAGAACATTTAAAATATGTATTAATAAGGACAAACACAGTTTAATATTATGAGCCAAATAAAGAATAAGTAGAAAGCATTTAGAGAGTGCACATCTCTGCCAAGGATACACATTCCTCTCCATTTGTTATTTTAACAATAGAAAAGTCCCTAACCTGCACGCCAGGTAAAGTGTACAGGACAAGGTTGATGTTGAGTCATGGTGATAAAAAAGTGTTTTGTTACTGTACAGAAGTGGCCAAATGCAGTTACATTTCAACAATGGAGGGAACAAGTTACTGGAATAGTATTCAAAAATGTTATGAACCTTATTCAGTGGACGAGGAATAAAATGTGTCCGAGGAGTAATAACAAGTGACTAATAGAGTGTTGGGACCCAGGGGAGAACATAGCTTTACAGTCCAAGAGTTACAAGAGGAAATATAAAGTGCTTCAAAAAGTGATATGGTGGCTTACTCTGCATAAAAAAGTAATTAGGTCTTCTTTAGCCAGTGGCCTAACTTTTATCCCATTTCATTTAAATTAAGTCAGTATTTTTTTTGTAATGATATCTTGCTCGCTAAAAGACAAAGGGGAACAAACCATAACGGAGTCCAACTTTATTTTCTCTCTATTGGCTACTGTTTTTTTCAGAATCTTCTGCCATCTCTCACCTGGTTTGAAGTGGGCCTCCACAAAGGCCAAGATGGAGTTGCTTGGAGCCAAATTCCTGACACGAACACTCATGAAGTCTTTGTGCACCTCCGACTTCCTGAACAACTCATTGAGCTGAGAAAGAGTAAAACAGGGGGAGGAGAGAAGGGACAGTTAGAAGAGATGATAAATGAGGCCGGTAATGAGCTCTACGCTATCATAGCAGCGAGTCCAATTCCAGAAGACTGTACTCTCCGAACAGGAAAGACTGCTCTCAAATTGGGGTGCGGGTGCACAAATTGACATTTAGCTGGAGCCGTGGCATTAATTATAGAGACAAGTTTCCGGGAGGAGCTAAGATAAATGTCGTGCAGCCCTGACATGTGCTCCTGATTGGATTTGCTTCTGAAGCCCCCCCCCCCCCTCCGTGTGTGCAAGCTTTATCAAGCAGAGGTGCTCCATGAGGGCTTTTGGAGATATTACAGACTAAAGTTGACTTTAGCCCAAACAATCTGGGCCAATATTTCAGCTTTAAATTGGACCATTTCATGCTAAAACTTAAAGGTCCCATGTCATGCTTTTCCGGTTATTACCCGTCGCTTTGTGTGTTATGTAGCTTTTTATGCATGTAAACGGTCTGCAGAGTCACAACCCCTCAAAGTACACCCTGTAGCGAGTACAACTCTAACACAGAAAATACCTGTCTACAGTATGCTGCCCCAGAACGCCTCGTTGGAGATTTCTCATTTTCCATTGTTTTCTTCCGGGAACCAAAATGGACCAATCCGTGTAGCACCTTACACACCAGGATCCCTTGGCTAACTAACAGGGAGTCCCCATTGACTTGCATAGAGCTCCCTGAACGCTGGTAATAGACGAGTTGTGATCGCGGAGAAATGCTCTCCGCAGACCCATTCTCACAGCGTTATAAACCTTTTTCTTACTCAATATCAAGCCACACTTATTGTTTTTACTTCGGCTGTGAGTGTTTGTGTGTGCTCATGATGAGTTTCGCTGTGTCTCGCTGTATCGCCGACCCGGAAACCTGTCCGCTCCTAGCAGCAGCTCACAGCAGCAACGAGCCTCGCAACGTCCCGACCAATCAGAGCACACTGGGCTCACAGGGAGGGGGGGCAGGAGCTCCAACAAGCCGTTTAGGACAGAGAGTGAATACCTGGTGAATACGCATCCTATACAGAGATGCTGTATGAGAAACCAATGTGAGTTTGGAAAATTGCACAATTTAAATCTATTCTAGTAGACCTCAACAATGGAAATATGATCAGTAGAAATGGCCATGACATGGGACCTTTAAAAAAAAGGTCACATCCAGTCAGTGTCTTCCTTTAATTGTGTTCTTGTTTGTGTTCTGGTGGATTAATTAATTACATTCCCAACAAGTAACAAGAGGAAATTCTTCTGCCTCGTCCTTATTTCAGCAGCTGGTTAAAATCTCAGGAGCTACAGGGCCTGCTGTTACTTATCTATTGTTCTATTCTACAGTAACCTAATCTAAGCATCACAATATAAAAGTAATGTCACCTGACTACTTTCCGTGACTTTTTAGATTACCTTAATATCAACTTCAAATATATACAAGAGAAAAGAAAATATCAATAAGATGGATTTTACTTAAGTGTGTTATGTAACAATGGAATTATGAAGCCAATGCATTCGCTTAATCGAAACCAGCAGTTCTAATATTTGCTTCAGCGAGGAAATGACTGTGTGTAACTTCATCTTTGAATATGCATACAGGATGTAAAATATTTTAAAATGGCACAGTGACAGAGTCAGGGTAAGATCGAACACTAACTTTCACCCATTTTTGGAACAAGAGGCCACAAGTATTAGCTAGGTTTCAATGGAGACTCGTTTTTGTTGTTGTGAGACTCATGAAGTGTTGTAACGTGTATGCTTCATTATATATCGCTCAAGATATCATGACATTTTCAGACTGGCCAGATTAGCGCCACTACCAGAAAGCTGCCTATTCCTTCAATTCAGTTGGCTTAAATGCTCAGATTACTCCTTCAGGCACTGAACCTCTATTATTTGTGGGTAGATGTGTGCAATCCTCCGAAGGGATGGAAAGGATGGACCAAATGGACCAACATTGACCTATAAAACCTCCCGACCTTCTTTTCTCCCCTTCTCTTTCCCTCACACATCACCAGCTGGAATCTTTTAGTGTGCTGTATATCTGCGTGTGCTCCAGTGTTAGAAGATGAAGAGGCGGGTGGTTGCTATCAAGTGGCGCACCAGGCTTCAGAAAGACACAGGCTTGGAGTGTAACGAGCGCAGACACGCACACAAATGGCTGTGAGGTAGTAGATTAGGTCCCAGTGGGGGCCAGTGACACCGTTTCAACAGCTGCTGGATGTGTATAGTGTACACACACACACACACACATTCCCATTTCATCGGCGGAGCGAGGCTCTGGCTTGACAACAGAGACATTTGTTCAAAGGTCTGAGAAAAAGACACGGACAGTAGAGATATGTGCGCCAGGGCCAAACTGCGATTATGGTACAAGCTTCTGCTTTGACTGCTTAACAGAAAATGGCATCTTGACCATCCAAACTTATCTCACTCATATCCAGAATAAGGATTTATCTTAATTAATCTCACATGAGAGGCTGCTTCCTGCTTCTGTGAAGTGTTTGGCAAGCTATTCACAAATGAGTCTTTGCACACGTCTGTTTTTCCCAGTTTTTTTTATAGTTACACTTATTACATTTGAAGAGTTTCTGGAAGGCTCATGTAGTGCCTGTGCTAACGCAGCCCTTGAGGCTTTAATGCTGTACTTGAAATTAAAAGCAGAACGCTAATTCTGTATATATTCTTAATTATTCAGAAGTGTGTGTGAGAAATTTATATTTTTATGTTTATGAAAAATAGTGATTGAACCACCATGATTTGGTGTATTAATACTAATACACACATGGTCAAATGAAAAGGTCTTAAAGCAAATGTATCCATGAGCTATTGATACTGAACTATATTCCCAACAGTACTTACTGCGCTCTCTATGCTGCGGGCTGTCTCTCCAAACAGCTCCGACTTGGGGTCCTCCATCTCAGGGGTGTAGAATATCTCCTGGCCCTCCACCTGGTCCAAGTGCAGGAAGCCGCTGAACTTCATGGTGGCTGGAAGGAGAAATGGCAAGAAATCAGATGAAAATCGCTAGCTCACCTTCTCTTATCACTTATCACTCCTACCCCGCTGCCTTCACACCGTGCTCCTTGTTGGGGTCGTGCCGGTTTCCGGGTTAGTGATGGATCGTGTGATTGTGTGTGTTTGACAAGAGGAGGTTAGTGAGTTTGTTGCTGATTGCGTGGGGGTTCAGAGTTTGAGGCGTAGGGGTGGTGGTGGTGGAAGAGGTGGACTGTGAGGTATGAAAGAAGGAAGGAAAGAATAAAGAAACTAGGGAAAAGGGAAGAAAAATGGGCCAGTTTTACCAGACGGAGACTCATCCCAAAAGCTGGCCGAGGCATGGCGGGCTGGGTAGGGAGACAACAAGTTAGACAGACACACAAATACATGAAGGAAGAAACAAAACACACACTCTAAAGAGGAAAAACAGCCCACAGGCACTCTCAAAAGTGCTTTCTTCAGCAAAGAGAGAGCCTCCCTGTGCGACCTTGGGGGGTTATGTTGTCCAACATTCATCAACTCTCTATATGCTTTTTTCTCATACTGCTGCCAGAGGAGAAAAGCTGAAAGCAGAGGGGATCTGTGTATTAGTGTGAGGTGAAGAAAGGAGGAGCATGTGAGGCGCTGATGTCATGCTTCCACGGCACTCTTAATCAGCAGGACAAATTGCCCAAATCAATCATGGCCGCTCCTGCTCGAGCGACGGCACGGAGAACGGGAAGAGCACTTGTATGATTATCGTGAGAGATAGCCGTAATTGTCTCCTTAATGTCGCCAGAATGGTGACTGACACAGGCCTGGTTAAAATTGGATGAAAAGGACAGCAGACACTGGCGACACACACCCTCCGTCTCCACCGTCGACTTTACAGCACTTTCACGGGCAGCACACATCGATTCAGATGTGACGGGCGCCATCAAATAAAAGCAAATGGGCAAGGTTTGGCCGATAAGAAAGAAACAAAGAAGGACGGCGAGAGAAATCTGACTTTTAATCTGCAAAGAAGACAAACATCAGAGAGGGTGATTTTCCGGCCCACTGCCGTGACGAACATAACGAGGGGAAGAAAGAGAGTGATAAAAAGGGACGGAGCTGTTTCACTATCAGATCCTAGTGAACTGTAAAATGTAATGGATTTGTCAGACTTTCCCTGGCATATGGAAGAGTTTACAGTAGCGGGAGCTTAGTGTGCCATTAACATCCGTATGAGCATGCCGGTCATTATCTCTGATGTTGTATTAACGGTGCCGCCTTGTTTGAAAGTTACAGATGGAGCGCCCTGCATTAAACACATTAAGCAAAGGAACCAAATGTTTCACCCAATAATTCTCAGAGGAAGATGTCTTCTCCAGAGAAATAGATACAAAAAAATCCCCGTGGTTAAATTATATGGCAGGTAAATGCTAAAATACACTCTCTAATTGAAGAACGGCCATGGTCTAACTTCTACTCAAAGCTGTAAAAACTGAATATAAAAACGATTTCATAGATATCGAAGAGAGTGGACTAAACTCAACCTTGAGCCACTTCACCCTCTGACGTCTCAATAAATGTGAAGATTAGAACAGCAGAAAATGAGTCCTTCTCATTTTGAGACAGCCGTGCACGCATCAATATATTGGAAGGTACAATGAGACGGATATTCTCGCATGAGGGACGTGTCATTTCACTACTAATGAGCGGACGATCGGCTGAGCCCTCCTCTAGAGAGAAAGAAGGATCCGGCGTATCGATCAGCCAATCCTGCTGCCTGCTTTTATTGGCAACACTTGAGCTGAATGAAGTATTGATTGCCGCCGCGCCGTCATCTTTGGCTGAGATAAATATTTACAGGCCTTAGCGGATTTGTTACAACGCTTGTTCTACAGCTTAAACCTATCAAATGCTTCTATCGTATGGATTTTGGGCCAAAATGTCATCAAATCCTACCTCGACAGATCACATGTTTCACGTCTGTTTGTCGTCTTTCTGTGTACAAAAGTCAAAGGTGGCCTTATATCTGTGGTTCATGTTATAGCCACTGAACTCTGCTGTTTTATTAGAAGGCCATGGGACTTTCAGCACGCCCGGCTCTTTAAAGTCATGACCCGGAGCTCCCTTTAGAGCCAGAGAGAATCCCTTCTTTCACAATCAGTCAGAGTAACACCGCAGGGACAAATAGAGCGCAGATTTCTACTGAGGGATGGAGGGAAGGAGAGATGGAGTAGCAAAGGGGGAGAAAGAAGTCCTTTATCTTTATGAAGCGAGTCTGGCAGAAGGCACTGATTGGTACAACAGTCGGCCCTCGGTAGTCTCCCGACACTCTTCTAACTCCACAGAGAAAAGAAGTGATGCAAGACTGGATTGAGAATGACTGAGCTGAGGGAGAGAAAAGAGTGAGATATAGCTCAAGAGGGAGATACAGACTGATAGAGAAAATAATGTGTGTGAGGTGGGTGAATAAAGGACAGGTGGGAGATTAAAATAAATAGAATAAGGGTGAAGGAAGATAGTAAAAGTATGAATAACAACACTGATGGTTATTTATTACCCAAGGCACATTGGCCCTAAAATATGAAGTTAACTCAAACCAAACTTTATTGAAAATTCTGGAGATTTTCTTGAGAAAATAAACCTCATAGGGAATTAGGCCTGGCACGACTTATATCAGCATTGGACCGCCAAGTGTCATCAAATTCCCAACCATGGATTACTGAGGTAACACATCCACTGTTTGTGTATTTTTTTAAATGTCCTGCCACCTGCCAATATGATCATTTACATATGAGGGTTGTGATTCATGAACGCATCGCTGCAGAAAAAACAAAATAGCACCTGTTCAACTGGTTGTTAAAGGCAGATGGCACACCATCACTATTCCCGAAGTAAACATTAAATATGAATAAAATATTGGGTTGCTTCTCAATCCTTCAATAAATGAAGGCAATAAATCAAAACATTGAGAAGAGATGAGTAAGAGACATAGTTCTGTGCAGTGGCAATACAGATCGTTTGTTGAATCCTAGTTCTTAACATTGAATAATAAAACAAAAAGTCAAAAGAACAATTCTGGGATTCTATTCCATTTTTACGAAAAATATGAAAAATCATTTTGATATTGGTGGAATATATATGTGAACAATGTTTGACTTTCTCAGAGATCCCTGATAACCCACCAGCGACAGTCCGTTGGTAACGCGCCATTTCGCAAAGATACAAAGTTGGCTAAATCGGCTTCCATTTTAAGAATCTAGTATAAACTTTGTAATGCTCTTCTCATCCAGCTCCAGTAAAAGAACGAAAAGTCTTTGTCGTTTACATTTGCCAACATCATTTCAACTGTAATGGTAGCTAATTGCAGTTGCTGCTGACCCCCAGGATCGAGACATAGTCCCTCACATACTAGTATAGCAGCGACTGACAGGAAACCAGAAAATAGAGAAGGAAAACCAGGGTGATAACCAGGTAATGACAGGGTAAAGAAAGGGTCGTTCTGACTTACAGGGGCAGTTGGCGCCCTCTGGAGTAGTGGAGGGTGTCTTTCCGTCGGGGCAGCATCCGAAATCTGTGTTGTCGCAGGAGGACCGGTCCTCAGCTGTGGGTACTGTGGTGCTCGCCAATGTGGGACCTGGGGGGGGTGATACACAGGGGCTTAAAATAATTCATGAAACTGTAGAACATTCATATATTCCAGCCAGCTTATCTCAGAAACCTCATGGGAGAGAGACTTTTCCGGCACAGCTGGAGTAAAGTGTATCTAAGGTTAAAACCTACAATCTTTTGTTTTATTCAGAATTTGCTTTAGCTTCTGCAGCTGGTTGCGAGCTTTCAGTCCGCTGACCTGTGATTGGACTAATAGAGGCATCTGTCAGGAGTGATTATATGGCATTATTCATGGAAAATTGATTTTACACCTGGAACTCGGGCAGAGAGCACGTAATGGGCACTGTTGCCAGTCATGTCACACACAGAGAACTTTAAATGATGAGGGGATGTGATTATTGCTCACTGCTGATTGGTGTACAGTTAACTTCAAGGCTTCCCAGGAGAGCAACAAAAAAAAGCCTGTGATTGTGTTACAGTCCCCGTATATCTGGCTATCTTGGGACATAAAAGACATAAAAGTGGCTGGGCTTTCTCCCTGTGAAGAATGAGAGTGTGTATCAGCAGCGAAGCTCAGTCCTCTAATGATGGTGCTGGTGGAGCAGCCGTCGTGGTCCAAGTGGCGCAGTTTATGGCCGCACAGAGATTAGAAATAATCGTGGAGGCAAACAGCTAGGGGCTAAACAAGTCGTAAAGACGTCAGAGGCGAGGGACGTGCCGCTCAAGGACTCGCGGTCAAAAGGAGGCGAGGAGGAGAGAGGTTGCAGGGTTTATAGGGCATCTGTTGGCGTGTGGCCTGCAGATTTACCGATGAAGAGGAGAGAGCTGGTAGGGGGGACAGAGGGGAAAGCACAACAACCACGGGACACACTGCAGTGGGAGCACTGAGACACACACACACACATTTTAACACACACACACACACACACTTACACCCCCCCCCCCAACCTCACACACATAAGAGCAGATTTCAACAGAGCGCGGATATAAAACCATGTACAAACACACACCTCTGGCCTGCTTACTTTTATAGAGTCAGATAGTGATATGTGCACTCTGGATTGGAAGAACTCAGTGACATGAGAAGAGGGAGATAAGTTAAACACCCAAACACAAACTACAACTTACCTTTGACAACTAACCACCTTAAAGAAACATTCAAGTGTAGATTTGAATACCCATGTTTAAATCTACGCTGTACAATCTCCTGATCTGCTCACACTTTGATCACAGATTGATGTGCGCGCTAGCACTTCAAAACACACACACACACACACACACACACACACACACACACACACACACACACACACACACACACACACACACACACACACACACACACACACACACACACACACACACACACACACACACACACACACACACACACACACACACACACACACACACACACACACACACACACACACACACACACACACACACACACACACACACACACACACACACACACACACACACACACACACACACACACACACACACACACACACACACACACACACACACACACACACACACACACACACACACACACACACACACACCTCGCGCACTCTGGTCAGCTTCTGACAACAGAATAAATCTCTGACTCGCCGAGGAGGAGGAGCGAGGAGGGGAGGAAGAGCACATTGGGGGCCACGCTGCCCATCAATCATATCCTGTTACTGCAAGCTGTCAGCCGAGCTGGATGGATGGATGGAAAACAACAACCGAATAAAAAAAGAAGAAGCCATCCCTTGTTGTTCAAGCAGAGGTCTAGAAACGGCAGCGTGCTGTTACAGTCAGGAGTGCATGTCGAGAAAGATTTGAGAATTGTCATGTGACCTCCACACACACACTCACACCTCAACCTCACAGTCGCATCAGCCTGTCAAGTCAGGCTCCAGCGGTCCCCAGATGCGGGCCAACAGTTTCATCTGGCCTGCTGCAGTGTATTTTACAGAGCCTGCGTTTTGTTTTGCTAACTGTTGAGAGCGATGCGCTGGCGGAATGGAGGGGGAAAGAGCATGGGTGATGTAGTGACAGCAAAACCATGCAAATGCGTTCCTTTCTGAAATTGAGATATACATCTTCTGCGAGTGGAAATGACACAAACAGTGTCTGTTTACAAAGATTTATCTTCCCTGCCTGTCTGGCTTTGACATTTGTCTCCTCAAAAACATTTCCAGAGAACTACACAAGCCTGTGGCTTTCAATTAACAGATGATGGCATGAATGTGTAATGATGTAAGCTAAGAAAAGAGTTGGTACAACCCATTATTGGAAAATAAAAGCCCCTCCCACACAGCCCTCAAAGCATTATGGGTAATGAAGTGAAAGAGCAGTGATTTACCGACAGGCTCCTCTGCGCCACTGGCCTCCGTTGGAACGCCGCTACCTGCTTCCTCTTCCTCTTCCTGTTCCTCCTCTTCTTCCGTCTGGTCATCGCCGCTGGGCTCCCCACTGCCTGAGCCATCGAAGGAGACGGCGGCGGCGGGGGGGGGCGGTCTGCTGCGGAGGGTGGAGGTGGTGGTGGACTGCGGCGGCTGGGTGTGGATGATGTGGTGTTGTTTTGCTCTGTTGTTGATGAGGGTGGAAGAGATGGTGGTGGCAGGGGGCCACTCAGTGGTCGATGGCTCTTCCGTCCTCGGAAGCGGGATGGCCCACACCATGTTAGGGTGGAAGGAGGTGGGGGTGGTGATGGTGGCAACAGAGCTTGAGCTGGGGGTGGTGGCGAGGGGGTTGGGGGTGGGTCGGTCTGCCGGCTCAGAGATGGTTTCTGGTGGAGGGAAGGGGAGGAAGCAAGGAATGGATGAATGACTGAGCAAAGATGAAAAATGTTTGATTTTGCTTAACCTAACTAACTCCATTACAACTTCAATAGTCACACCAGTAGTACAAATCAACAATCATTAGCCAATATTAAACCCACTTAAAGAAATACTTAAACCCTAAAATGATCATTTGTATATACATTTCTTACACCGTTACCTTGAATTCTTGAACAAAATCTTGTTTGTCTTGCATGCCTACACCCTGTACAACAATCCAACTGAGTTTACTGAATTTAAGTAAATGGGGCTGTTTTATCAAAGCATTTGTTAAAAAAAGTTCACCCAACTTGTTTTAAGGGGCCCCATTATGCTCCTTTTCAGGTTCATATTTGGATTGTGTGCCTCTACTGTGACATGTTTAAATGCTTTAATGTTCAAAAAGTTCTTTATTCATCTCATACTGCCTGTGCTGCAGCACCTCTTTTCACCCTCTGTCTGAAACCAGAGCCCAGTCTGCTCTGTTGGTTAGCTGACCGATTCTGATGTTTTTTTGTTACTTTTATTGTCATTACATAGTACAGGTACTAGTAACGAAACGGTTTCTCTGCATTTGACCCATCCTAGTGTTAGGAGCAGTGGGCTGCCATTATTATGTACGGCGCCCGGGGAGCAGTGTAGGGAACGGTGCCTTGCTCAGGGACACCTCTGTAGCACTTGGTCTTGCCGGGACTTGAACTGGTGACCTTCCAGTTGCCAAGCCAAGTCCCTATGGACTTCGCACCACCGATGTTCTTGATCAACCGCTTAGAGATGTCCCGCCCCTTAGTCTATCACGCTCAATGTGTTGGAGCGCTGGCCATTAGAAGCACACACCTTAGATATTGATGTCACTATGTTACTGAAGTAAACAAAGGAGTCAAATGGAGGCGTTTCAGGCAGGGAGAGAAACTCCCTCTGGAGGGAACTTTGCAGACCATTTCAATGCACAAAAAGCTGTATAACACACTACAGGAAAGCTAATCCCCCAAAAAGCATAATATGGCTTCTTTGAATAATAAGTTATTCTTGATTCCAGATTCCTCGTTCAACCAGGAGGCATTCGTGAAAAACAAACATTTCTTTAAGAATTCAAGGAAACACAGGGTGAGTTATTGATATACAAATTACAAATTGGAATTCAAGTATTCCTTTAATCTATTATTACAACCTAGTGTTGACAATAATTTCTTACCTCAGCTTTTACTGAATGTCCGTTTAAAGGTAGGGTAGGTAAGAATGGAGAAACCAGCTCGAGTAAGCTAGAATTTGAAAGTATGCAGCCGAAAAAAATCTGCCCCTTCCTTCAGACTTCCTTACAGAGCCCCTCCTCCAACACACACTAACGCGCACATGACCAATGAGGGCACGAGATAAGTTTGTGCTCGAGATGGAAGGCTGACAGGCAGGTAGGCCATCCAATTATTTTAGCCGGCCCGGCTAAAATAATTGGTCGAGCTTTTTACAGCGCCATGGCTTCCACAGATGACATTTTTTTGTCAAAGCATTTCATGTATTCATTGCTATCGGGATGTTAAGAGCATTCCATGGAATATAACAAAAAGTGTTTCTGAAGTGAATTACCTACCCTACCTTTAAGTCTTCTAACCACTTATACTCAACAAAAAAATGAAATTAAAAAAACCTCCACACACATATGCAGACTCCCGTTTGTAAAAGCAACCTCTGATTAAAAACCCTGCAATGGATGAAATGTCAGGAATCTTTATCTGACAAACCTTAAGTAATGGAAGTGCATATAGCGGAATGGATATGGAATATGCCAACAGATGACATTCAGAGTTATTAGCACTGGTGCGCTTTTGCTTGTGAGCACACATATGGAATGCATGTTGGCGTGTTGTGTGCCAATGCCTATGAATTATATATCCATATTCAAATGCTGCCCTCCAGAAGCAAAAGCTTTAATCACCAAAAGCCAGTGCCTCCGGTGATGAATGATTGATAGAAATGGGGCAAAGAAAGCTTTAACTCGGGCTTCAAAGACGGCACACTGCTGCTCGCATGAGCATCCGTCAACGCCACCACAAACACACTGCTGTCAACAGACGCACCCAAACACACACAGGGGGAAAAAGAAGAAGTCCTTCCAAATGAGGGAAAGAGGCTCTCTGCAGAGAGACCATCATTACCAATGCAAAAAAAGACTCTGGTGCAAAAGGACAAACTGCATGTGACAAAAGAACGATAAATAGGACAGAAACTCCTGAAAGGATGGGGGGGGAGTGAGTTGGCTACGTACGTGAGCACTTCAGATTTAGCCGAGGCAAGCAGGCGTGACAATACTGTCGTTCTTCCTTTTACTTCTACACGTCCCACGAGTAAAGATGTGTGGGTGAAATGAACGGAAGATTAAAATAAAACCTATATGCCGCAGATTTGCGCCTCATTAGGATTCGCCTAACATTATGTGTAGGATTTAATTACACTTCTACAATCGGTTATTTTATCGGCAATTATTCACCGGGGTGTGAAATGTGATACCTACGGAGACGGCAGAAAAAGCCCAGGAGACACCGGGTGTCAGCTTAAAGCTCGCAGGATATTTGTACAGAGAGAGATTTGGAGTGGAGTGCACAGAGCGGCGATGCTATCACAGAGAATGGTGGCATGCGTTGGCTTTCCTCTTGGCTACACCTGTCAGTCAGGTGCCAGGCTCAGCGTCAGGCGGCCTGCTCCCTGGGAAGTGTGTTGTGGTGTGTTTGCATATCTCAAGCAGCGAGCTCCGTGACATGGGATAAGGGGGAAAAAAGAAGGCGTGTCTGAAAGAGGATAGAGGGACTGGCAGCAGTGTGTGTTCAGCTGATGCTTCTCTTAATCGGGTTTAACAGTCCGTTTGCCTTTTCTTTTTCTCTCAGTGGAGCCGATGATGTCACAGGGCGGAGAGGAAAAAAAATCATTGTCATCTCGGCTTGTCTAAGCCCTGTAGTTATTGTTGAAAGGTGGCTATTAAGACTGTTTGTGGTGTCAGTCGCGCTCAGTGTGGAGGTGGAGGAATGTGAATACAGGAGGGGGGAGCACAGCCAAGGGACTTAGGCTTAAGGAAAACATTTTTATATCACAAAATGAAGGTTAATAAAACTAGCAGTGGTGAGGGAAACAGTCGGTAACAGAATGTGGGATTGTGTCATGAGAGAAAATGGCAGGACCAGGAGGAGAGATGGTGAAGGCAGCAGACCCTGACACGCAGGCGGAGGGCTGCCCATGCCATATGCTGCCATTCGTTGCCAATTTGCCGCAAACCTACAGGTGATAACACCATATGGGAGAGGCGGGTCGTCGCCAACTTGGTGGCCATTTTCCCCTGCCGCCAAAATTTGCTCTACGCTCCAAATGCCCTCCCTCTGTTGCTCGCTACAGTGGCTCTTTGCATTTCTTTCTATCTGGGTTTTCTCAGATTCTGCTTCATCTTTTGCTGAGAAACACAGCAAAGAAAAAGTCCTCCGCGTACTCTGCCTCGCTGCCTTTTTAGCTCGGAGACTTCAGAGAGAGCCGGGTAGCGTGACAGTTAGCTGCAAGCTCTCCGTCACCAGCAGAACAATATTTTAAGAAGCTTCTTCTGCAGGATTCCCTTCCCATTATCGGCCGACTGTGCGGCAGTATTCTCACACTGTGGTATAATAATAAAAAGTTGTGAAAGATCAATGATGTAAAAGGCAAAAAGGATCAACATTCAACTCATTTACTCTATGGAGGCCCTTGACATTGCTCTCTTGTCAAGCTCGGTGAGCATTAGCATGCCACAGCGCTAGGGCCGCGAGTCTGGAGAAACTGCATGTAAACAGCAGGAGGGGGGGCGGGCCATGGTGAGGGGTGGAGGCAGAGCTAATGCTAATTCGCACCCAGCCACACGTGAAATGAGCTCGAGATCTAACCCCCGAGCCGACAGCATCGGCGGAGCAGCTACCCGCAGTGCGACCGCATCCGGGGGAAGAAATTAAAAGGTCCCGAGACGTCGGAGAGGCCCGAGCCCTCGCCTGTCTGCTGCTCCCCTGAGGGGCTCCACAGAGGAGGGGACCGCTGCGAGGCGTCTTCTATGTGCAGCAATGCTAGGTGAGGGATTACACACAACACACGTCTGCATTGCCAGGCAACAGAGGAATGTGACTGGATTTTGGCTCCTTTTTTGCTGGTAACCCACGGCACTGAATTTGTAAGTACCAGATGTTCAGGGACTTATCAAAGCCCTGTCGATCTCTCGCCGAGCCTATTTGGAATCTCTATCCGTGTACCTGCAAATCAACACAGACCATGTCAACAACCGTGGATGTGACCTACTTTGGGTCTGACAAAGACTTCTCAAAAGAGATAACTGGTGACAGTGTTTGGTCACCTGATCGGCACCCGTCGAAAATTCTTAACACCTGGCCGTGGCCCGTGGCCAGAGTCACACAGCTGGCCCTGCTCCCCCCCACCGAGCTCACTGACGACGTCTTTAGGACCCCGTTGTGACACAGGCTTGCAGTCGGTGCAACAACTTCCCTGTACATGAAAACCCTGGCCTTTGGCACGTGTCCTAACACCTATTACACATTGCCAACCCTAAAAACGTCCATCAGCATCTGGGCCAGAGGGAAGAGCTCTCCATTTTCACTCAGTAAACAGGTTTCCTGCATCCACCGTTACCCTAAAGAGGTCTGGCAACGTAAAGCAGATTGACGCAATTCCCCAACAGGAGGGCCAAACCCCTACAGAGCGTTGATGAATCCAAAACGGAAGTCATTCCTGCTGTGTGGGATTGCAAGTTGAACTTCAAAGCTGTTGGTTTAAAACACTCTAATATCTCTCTCTCTTAATCTAACTTCGACTAACTAAATATTTGCTGTAAGACAATCCTAATTGAGGAGCTTGAGATGAAGCAGCAAACAACATGATCTCCCTCCTTTATTTTAATCTTATCCATGAGTCACAAATGTGTCATTTGGAGTAAAATATTTGGATTGAAACAGTGTGATTGCTCTTGCTGCAGGATCATGTGCAACAACGTTCTGGGTAAATGTGCACACATGTTGCTCTGACTTCCTGACAGGCGGAGGAACAGCAGGGGGAAGATGATTTGTGGCCCACAGCTCTGCTCATTATCTCCCGAACCAGCTGACAGCAGTCGGCCTTCCATGATGCACGGACGGGGGCTTCGGGGAGGCTCACCTGTGCACTGTCCGGAGTGCTGCACCATGATGTCCTTGTCCTGCCTGCAGGCGATGGTCCTCAGCTGGCACTGGTCGGCGTAGGTCACCCCGTCTGAGCCGCACACCTGCTCCACAGAGACAGAGATGGAGAGAGGGGAGATGGGAACACATGTTACCTCCCTGCAGGCCGCTCAAACTAACTGTTGCAAATCGCTCCGTGAGACCCACCTTGGTTTTGTTTTTCTCGTCGCAGTCTGGGGAAGGACACTCGCAGTGGGCCTGGTCGTTCACCTCGATGCATGTAGCTCCGTAACTGCACACTAACTCCTCACATGAGGTGGGGGGCTCTGGACCTGTGGAAGAAATAAGTTTGTGTTGTAAAACATGCCGTAGGGTCTCAATATCATAGAGTTTATAGCAATGGAGCATAGCTGCATTATGGATTCTTTTGTGGCAGGTGTGGAGCTACATTAAAAGACATGTTTTGCATGCAAAACGTTTACATTTACATAATCTTTGCTAACAAACAAATCTTCTGCCAGTTAAAAAGAGTGTATACATACTACTTCATACTACAGATGTTGTTTTAAAGCTTACGTCACTTTTGACTCCTAACTCTGCAAAGTGACATAAATCGTTCAATTATTTTTAGTGTTCAATATTATTGTTTTTTGCACACACATAAGTCTGCATAAAATTCGAAAAGAAATAGGGAATTTGAAAGGAAAGGAAAGAACAAGCATTGACAGGCTTTTAGAACATCCTGTTGTATTTGCCTCAGGCTTCTCCTTAACTAACTAAAAACTCACTTTGACAAAGAAAGAGAAGAAAAAGTTAACTAAGCTGAAATAATTTAGAGAAACATATATTAATACAATTAATGACAACAAAAAGCGCAAAGAACCTGAAGAAAAATGAACAACACAGTAGACAGCAGTGCAATTAAAAAACTAATGCAGAAATAAAACACGACAGGGGGGAAAATATTAGAGAAAATATAAACATGTTTTTTAATATTTGTTCAATTATATCCAAAAAAGAAAAACGATTTTCATGGTGTTAATACTTTTTAATGTTTCAAAAATAGCAGATGTCCAATTGCTGTTATAATCAACAACAAGCAGGGATGAATCTGCATTATTGACAACATTTTTACTAATTTGACAACAAACTGCTGTGGGTCAGAGTTGTGTTAGTAACTCCTCCCTGACACCTCCCCCCTCTCTTGTTGATTTAAATATGCGAGAAGGTGTTTTATTACTCTGAACATTTGTCTCCTAAGTAACTCAGTGACCTCTTTTTTAGTCTCTTTACACCCACAGTAGTGCAGCGGTAATGTAATCATAAAATTGTCTAGTTATTGTACCTGCAACACTGAATTATTCATGTTTTAATAGCATTTCGCCCAAACTGCCTAACTATGGTTAAAAAAATAGTTATGAAAAGGAGTGCACTCAGGGATATTTATATATATATATTTTCTCCCACAGATCTCTCCTGATGCTCTCCAAAGGAAGCGTTTGAAGCCTTGAAGCCGCCGCAGCAGGGTCTACAGCCGGGGAGCCCAGCATCTACCTGCCGGGTTGGCGAGTGTGGGGTCTTTGCATTGTTGCTACATCACACAGGCTTAGAGCACCCCCCATCCCTTAGCACCGGCTTTCATGTGCTACTTCATCTTTTCATCTGGCGGGGCGTGTGGCGGAGTTCCCCACCACTGTGCCGGGACTGCTGGCTTCATTAAGCGTTTGACTTCTGGTCGATATCTGATGGTGCATCTTAATCAAGCAGCTGCAGACCCCCGCAGCAGGAACTAACATTTTCCTGCAACTGGCTTTTTATTAGCTTGTGCAATCACCGGGGCTGTTTTTATTATTAATCGAAGTGAATAATAGTCAGAGCGTACACATTGCAAATCGTCCAAAATGGAGTGTGTGGAGAAAATATCAATGGGTGCATGTCATTTGTACACTCCACTATTTTCCAAATCACTATCGATTTACTGCCCTCCAGCCGCTTCCTGCCTGTGCCAGTAAAGCAGATGGATGTGAAAATCACAGAGAGAGAAAACTGGCTGCTACGAGATCAGACGAGCACTTTGAAATGATGTAGGGAGGTTGTGACGGAAGAGAAAAACCGCCACAGGTTGGTACTCTACCTTTGTCGCAGCCGTTGGTGCTTCCGTCTCGACACAGGTTGCACTTCATGCCCTTCACTCCCGTCTTGCAGGAACAGAGGCCCGACATCTGCTCACAGTCGTCCCGAACCGAGCCCATGGGGTCGCAGTTACACGCTGCCATGGAGATGTAAGAGGGAGAGAAAGAGTGATGAGAAAACAATTAGGTACAATCACAGGAAGAGGTTTGGTTTAGTTTGAGGCAACACTTCTCTGAACGTCTCGGAGACAAAGGTTGGGAACAGTTCACACAGCCTGAGGGGCCGCAGGAGGAGTGTGTAACAGAAACCCAAGAAAACAACCCCAGGGAAGGACATCATGTTCCTGGAATCAATGATGTGTGTTTTTTTTCCCCTCCCCTCCCGCTGAAGCTGGTATTGGTGTGCGGTGTGCTGTCTGCTTACTGTGGGTAAACCTTGTTAAGGTCAGGCCACGGGTGAGACATCCCGCTGTTGACTGAAAATGCTCTGTGGCGTTGGGAGCGCATGTCCTATGTTCCCCCCAGCGGCAGGACATGAGCTGGTCACCATATTGCATTACAGCAGACAAACAAGGGGTCCTGACCCCACTCCTCACTCGAATACAAATTAAAACTGTTCATTCGATACAGCCTTGACATGACTAAAGGACACAGTAGGTTTGCCTCTTTTTATAAAAACCTACCAGCTGTATATTAGCCGTGTTATACACTTTTAACAGTCAACACGGTATGCAAGGACGTTTATCTAAAAAGTTCATATTCATTGGTGTCGCCATCGATTCCAAGAGATATTTATTTTACTGCTATGGGGTTGAGATATAAATCTTCTCTCTGACCGACAGTGGAATCCAGTCATGCAGATTTGGTTCTATTTGAAAAGGTTTTGTGATATCTTCCCCAGAAGGTATATGGCTCCAGCCCAATCAAATAAGGTGAGAGAAATGTTCCATAATTCAACGATAACTTATTTTCTCCTGTTTCTGAGTAACAGGAAGTGAGATGTTTTTGTTGTTATTATAAAAGTTGTTAATTGACATGAGATAAACAAGGATGTCTGTGAGATAAAACTGGTACATTTATATGTAACAGTTGTACAATTAAGAGTAAAGTCATAAATCTGCGAAAAATGAGCAGCTGTAGTCCACTCACCCCTTATGAAAACAAAGTGTAAATGTACCATACGCATTATTTGGGAAGAAACACAAAGCAGCAACCAGCACTGCCACATTTCACAGCTCCTACTGTGTTAGACACATGTAACGGTGCAGTAAAAGCACATTCGGTAAATCGGCACGGAAACAAAGAGGCGATTCCTTACGCGTGCATCCGCTGATGTTCTCCGTCACGATGCCGCGGAAGTTCCAGAAGCCCGGCTCGCAGCGGTCACACTTCTGTCCGCCCACGCCTGGCTTACAGGAGCACTGTCTGGCGGGATCACACGTCCCCTTGTAGGAGCCGTAGACGTTACACTGACAAGTACCTGAGGAGAGCATCGACACATCACTGCTTTATGCGTCTCTAACTGTGAAACAACCCATTATCCTGTGACTTACAACAGCTGGATACTGCTTGCTATGATGGATATTAAACATTTATGCTAGTCTGGAAATGTTGGGTAAGCCCTGTTCGGCAAATAAAAAGGTGGATAAAGTGTGCTTAGGTGAGTTCCCCGTCTCTAAATCTCCGTATATCCATATTTCCCAGTCTGCATTTTCTCCATCCATATCCAGAGCTAAGCACTTGATGCAGCGTTTTCTCCCCCCATCTGTGTGCTATCATTCGTCATCAGATGAAGAGATTTCTTTCTGTTGATATGGCGCAACATTATCATAATTATTCGTCGGATTAAGATGAAACGTTTTGGGCTCTGCGACTTTGGTAATTGCAGTCAAGGACAATAAGTCCCATATGCTGAAAGAGCCTGATAGTATCTCAAACTTTCTGCATACAAACGCAGGGGTCAACGGGGACGTACGTAGGTGGGTGACTTACTAGGACATCCAGCCAGTCCGACTCCTAGAGCAGCAGTCATGTTGTCGTGGCAGCAGCCGTACACAGACTCGCTGCAGTGCTGGGGCTCCGACAGCTCCGGTCGAGATGTGGCTGAAATCGCTGATGAGGGAGGAAGAAAAAGGGAGGGGTGGGATGGTAGATGGCACAAGGAGAGAAAGAAGAACACCAACATTTGAGTGATTACGGAAAAAAGGAGGGGGGGAAGGAATTAGACAACACAATCTCCGAGCTACATGTAACTTTTTTTTTTTGCCAACTATGAGATTGGCTGGAGGGGCAGAGGTGGAGAGGCTGGCAGCCGGATTCAAGATAAGGATTCTATTTGCTACTTCCTCCACAATGGCTCAAAATCAGGGGGAAAAAGATGCTATTACTGTACCTCCAGTGAAAACAAACAATGGCGCCGCCGGTGAATGCGCAGCGGCTGACATTTACCACCTACCAAGAGGCATGTTCTCTTAATTTGTTCTTGTCTAATATTACCGGAATTGCAGTGCTGCCCTACAACCTTCCCAAAAAAATAAATAAATAAACACTCAATGTCAGGGAATGTGCCGAGCAGTTTCTGCTTTGCGCAGCGTGTGGAGAGCTCCTTTTGTGTGAGGATGCAGCAGCCTTCAAACTGGTCTGACAGCTCGGAATAAAGAAGTACATTCAACAAAGTCAAAACAAATGTGTTCCCGAAAATCTGGCGCTTCTCCAGAAATGGGAAGAGAACAACAAAACAAACACTAGGAGGGTGTTTGTTTCTGGGGGAGGCAGAGATGTAATTGTTGAGTTTTTGTCCAGACTTCGGTGTGAAAAGTAAAGTTGTAGAGATAGAAAGTAGGGATCTTCCCCTTCCTTTTTTTTCTCTCTTTTTTTTCTCCGTTCCCCCGCCCGATATCTCTTTCTCTTGTGTTGCTCATTTAGAGTTTGGAGGCTGCAGATACAGGGTCATAAATCACGCTGTTACTGGTGTGGATATGAGCCTCAGCCTAATGGTGATGACTCGGCGCGCTCTTTTTCCAGTGCTTTCCCACTCCAGAGATTGGGCTTTGGACACAGTTCATTTAACCTGCCACATTTCCAGAGCTCCCTTTCAGCTATCTGTACTGAGCCTATTAGGACAAGGCTGAACTTTTAATTTCATATGTTCTTCCACCCTTCAAGGGTTTTTTCTCTTCAGCGGCCATTGTCCGGCACGATGCGGCTCTCTGTTATATTACCCTCACATTTTCAAGGTCTGCTGCAGCCCTTCCAGTGTTTGTAGCCTTTTTTTTATTCTTCCCTCAAGGGCCCATCTGCACGTTTGCTCATCTAGCAAACCAACAAGTACTTTTATTGGATTTGACTGAATCCCTGACCCAGATTTGAGTTTGAAAGCAGCTAAAAAAGACAGTTTGAAATGCTATGGTAGGTAAAGTTTACAAATGTGTGGATGTAGGCACATTTTTTAATCATCAGAATAAACAAAATTGCTTTTAGTGAGAGCCGGCATGTTTTCGATAAGTTTCTGCAGTTGAGGTCAAATGAAGTTTCTCCCTAAATAGCTAATGGGGAGGACAGTTACATTCCCCAAGATCTGAGTATTTTCCATTTGCCAATAGGAGAGGAGAGCCCAGAGCTCTAGTACCCATAGAGGGCTCTTCAAAAAAAGGATTGATTATCCACGGATGGTGGTGGAGAAGCGTGACAGTCAGTGCCAAAGGAGGCCAGCTTAGGAAGGGGAAGAATCTGCAGGGATATGTGTGAAAACACTGGCAGCTCCCCTCTTTCTCACTCTCTCTTCAACTCTGTCCATCCTCCTCTATTTGACAACCCAGGGGGAATCAAACAGGCTGGAGTGATCACACCAAATCCCTCAAGTGCCTTTTTGCTCAACTCCCTGGCATGTGCTAGCAAAAGCTTTTCATTTAACATAGCCATGGAGAGGAGGCTAACCTTTGCGACCCTGACCTGACCACTATTCCTGCCTGATCAATGTGATTAATTTGCATGCAAAGAGAGGGGTTTTATATAAGAGTAATTGAGGTATCCCAAAGTAGTTAAATGGTTTAAATTGTGAGAATGTCTGGGCAGGAAAAGAGAATCATTATTGCTATCAGCTCGATCCTACATGCGCCCGTGAGAGAGTTTCTTATCTCTGCACACTGGCTGGCCCCAGAGGAACGTTCAGTTTCCAGAAATTGGTGTCATTAAGTCAACTTACCCTGAGCAAATGACCCAATCATACACATTTCACCCTCTTCAGTTCATTTGCTTATGGTTACAGTTGTCACTTTGCAGAGATGTATACTCTACTGCCCCATCAATGGATGAAATGAGTGGAGAAATGCGATGTCAATGACAATGAGTCGTGGTGAGGGTGCTGTTGAGCTTTGTAATGACATAAACTGTGATTGGTGTAATGTACAAACCTGCACAGGCTCCCTGATTCTGAATCAACAAGTGCTCCTGTTTCTCACATCTGGCCTTCTTCAGCTGGCACTCGTTGCTGTAGTTTTTGCCATCCGAGCCACAAACCTACAAGAGAATCACAGGAAGGTGAAGGTATGGTCATAGTCGGCTCAGCTATAAGGTCACTTCACTTGAAAATAAAGCTACAGTATACAAACAATGTATGTTAGCATTGCCATATTTAGATCAGTGGATGACAGCTGAGAAGGAGGGCAACTAATGATTATTTTTATTTTATTGATGGTTATTTTTGGAGATTATTTGTTTAATCCTTTTGTCAGCAAATAATGACAAAGATCAATCCCTTCTAAGATGTTCATTTTATAATGATATAAAGGCCTACATCTGTTATTTTAAAATACTTAACACAACTTGTAAAATCAGAAGTACAGTACTTCATCTAGGACCGTTTTTTGTTAAAAGAAACAAGCCATTTTAACAATCATGTTGACAGGACATAATAAGTCTTGGTACTGTCAAAAATGTAATGGTAGGTTAAACAAACAAATCAGTTTTTTTACACAGATATTGTTTATTTTAAGTCAATTTGGGATGACTTTTTGCAGCAAGATGATTTAAACTGGAAGTACTGTATACAATTGTTCAGGAACCCTGAACCCAGATTTCAACATTTACATACATTTCTTATATTTCATATTTGTACATTTTTCCCAATTTGCACCAAGAGAATCATTTAATGATGTTACAACGAAGGTAAAGACAACTATCTGGATTGCTTTTGCTGAAGAAAACGTGTGGGAATGCAGCTCTTTGATGTCAGATGTTTGTTAGTTCACTTTGTCTCTGTACATTAAATGTGTTTTAATTAGTGGCAGCCGTACCGTGTTGTGAGGCACACTCTGACAGGTGAAGTCACACATACAGCGATCGTCCTCGGCATCCTCGTCCCACGAGCCTCCGAACATGCGACAGCGGTCCTGTTCACAGCTCTCCGCGCCTGATCCTGACCCTCCTGAGCCGCAGTCTGCATTAGAAACACACCATAATACACAGCGTCATTAATAAAACATACCAACCCACGAGGGACATGCCCTTTTAACACTGCGCCAGGTATAAACAGCGTCCTACTTACATTTCTCTTTAAGTTACAGCTACATTTACACATGAGGAACATGGCAGAGTTGGGATCATTGACATTTCCCTCATGCTGGTGGTGGAGAGAGGGAAGTAAAGGGGCTGCTGGTAGTAGAAGATAATGACCAACTCTAGTCGAAGCAAGAGATTGACTAAATAAATTAGACACAACATCTCTGCACCACAAGCGAGGCATCCTTTTAATTTCAATTAAATCACAGACAAAAAAGAGGAGGGAATTATTAACTCCGGCTTCCAAGTGTGTGAGAGAATTGGTGGCAAGGCCTGCTTTATGGGTGCCTGCTCCCCGATATGAGAATACAACTAATTGCAAAGTGTTCTGTAAAATCTAATTATCGCCTGAGACTTTAGAGGAAGCTGTACCCGCTCCTTTTTAACTGTGACCCTGGGAGGCCTTTTATTTGTGTCAGAAGTGCACTGGATCGAAGTTATTATGCTAAAGAAAAGGTAGCAAGGCCAAACAAAGTCCCACAATCAACGGGATTTGTGGGTTCACAAAACTGTCATCGTTGAACTATTGTGCAAACCTTAGCACAAGCTAGGAAAACTTTAACACGAGGTAAGCAATCCTTACATGAAAAGGGGGGAGAAAAACATTACCAGCAGGGCCGTTTATGGTGAACAAATAGTTTTATTTTGCATGTGTAGACTGGGGGAGGATCCTGCTTTTGAAGTTGCAAATTCCACCTTGAGTGGAACTCCGGAGGGAGATTAGGTGAATGTGGGGAATGAAAGCTGGAGAGAATGTCAGTCGGAACGAGGGAGGCACCCCGGGGGCTGGCAGAAAGTTCATGTGAAACTAATGTGTTATTCAAAAAAGGAAAAAAGGAACGCAGTTAAGCTAAAATCTCCCAGCGTAGCCTCGGAAAAACATCAGGTAATCAACTCGTTATTTCCTCTTCCTGTCTACTTTTAGGGGCTCATTCAACCCCTCGGTATTGACGCGCCTTCCTCTAATGGTGTAATCAATGTCGCCGAGATGGAAGTGCCACTTAGCATAACCCATCTTCTAAAGTAGATTATGGAGCGGGTCAGAGAGCGGGGGGCAGCTGAAGCCCCAGTTGTTCTTTGATATGGGTCATCAGCAATGGGCTGTGACGGCTCTGTGTGGTCGATACAGTGGAAGGGGCCTTCACTTCATTACATGGAACTGGAGCTTCGTGTAGAGGCCACATCCCACCCCCCCCCCCCGCAAACATCAGGACTCACTCCGTCTCCATTTTTAAGCCAGCACCAACCTCCGACCCTAATCCTTTGTGCTTGAATTTGCAGTCGTGGCTACTTATCGATTGCTGGCCCACAGTCCTATTTAAACATAACAGTTTGTGACAGGGCTAATGCACGGGCTAATGGCGTTCAACTACCAGTGGCATAGCGGCAGATATCTGAAGTTAGATCAACAGTAAAGGCTTCTGACTCCATGACAGATGAAAAAAAGAATGAATGAGAACTTGCGGCATTGGTGTACTGTACAGCGACTCAGCAAGACGCAACAGAAAGAGAAATGCAGGAGTAGCCAATTCGTATTCTGCTCAGGCCCCCCTCACGGAGACCAGATAAATAAATAAAAGAGGTAAGACATTAGAATGGAATAAATAAAAGTGAAGGGCGAAGGGGGGTTCTAATTAGCTGTTGCTCTTTGATGTGCCCTGCCACCCGCGCTGCATATGAACCTTTCAATTAATACATCCCCAGCTAAGACGGCTGCATCAGCTATTCTCTCGGCACTGGCCATCCGCTCCTTTTTACTCAATCATGTCAGAAACCCACAGTCTATTTAGCCAAGGGGAGCTCTATTAAGATGGCAGCATTCGGGAGAAGAAGGGAAATGAATAGCGTGAGACTAACGTCCAAGGAAGAAAGAGAGCTGAAAAAAACGTTATGTGGATTTGACAGTGAAAATAATGAATAAGTGATGCCATGTGGAAATGTTGGGAAAACAGAGGGAGGAGAATGAAGAAGCTGAGAATGAGGGTAAATAATAGAGGAGATGCAGCCTGGAGATGTTTTGGTGGACCAGATAAGTTGTGTTTACATCAAGGGCTCCAGGAGCGATCACATTTAATGGTGATACTTTGATATTATGACATGCGCGAATGTCAACTCGGACATCGATCATTGGGAACGCTGTTGGGCAAAGATCTAAAATGACACTGGTCTTTGCTGAAGGATCAGTGTGGCGCCATTAGCCTTTGTTTTCCCTCCATCTATCAGTCCCTGCTCTTTGACGGATGTGACAGCGTGTTAGTCCAAATAAAGTCCTGCGAGATTGAGAGGGATGGGACGTCACGCCCTGGCGCAACAAAAAGGGATGGCATGTTTGGAGATGGCAGCGGGATAGAAGACGTTTTGTTGCCTCAACAGAAGGTCACGAGCCCTGTGATGGATGGACCACGAGGGATCAAATCCGCTGATCTCACTCGATGAGCTCTTTTCCCACCCAGCCGCCCACTTTGCTTCATTTTTACCGCCCTTTCCCGTCTTCCGGAGATTTTATTGATCTGATTTGTGCAATGTGAGGAGCAAAGGGTGCACCACTGTGTGAATCTTTGCTCATAAACTTGTTTATTAAATGTCTATTCATTTAAAAAAAAAAAAGAAGAAGAAGAATAAGAGCCCTGCCCCCTCGGTTGGTGATGCACTGCTCTCAGTTGCCACTTTGTCAGTGTCGGGAAAAGAAGCTGAGGCCAGGCCTACCCGGGTGTGAAATTAAACAGGTGATATATTTCCCTGTATGGCCAACAGTGGGAACACTGTCATTTTTCATTACTGTTAAACTAAAGGCGGAAGAAAACAACTTCAATTTTTTTAATGCTCTATGCCCGATCCCCCCCTCCCCGACAAGACTAATGAGGATGGTTTTTAAGTCTATTCTACGTAAGGGAATAAATCTCATGTTCACTTCCTCTTCAGGCTTATCTTAGGTATGAAGTATTGAGCTGGAGGTTGTGCGCACAGGTGATGTAGAGCTCTGCTGCTGTCTACAAAGGAGCCAGGAAATACAGTCTTTGGTCTTATTTATTGTGACCGACTGCTGTATTACACTATATATAAAACCTACCATCCATACACCTAGGGTGGTGATACATATATCCTGTCTTACAGTAGCCAAAGAGAAGCTTCCTACAGATATTTCAGGGAAGGAAAAACAGTGACTTGGTTTTGATCATTTTACATTCACAGCAGACTTCCTGTGGAGGGTCTGGGGCTGATTTGAGGGGGGCTGAAAAGACCGGGACAGAGCTGGCAGATTTCACCCCTAGGGTGAAATGTATCGATTGCGCACAATCCCATCTCCACCGTCATCTGTGAAAGCATCGGTGCCCCCTTTATCAAGAGGCACAATTTCAATGGAGAAGAGTGCAAAATAGAGAGACTTGAGTGGGTGGGATGGCACGGCGGGGAGCAACGGGGGAACAAAAAGAGAAAAACACGATTCTTTTGTGTAAGCCTGATGGTTTTCTCTGAATCAAAATGAGCAACTGACGAAAAAAGGAAATGATGTGCAGACACAGTATGAGAAAGAGAGAATAAAATATGAAGAATATATGCGCCAGGAGCAAAGCAATGCCCTTGGGGAGGCAGAAGAGACAAGCAGCAGAGAGAGTGTGCAGACGTACAAGGGTTGGTTGTGACAGTGAGTATCTGTGCACACATTTCTTCATGCTCCACATACAGAAAAGGTCACTCGTCTCAGTCAATGAAATTATGTTAAATCGACCACAAGAAGATTTGGTGGCACAATTCGCATCACAGGCTCAGGGCCAATATTGGACAATGTTAGAGAAAGTTTAAAAAAAAAAGGAAAAGAAAGGAACACCGCTGGCGAGCAATCAAAACGGAAGAGGATTCCTCTCATCTCTATTTGCTCTGTCCTCCATCTATCCCCTCTTTTCTTCTCCCCAGACGTCCCCCCCGCTGGCAGGTGTAATCTGCTCCCCTTCACACCTTGTCAGAGTAAGAGTATGTTGGCGTCGGCCTGACAACCAGAGGATGGCATGTTGCTCCCTCCAGAGTTGTCCCCTAGACGGGCCCCAGTGAGAGGGGCTGTGAAACCCTGCCTCGGTCTGTCAGCGCTTATCAAGATATGATTTGCACGCTGAATTAGATCTAGTTTATTCAGAATGTGGAGGAACAACGGAGCTAGAAATCAGAGATACTCGCATTAAGGGCCATCAGTCACACACTTTAAAGCATAATTGGATTGAAAGGGCTTGATAAAATGCATACTGTGAATTCTCAAATAAAATCGATACAAACAAATAAAACATGGGCTCTATTTAAAGAAGAAGGAAATGACTTGTTCTACAATGGCTTGAATGGCAAATATCGAGTAAACATTTTCATGTGTGCACGTTTCTGTTTTTAGCACAAACACTGTTTTGTAATGATATACTTCAACAGGGTTACCTAACCACACCTTTATGAGGTGCATTACTGTGATATTACCGTAATGTTTATTTTTTAAGAAAAAGGGTTTGAATCCGGTCCAAGGCCAGATTCAAACCCTGGGTCCTCCGCACACAAAGTTTAATGTCTTATACAGATAGGCTTTTCACTGATTGAGTAAAAGTATGAACAACAATATTTATTTTTCTATTTAGTACAAATGTACCTCAACGCACATTTGTTCTAAATATCACAAGAAAAGATGCAGGTAAGGAAAGAGGGAGGCTTGTTACTAAGATATGATAACATATAATAAAAATGTGGTACATAAGATAAGATAAGATAAGATGGTACTTTATTGAACAAATAAAACGTTTCCGCTAATATGATCCTGGGTCTACCTGCAGGTGAAATAAATTAAAACCATTTGAGAATGTTTCTGTAACAGGGGCAATGAAGTGAAGAGAGACGCACTTATAAAAAACAAACAAGACCATTCAAATGCACCGCTGACCTGAACTTAATCACCCAGAAGTCATTTCTGTAGCTGTAATAGGTTTTCCTTGATGGACACGCAGTATGATTGCATCGTGTTCTATGTAAGCCTGTTTGCATGCTGCTGGTGGCATAAGAAACCATTATGTTGAATTCAACAGTTGACTGGATACCGTACCACAGGTCAGTTGATAAAGATAATTACACCATTTTAAAGGCCAATCGGTGAACATGATCACGCCATTTTAAAGTCCATTTCCTACCTTCGTCGCAGCTGCCGGGCTTGGCTGCATCGATCTTCCTCTTCTGCTCGCAGGAGGCCGTGCGGAGCTCACACTCGTTGTTGTAGGTGGTGCCGTCGCTGCCACACACCGGGGAGAAGGCCTCGCCCGAGCACTGCGGGCACTCGCACATATTATGGACGCAGCGGGCCCCCCAGGCACACACGGTGCTGCCGCATGTTTCTAAATCAGAACAAGAACGGGTCAATGGGTTGTTTCGAAGGATTTCAATCACACCAGACCTTTAAACGCACCTCTGGATGAATGAATTCTCTGGTCTTTATCTAATTACCATGCATGGCATTTTCTCTCGTAATATATCCCTCTCTTGAAACTGACATATACATGTTAACTTATTAATTCTTCATCTGGCCAGGTTTGTTGGGATATGAACTGCCTCCACGCGGCTGAATGAGGCTCCTCTCACTATTATTTCATATTTTCACATTTGATTTAAAGCTGCAGAAAAAGCACTCCCACCGTCTCAATGGATGCAACCTTTGCATATCACGCATTTGTCTAAACTTCTACATTTGCAGAGAAACATTCATAGTCTTCCTCTGCTCATCTAAACAATAATTCATTAGTAATTCATGTTTTCTGTTCAACCTCGCCTGCTTAAAACTGCACAGCTTGCAGAATAATCTGTAATAATCTTGTTATACATCCTTTTTTCTAAGTACATTAAAATGTATAATAGTTTTTAAAAATAATTCTATATTTGATCTTTTTACATCTAAATTCCTCTAACTGTGTTAATGAATAACATTTCGCCAAAGCAAATTCCTTGTATGTGTAAACCTACTTGGCAATACAGTGGTGCAGGAATGAGTCCTAAAACCCAGAAATTAGTTAGCATTTTACAACCTCCAATAGCCTCGTCTTGAAATCATTGTTTTTTTAGTTCAACCTGAAATAAGGTATATAATACCTTACTTTACATAATAATAATGTGGTTAACATAAGATGTAATTTAGGCTCTTCACTTCTGTTGATTGCATTTACGCTTCAGAAATCACAAATTGGTGGTAATATGTTTATAATGGGAGACGTGTGGCGCAGTGGGTTGTGTGTTGGTTTTCGGATCAGGTGGTCACAGGTTCAAACCTGCAGTCAGCATGTCGTTGTGTCCACTTCACCCCAAATTGCTCCTGTGGGGATTGCCCACAGTATTGAGTATGTAAATCGCTTTGGATAAAAGCGTCTAACAAGTGACATGTAATGTAATGTAATAATAATCTGCCGAATAAAAATGTTATGTATCATAAAAGTGTGTTTGCCACACATTTAATTTTCTGCGATATTCCAAAATCCATTAGGCGAGGGAGCCATGGTGATTCTAATTTCCGGGTCGGCCTACACAAAGACGTCATCACTGCACTATTATAAACCTGCTTCTGGTTCTGATGACACTGTATAAATGTATGTATGTTACTTACTGCACTCGCCCTGGCTGACCACTCGGAGGTCCATCTGTTGTTTGCAGGCGCGCACGTGCAGCTCACACTCGCTGTTGTAGGTGCTTCCGTCACTGCCACACACAGGCTGGTGGGACTTCACACACTCCGACGCACACACACACTGCCCGCTCTGGGCATCGCAGATTGCCCCGAAAGAGCAGTTGGCACAAGAGTCATCTAGATGGAGATAAAGAAGAAGGCTCAGTACGTGTGTTTATGTGTGTGTTTCAGTGTGTTTTGTTGCTTGCATGCAATTAATCTGCAAACACAAAGGCCTGACTACACATCTTTAACTCTACATTTTTTATATTTTGACTGTACATATTCACAATTACTCTCATGGTTATAGGCGGAACATTTATTTTTAAGCACTTTTACAGTATGGTCAACACAATAGCAACTTCTATCAAAATAATGTTATTGTGGCATTAAGATAGCAGTAACATGCTGTTAACAGTGGCAGAAATCATATATTGACTCCTAATGTTGACAGCCATTAAACAACAAATTGGTGAAAATGATTTGTTGTCTTTCTTGACAAGTTGTGATTCTGACAGCAGGTGTAGTGCTTAATGATGCAGTCAGTCATTGGTACATATTCATCTATAAAGCTATGTTGGGTAAACTCCCAACTTATATATGCTCTTTGATCTCACAGAGAGTGGCAAGTAGCTATTGCCTGAGATCCCAGGATGTGTTTTTATTACATGTGCCAAGTGCTAGGACTGTTTTTAAAGCTTTTATGTGCGCTGCTCCTCTAGCTTGGAACACTATGCAAAAGAAATTGAAACTGAGCATTTTGATTCCCTTGCATCATTTTAAAGCACGACTGGATGAAATTTTTTATTTATTTTTTATTTTTATTTAGCCTTTATTTATACAGGTGTAAAATCTCATTGAGACACAAGGTCTCATTTCCAAGAGAGACCTGTCAGTGGTAACACTACCACACAAAGTTACAGACAGACAGGACACTAAACACAGAGGCAACAATAAAATACATCGTAAAAAAAAAAAAGTAGCCATTGAAATGTTGTTAGATACCTGTCATTGTGAATAGGTTGCTAATTTATACCCCTGTAATTATGTTGTGATTGTCCTTTTTGTTTTCTGTTGTTTTTATGTGTAACCAATGTACTGCAGGTCTCCCTTGAAAAAGAGATCGTTGATCTCAATGGGATTTTTCACCTGGTTAAATAAAGGCTAAAAAAAAAAAAAAAAAAAAAAAATAGAAGTGCAGAGATGCAAAGTTTCCATACTGAGGGGTGAATTCCCCAAAATGTATTGTGGCCGCTGATGAGAAGATGAATCATGCATCATTTATGCATCATACTACAGTATCTGCCCCATATCAAGGTCTAATTTACAAAAGATACTGCGCTAATGACATCACAGGGCATGAACACCCACTAAGTTTTGAATCTGTGTGCAATGTGCCTTCTATTTGTAGGGAAAAGGGGATAAATAATGAGTTTATTTGTTTAGAAAATTCTATTCTATTATTGGTATTTCCAAAAATGACAGGTAGAGCAGCTTTTTTCATTTATTTTTCATGACACAACTGTCATTGCATTCTGTCACTGGATCAGGAAATAAATGAGTTTGAGCTATCGCCTGGCTACAACAAACACTGCCATGATCACTGCCATGCCATGTGGATTGGACAGTTTTTGCCATATATACAAAGGTGTCTGTTTCACACCATTTTACCTAATTTAAATAAGTGCAATAGCAATGATTGAGAATTACAGTTTCTTTTGGTCTTATTTGTACAGCTCTAGCATCTGCCAAATCTTCGCAAAACGTTTGTGAACTGGGTCCTCCGTGTAGAATGGATGTAACACTTTATTGGAGTCCACCTGGGACAGATTCAATTGATTTGAAATACTTTGGAAAGGCACACACCTCTCTATTAGAATGTGTCACGGTTCAGATGCATGTGTGCACTCAAAACCGAGCCATGAAATTCTAAATAACTCTCCGCAGATAGAATCCAACCTGGGCATAGATCTGAAGGAAAAAATGCTCCCAAAGTGCTGAAAGATTCCAGGAAGCACAGTGGGCTCCATCACTGAAGACATTTTGGAACCAAAACATCCCTCTCTTTAGCTGACAGTAAATAACCGAACACAAAAAGCTTCAGGCATTTCGCAAAAATAGTAGAAGCTGGCAGAAGGACAACCGTCTTTTCAGCACTCCATCAATCAGGACAGTACGGGAGAAAAGAGTCTGAACTGGAGCTACTTCTGAGAAAAAGGGCACAAGACAGCAAAGCGGGAGTTTGCCAATCGACACTTAAAGGACTCTGAAAGCATGATGGAAAGGATTTTCTGGTCTGATGGGACAAGAATTGAACTCTTTGGCTTGAATGCCAATTGCTGTATATCTAGTGACAGCCAGGTAGTGCTCATCACCACGGCAGCACTGTCCTTTGGGGGAATTCTGAGCAGCAGGTACTGCAATAGCTTTGGGAAGTGAATCAGAAAATACACACTTTTCTAGTTGCATTCCTACGGTGGCCGACAGGTGCAAACTCGCTATAATTGCCCGAAACATTTCCATTATGAGAAATGACCTGCAGTTTCAAAAACGATGCAAAATAAAGAATCTTAAATGTGCCAAAACACATGCAAATTCACCAACTTGACAACACATGCGCAGCATTTAGAATCAATTCACCAGCTTGACGACACACAACGGAAACGAGGACACAAAAAAGTGATGCAAACAGCTGGGACCGGAGCGCTTGTTGACATTCAGGTATTATAAAGTTGGCCAACTGTCACTGTCACTGGAAAGTGACCTAACATTTACATTTATTTTAACAATGTTATCGCATGATTCTAACGCTAAAAACAACGCTCCGGTCACCTTTTTCTTATGCAGTGCTTCTAGTAAACGCATTGTAAGCCAGTGAAGATGTTTCTTCATTTGTATGTGTTTTGGCACATTTGTGTTTTTATTTTTGCATCGTTTTTGAAACTGCAGCGCGTCTCTCTCAATGTCGGCCACCGTACATTCCTCCCTTTGGAAAGTGGCTTATCAATATGCCACTTTCCCACTATCATCTGTATTTTCTTGCCAAAACAGGCTTAGAGAGCTTATAAGTTGGAGGATTCGTTCAGACCATCTCATTGAGGAATTATCTGCTTCTGAAGTGTTTCCCTGAGGATACAGCAAGGCAGGATGGGACATGTTCAGGGTATTGACTGATGCTGCATGGGGCCGGGAAACAAATGAGAAGGCAAATGCGAGGCCTCGTAAGCAGCAGACAGGCTAGCAGTATTATGCGCCTATCCCTCTGACACCAATTACACCTGGAGGATTGCATTAGCCCAGCTCGCTATCACATTCAATTAGGGGCAAGCTAATAACCGCTGCTGATTTCGCACTAATTGAGAGAGGCGAGGCTGGCCGCTGGAACTCTCTTTCCACATTATTAATCTGTTTATTACTCTTTGAGAGTCTTCTATTGCCTCTCCATCTAGTGCTGGCATTCACTCTCTTCTTCGAATAGGAGCCTAGACTGAGAACTGAACAAACAGTATGTTGCCCGTAGGAGCAATATATTCCTATTTTACTAAAATTACACATTTTATACTTACACATTGCATGAGAAGAGCATGCAGGATCTTTTTCTTTTTGTTAAAACAATGTGCATTTCTAGTTTGGCTGTTGAGGGTGTTTCTGGGCAAGCTTCCTGTTTTAACATCTTAAAGCATTTATAATCTTCCCCCTGTAAACTAAATAAATAAACATAATATATCAAATGGGAATTGGTGTGGTTTCTCTTTGGCTGTGGGAGCTATACATCAGGAAGTGGCGGTGCCGAGAGTCGCCCGTTATCAGGCCTGGTGTCCTGATAGCAACCTCGCCTATTTATCTGCTCCTGCCCCCGGCACCTGGCTCCGCACGATCCTCCAGACAACACCGCAAACACACGGAAAAGGAGAGGAGTTGGAGTTCAAAGCCAAGAGCAGAGGGGAGAATTGTCGCCATTACTGGCAGTGTTAAGATGTCCATTTCGTGTCATCTCAGATTAAGTTATCTACAAATCTGAGTTTTAGTGAATTTTTTACTTCAGAACTTCACAAGCATGAAATGATGAGACTTTAAGGTAAAAAGTCTGGCATCACGATGGGTTCTAATGTGCTCATCTCATTTAAATGTACTTTCATGTCCACCAATGCACAAATCTCTCCATCCAGTAATATGTACGGTACAACTCAGTGTGACCGAGATCAAAGTAAGATATTTTAAGACCTTCTTATGATAGTTCTAATGAAATATAATACCAACTGAATCCAAAGCACCTGATTCAGTCCGGATGCAGTTGAAAGTCCGCACCAAATAGGACCTGTCTCTGGCCGTTAAATGGCTTGTGGCGTATGAATCTGAGCCAAAACTGGTGCCCAGATCATAAAAGTTTTAGAATATTTGTGCGCCATTCATAACAAAAAGGGGTTCAATTATGCAAATGTTTAGGTTCATATTTGGATTTTGTGTCTCTACTGTAACATGTCTCCATGCTTTAATGTTCAAAAAGCTCTTTACTTTTCTCATACTGCCTGTGCTGCAGCACCTGTTTCACCTTCTGTCTGAAACCAGAGCCCAGTCTGCTCTGATTAGCTGGCCAGCTCTGTTGTGATTGGTCAACCACTTAGAGATATCCCGCCCCTTAGCCTATCATGTACAATGTGTTGGAACGCTAGCCAATAGCAGGGCGAGTGTTACGGACTGATTTAACTATGTCACGGAAGTAAACAAAGGACTACTATCGGTCACTCCTTGATGATAGGATAACACAAAGATGCTGTATATGTGACCCGCTCTATCGAAATCAGTCGGAAGTCGCTCATTTCATTTCAAAATAAACGTGGATTTGCGTAAAAAAATAGTTTTTCGGGGTTCGGGTGTTTTGTTTGATTTGAAATAAACAAAGTCTTGGCTTTCAGAATATGAAACTTTTATTTCCAAAATCACACGATAAATGCATTTTTGAAGCTTGTAAAGGGAAGATGACAGCTCTCACTCGCCACTCTGCTGTTCCGCAGCGCAGCTCCCCTCCCTCCGGCTGAAATTATGAATGTAAGGCGTATAGTAATCATATATAACACGGCAGGGTCCGTTACAGTTTGTTTTCATCTGATTTCAAATAAACAAAGTCTTGGCTTTCAGAATATTAAACTTTTTCGGCAAATTTAGATGATAAATACAACTTTGAAGCTTGTAACGGCATAATTACAAGCGGAGAACGGAGTAACTTGACGTCACAGCAGGCATAACAACAGCCGGTGTTTCTCGTGAGTGTTTTCCCCGGGAAACAAACACAATATACACAAACGCAAAAATACACACACACACACACTCGCGAGCTTCCCCCAGACCTGTAATCCAAATGAAAATATTTTCCCTCCGGACTATTTTGATCATTTGCTCCGCTAATAATCAATCAGATCGATGGATCCAGAGAAGAGGAAACTTTAAAGGCCTTTTTCTCAAAATGATGACTCGGTGACAGTCATTATATAATGTGACATATTTTGCTTAATATTTGGAGTACAAAAACAATCCTGATATCATTTGAAAGCTAGGAATCTCCTCTCTCCAACAGTGTATACAACTCAAAATGTGTCTTCGGGCGACTGATTTCGATGGAGCAGGTCACATATTAACATCAATTATCTTTTTACGTCATCAATCTTCTCCGTATTTCCATATTTCTTGCCTTGTCAAACTTTTGATAGAATTTAGATAGAGTCCCCTTGACGTCCCCTTGACAAAAAGTTGCTATTGTTTGTTGTTGCTTTGTGACAGCTTGTGTTAGCACTGCTCTTGGAAGTGAGAGAGAGAAATACTGGCAGGTTGATATAAAAAGAGGCATTGAAGGCATAAAGGATTGAGTCATTGAGGTGAAAAAAACAAAACAAAGACCCTCCAGCTTTGCAGCGTTTTGTTGATATCCCTCACTGGGGAACAACCTGAAATTGCGGCTGAGGGGGTCTGGGCGGAGAGTTTACTCTGCATTAAGCAGAAAGGAGTAAGCTGGTTTGTGTTTTGAAGGATTCTGAACATGCCCGGGTGATAACAACACCCCTGTCGATGCCTGCCCGGCCACTACACTATTAACTCTGCCCCCCCACTTGCTCTGCTTGTCTTTATCTTATTTACCTCAGTCTCCCTGCATTTATTACTTTCCCCTCCCTCTTTCCTAGCCGCTCTCATGCTGCTGTTATAACCTATATTTCTTACTCAATGGTGTATATCATTTCAAACACCTGTGGGAGAAAAAAGGGGTGAATTTGTTGCCTCCGCCCTCATCTGTTTGGGTAAAGCCGTATGAATGGACCCTTTTTTCAAGGCGTCTGATATCCAGCTGAGGGGGTCTATTAACCGGGCCTGCCCATGTTACAAGGTCGCCCCTCCACTAAAATGCAAGAGGAGGAAAGAATCTGAGAATAATAAGTAATCTCACTCATATTGCTATCGGGTTAGCACCTGAGCCATATAGATAACCGCTATTTTTCCAGCTCGCAGCGAAGGAAATGAAATGACGGCTTTGTCCATGAGGAGCTGTGGAAAGCTACACACACATATACACACATTTAAGCACACATGCCAAGTCAGGGCATGTGTGCTCAGGGCACCTCTAACCTCCTAAACCCTTACTGCCTTCACCTGCCTTCCTTAAGCCCCTAATTTTGGGTTTGGAAGCTAAATAAATGCGTTTGGATGAAAGTAACAAAACAAGTTATACAAATAAAACCATTTTGATGTCTATTTTAATAAATATGAAGTGAAAAGACCTAATTAATGTTGCAGAATTAGAAAATAAGACGTATCATTATTGAAAACAAGGAGAAATCAAAGTGAAAAACCTAGAAAATGCCAATTATAAGGGACGAAGTTACTCAAAAACCTGTTTGCCACATTATTCCGTTGCTCATGACTTCAACTTTAAATTCAGATGCTTCACAGCACCTGAAGGCGGCATATGCTCCTTCCCTTTCTCTCCCTTTCTGCTCCATAAACATGTATAGTATATTACTTGGGGGAATAGCCTGCGATAATTAGGTGAGATAATAGCTTAAGTCAGTCAGTTGTTATGGTGCTGAATGAGGCCCAGTAAAGCTGTGCAAACAGCCCAGAAATAACCCCCATTATCATTGCCATCATTCCTCGGCTGGCTCGCGCCTGGCAAGCCAATGCCTCAGCGTTTTTATGGCACCATTGCGCTGACACAGGCCTGCTTCCTATGGGAGCCAAGAACCATCAATAGTGCTGGATAACAGACATTCCCCCCCGCTCCGCCAGCTTGCTCTGCTTCCCGCTTTTTAAAATAAAGACTATTCATTACTGCCGTGGGACCAGCGGCCGACAGACCTGCCGTCTACCTGCGCGGCAGCGCACCAAATTGAGTCTGCCCACCGACCAAACACTGCTCTCGCTCCATTTCCTGTTGGCATACATCCTTGCGCTGGATTTCAATTTAGTGGATGCTGGTAGGGGAAGATGACAGATGCAACATGCGGGCAGGCAGAGAGGGAGCGCAGGGGGGGTTCCAAAAACTAACCCTGTCATCTTCTCAGAACAGAGACTCAAAACACTATTCATTTAAAATAACACACTAGCCTGGATAAACAAACTCGACCTATAAACCGCACATTTGAGGACAAACCTGAAGAGTGCGATTTTATATCAGACTAAGTTATGATCATTCAGCTAACTGCTTAGCTCCTAAGCAAGCATAACACCGCAGAGGGCGACACATTTTTATAGTTATGGTCTTCAAAATATGCAGGAAGAAAAAAAAGGCTACTAAAACAGTGAATGAGGTAGCATAGAGAGTCCGGCCAAGGGGCTAATAACCGCTGTGCTTCTGCCCAGTGTGTGTGAAAAGCAAAGGGCTGGATGGTAGACAAGGAAGAATACTCATTCACCAATTAGAGTCCATTGGAAAACTGGCCTTCTACAATGGCATTAAGCCATCAAGAGTTTTTTCTAAGTGGGTCTACCAAGCTGTAAGAAATCTGCCCGCATGGCTGTGTGCCTGCATAGTGGATCTGAAGATATTCTTTACCAGCTCTGCTGTGGCTGGTGTGCTAATGACTCTCTGATACTCCGACATTGCGAGACAAAGCCAAGTGCCTCATGTAGCCAACGTGGATAAGTACGGTTGGTATTCTCTTTCAGCAGGAGTAAAGTGCATCTTTACTTAAAGGTCAAAACAGGCAAATCGGAGTGTTGTTGTTGTTGTTGTTGTTGTTATGGAAGGGCTGGAGAAGAGCAGGAGGAGAGAGATGAAGAGTAATGGACCACGGATAAGAGATGCCTTAATGCGAGAAACTACAGGTTTTTCTACACTGGTCGATTTCAAAAGTTTGGGCTATTCTGCTTCATGTGGAAAGATAAAATGAAGGTGTTTATTATACAAACATTGTCTAGCTATGACTTTAAATCTCTACATAATTCACGAAAAAGCAATGCCTTATTCGTATTTTTAAGAAACATTTTTTATACAAAAAGTTTCAAAAACACAAATCTTTGAATACCGTTTCTCAATTTTCTTTGTTTTGTTTATTGTGTTTCATTCATAGCCAGACCTATATAACATCTACATACTTTTTGTAATGGCTTTTGACATAATTTGTATTTATGGGGTGATACAAAAAGATATCCTTCACTTCTTCAGTGAAGACCTTTGACTATAACTTGTCAACAAAATAAAACAATAACCAGTTTTTTTCCAATTTTCAGATTTCTGTACTGCGAATCTATGCAAATTAGTACAAACTTATTTAAACATGTAAACATAAAATGTCAAACTAAATTGAAACTTGTAATTCTAAAAATAATTGCCTTGGTGTGTGTAATCAACAGGGGGAGTTTCATGGTGATATCTATTACATATGTTCCCTATTCACCTGTAGTATTGAGAGACTTAAAGCTGTATGATGAACTGTTTTGACTTTGTTGGATATGAAAGGGAAGCCCTGAGGGGGTCACCATGATTATAATTCCATATATGTTCATTGTTAATGTCTTAGCAATATAATTCTGCCTGTGGGTAATGTAGCACCATTAATTAATTTGATCCTAATTATATTCCACAAGGAGACATCTTTCCCTACCTGTGAGCTATAATTCACAGTTTCATAGTGATTCAATGAGTGGACGGTGAATTACTGTGTAATGTAATGTGACTGTGGTGCGGCTACTCACCACAGGGTCCTTTGTGCTGGATGTGAATGGCCTTCTGCAGGGCGCAACCCATCGCTCTCATTTCACAGGGGCTCCCATAGCTGTGGCCGTCGGATCCGCACACAGGGTCCGATGTTTGCGGGCAGGCCTCGGGGCACTCGCACACCGGCTCGCCGTTTTCAACCACGCACACCGCCCCGTGATCACACACCTTATTCAGGCAGGGGCTCGGTATGCTGAGATCTGAAGGCCGAAGGCATAGAGAGCAGAGTTAGAGGAGGGGGATATTGGACTGGGTTGATGGGAAGCGGGGAGAATACATGGTAGAGGTTGGAGAGAGGTCTGGGACTGGAAAGGGCAAAGGTCACAGGGAGGTGTGTTAGAGCGTAGCTACACGGGGAACTGCAGGTTGGTTGTTAGAAAGGGAGGTATAGGCGATATGATGTAATATGCAGTACGTCTGTGTTTCTGTGACACCTCTGCTTCCTATGTCATTTCCACACCTTTGTGACTACCCTGATGTATCCTGAATCTTTAAAGAATCCGATGGCACAAGGGAAGAGGATAAAAAAAGCTAGCCCTGTAGCACAACTGAGATGAAACAGCCTACGAACAATGGCTGCACGTTTCCTTTTTTTGGGGGGCAATAAACGCCCGGATTAATTGACGTTCCCAATGTGCCCCTTCAAAGAAAGCCATTTGCATCTCAGTGAGAGCCACCGCTTCAGCCAAAGCTGCTTGAACTGACACGGAGGAGCGGGAAAAAGAGGGTGTGTGAGAGAAAGTGCAGAGGAAAAGAAAAGAAGAGTAGAAGAGAAGAAAGAGCCCTCTGCTTAATAATTCACAAAAGGCAAGCTCCTGGGCTGAGGCAGATATGAAATGTGAACATCACAGAGAGGTGTCTGCTTCAGTCTCTCCCTCTCACGCACAAGCTCCAGCAGGACTTCATTAAAACCAGGACTGGGTTTTGCACCTATGATTCTCGGTGGTGGGAAAATGGGTGTCGGCTTGGCTGATATAACTTGGCATGATCAGGAGAGAGTGGAGAAAAAGGCTACAAAGAACTCTTTGATCATGGCCTACCGTCCTGACACAATCAATTCTTTAAAGCTTCATGTGTCAATAACAAATATTATGTGGCGTTGTGGTGCTTGGGTTGATGGTTAAAGTCTGAGCCTTGCGTCAGGACGGTATACACTCTGGTATCAAGAGTAAGCAAGAGACGATAAGCGGAGTCCAATGCAATTTTCATTTGGGAAGCTTCACGCATGAGGGGCGGATCACTCAGCTAAATGTGGTGTGTCTGCAGATTGGTGGAAAAAGCAGAGGAAGGCATCAAATCATTTCTGATGAGAAGTGCTCAAAGAGGTGCATTTTAAACAGAATGTCAAGCAAACTTCCTCCTTTTCTGGTCTTTTATTTTAGCTTCTGTTAGAGGGGTTGGGGTTGCTGTCATGGAAACTGCCCCTTGTAATGACACCACCCATGGCTCCATCATTATTGCGACTATTATGGGATTAGATTGCATCACAGGGGGCAACTTGTCATGTTTTGGAGCCTCGTGATTAATTTATCAGCTCAGGATCGTTCAGTAGTAGCGCCTATGCTGGGGTAAATGATCAACGGAGGCCATTAAGTTGTTTTACGTTGATTGAAGCAATGGGATAGGTAATGCAATTGTTACCTGTTCAACTTAACTTTAAAACTTTACAACTGAGGTTTAGTGTAAAAAGGTTTGTATACTGAAGGTTATCCATAAGAAGCAATCTCGCTTGAAAAGTGAAGCCAAAATAGTGGTTGCAAAAATTATTCTATTCCTTTTTTCTAGAAGTCTATGAGAAAATGATCCAACTTATCACTTGATTAATTCACCCAGTGAACATTTCCCTAGTAAGTTTACAGTTTTAGTTTCTGGTTCCAAGGGTTTTTCGTTACAGGTTGATATTCATTTAGTTGATTAAGGTCTCATTAACAAATAATTATACTATAAAGCTGGGTATGTTTACATTTAAAGTATGCTTTCTTTAACACATGATTCTTTTTGGTCTTTGTTATTGCCAACATTTTTCTTACAACTTTAGACACTAACTTTGTCTGGAGGCAAGAGAAAACCAAGATGGCCGTCGTTTAGCACAGTTGGTGGAGCTGGTGACCCATGTACATGCGGACGACCCGGGTTTGAATCTGTCCTGGGACCATTTGATGCTCGTCATCCCCTCTGTCTCCCCCTTCCAATACTTTTATTTGAATAAAGGCACTTAGGTAGTCCAAAAACAACACCAAAGACCAAAGCGAAAGTCTACGCACCAATTGGTGACTACGCCCTCGTCATATATACAGTGTATGGTTTTCCATTATCTCCTACTATTTTTACTGCTAACTTTTGGCTTAACAAATATTTCTGGATGTCGAGCAAGGACCCCATTTTTCAAGCAAATCTTCCATACTTAGAAGGCGGAAAACATCTATTGTTTTGTGTTTGGATACCAAGCTGCTGTCTCTAAAGAGCTTGGAGGTGCTACACAAATATGTAAGCTTCTCAATGATGCTTAATTTGGCACAGCTTCAAAAACAATTGACTTCCCGTGATGTCTTTCTGACTCCTCACATATGTCTGAAAGTGTGTGTGTGTGTGTGTAACAGTCGTAAGCCTGTGATCCGGGCTTAACCGCGCAACCTTGGTCTGCATAAAAGTTCACCAGCCCACTTCCCAAGGACGGGCTCCTCAAACACAACTGCAGCCTCTGATAACGCCTTAGTCTCCTTTTCTCTTTGTTTCACACCCATAAAAAAGATGAAAGAAAATTCCCCTCCAAAACTAATTCTTTGTATCATCCTCTACCTCTGGGGGGAACCATTTCTGCCTGATTTATTAAGTGGAAAGGGTGTAAGAAAAAAAAGAAAGACATGACAATATTCCCCAAGTGTAACAATCTTATGACACAGTTAAAAAGCTGTCTTTCTCTTGGTTGCAAGCAGGAGCTTTGAAATGGCAGCCTGTCACAACTAAGGCTTGTGGGATGTTGTTCAGAAGCCTGTTCCAGCTCTTTCTCTCTCACTGGTTGCCTCCCAGACACTTAAATTCAATCTTCTTCATGCATGTATCAGTGTTCCTGTCAGCTAGGTCCAGAACAAACCAAGCTATTTTTATTTCTATGTGGGAATTAGCTTGACAGTTGAATGGGAACATCTGCAGTGCCAAACACGTGATAAGCCTGGTGGCCGAGGCATTGTTTTAGTGGCTGAGCAGGTGCAGTGAGTGGGCTGGGGAAAAGTCAGGAGCAAACTGTGAAAGAAATCATGAATATTTCTTTCTAATCAGGGCTTCTGCTGTGCGGCTGTGCACTACAGTATGATCCTGTACCATGAGGCTGGTGGAAGAGACTTTACATTCTGGATGGCACCTGAGTGTGTCTCCTTACTGCCTGCGGCTGTGTAACTTTTCTTTCTTAATTAGTGTGGTATTTGAATGGCACGGCCCTGCTTCAGGCCACGGAGGGGATTACTACAGGTTAGGCCATGCTACATCAACACGAGAGGTCTTGGATGAAAAAATTGAAAGGACATGTTCGTCCGATGTTGATATATGCCCTCCTGTCCAGTATCATTACCACCCTCTTAATGATGTTATCTGACTGGTAAAGCCACTTCTAAAGCTTAACAAATCCCCTGTAAGGTGGCCGTGATGGCACAGCACTGTCTGCCATTGCTGCAGTGAGCAGGCGCACTGTTAACCCCCTCCCCGTAACATGTCGCTGAAATGCTGGGAGATTATTTTGGCGAGAGCTTCCTCCCATCTCCGCTCAGCTCATACATATGTAAATTGGACTTTTCCCCCCTCGGGTCTGTGTGCAATTCCAAATCGCTGCCTGTTTTTTTTTTTGCGGGGCAGTGAATCGGTGTAATCCAGGTGATGCTTGTAGTAGCCAACTGGCAGGGAGAATCACCAACAACCTATTACAACGCGGGACTCCAATCTTCATCGTGCCCCGCCCTCTGTGATTTTCACCTGCAGGGCTTTGATCCGACTCCCTTTGCCTCCCTCATATTAAAAACATTTATGTATTATATTAGTCGAGGGGAAAGGGAGGTGCAGACAAAAGGCTATATTAGCATACAGCAAAAGGGATACCCGCGGGCTGTGTCTGTCTACTAGTGAACACTTATCACAGGCAGGAGGGGGGCTCTGTACATATCACAGATAGGAACACGCTGCTCTTCAAATATGGTGACAAGCAAAAAACTGCGAGGGGGAAAGAAGAAAGGCATGCTGGGATCCCTGATTTTTGTGACATGTATCCATCAGAGGTGAGATGACGTCTAAAAAGGAATCCAAAACGAGCGATATTATCCTCGAGGATTGTGACACAGGAAGTTTCAAATATGATTTCTCGATTTGATACAAAAGCAAACATAAGAGAAAATGAAAACGACTGTGCTTATTGCACGTTTAATTAAGTCTGGAGAGCTAGAGCAGAGGAAACAGGAAATGAAATCAAATAAATTGGCGGACTGTTTGGTTGATCACAGCCCAACGGCTGGTGACACCGACTACGCTTCGAGTCACTGACGGCACCCTGTTGACCCACAATCCTCGGAATTTCTGCTGGATGGCAGCCCGCAGCCCGCAGGCCGCAGTAAGTGGACCGGCGCTCCCTGGCTGCTGTCAATCCGGCTCCCTCGGCACTTGCTCTAATTAACTTGATTAGGAAAAACAGCACTAGTGATCTCAGGCTGACTCACATACCCGAGCCGCCGACTGTTTGTGAATCCAATCACTGCAGCCGACAGAGATGCTAATCAAATAAACATGCAAATAATAAAATATTCTTCATAGAGTTTTGACACCTAAGGTGACTGAATTTCCTTTCCCGCTTTGCAAAGCTCTTTGTCAATGACAATGTGTCTGCCGTTGAGTGATTTCGCGTTAACCTCCGAAGGCAACAGACGACACATTTCAAGCAACTCGCTCACACTTCCTTGAGTTAATTTTTCTTCTTCTGCGCTTGCAATCAAAAATGCACACTCAGCTGTGCACACAGAAAATGTCAAAAAAGCTGTGAAAAGAGATTTATTTACCCAGAAAAACTAGCCTCTTTCATTTGTTCTCACTTAGTTTACCTGACAATGTGTTCCTCTCTTACTGTGTGTTTCAGTGTTTTCTTAAAGAATTGTCCTCGTCTTAAAAGCCCAACTGCGGCTTGTATTTATGCTTCATGAACTACCAATTAAGAGACTCTCCACTTTCTATTCTGCTAACACCAGACGCGAGGCCAGTACGTCGACAGGCTCCAAGGAGTTGTGGTGAGCCACAGCTTCAATTGATTAAAAGTGCTACTGAATATGCCCTAAAATAGCCTGAAGGGGCAAATAAAGAAGAAAAAACACATTCTGGGAAAGAAGCAGGGAGTGATATAACTTGGGCCAAGACAAAGAAAACAAATGTTGTTGTTTTTTAGCCTAAAGAAGTTTTGAGTGAACAACTTTGCTTCTGAGTAAGTCGTTTGTGAATAACTCTCATATATTTGGCTGTTTTTTTACTGTTAGATCAGTTCACTCTCTTTTACTCTTTTACTTAAACACACACACTTACACAACCGGGTTAGGGACAACTCTTCACGGTGATTGAACCATGTCCTTTCAAAGCTTCATTACTCACGCTGCAGCTCCGAATATCTTTACATAAAGCTGCAGGCACTATATCTCTGGTCCAAGCAAAAGCACATTAAGCAGAGTACATTACACACAGGTGCAATGAGGAGTTGAGGACCCACTAAGCTATTTTGATCATTATTGGTGAAAGCACGGTATATGTGGACTACCTTCTGTCTTTTCCTGACAAATCATCAGCATTTTACAGCTTTAAAGCTGAAAATATAAGAATCCTTTTGATGAGCCTTGAAAGAACCAACCAAATAAGGAAGCAAGAAAAAAATAATTTGAGTCTTTGAAAACGTTAGCGTGCCAATGTACCACTATTGGTTGGTCCTCTAAATAGAAAACTGCACCAATATCCAACCCTGCACGCACACTTCCATGTTTATTTCGTGCTGCTGCCGTGCTGTGCTGACATCATACAAGTAAGGGAGAATAAAAAAAACTTTGAGTTTTACTTAAGCTTAAAATGTTCTGTATGATGAAACATGATGAAATAAAGCCCAGAGTAGAAAGGAATCACAACTGTTGATTTGGATGCCAAACCAGCTGCCTCTTTGGTGATGAAATATATTTTCTTTCTTAAGTGTCACAGCACTTAAGATTCAAGGTCACGGACCGGTCCACTCTCCTTCCTGGCACCCGGGTCTGGAAAATCCTTCACATGCTCAAGTCTTCTCGGACTTCTCGAAAAGATTTGTGACTCCGCCTGGATGTAAGTTAATCAGCTAAAAGCCATGCATCTCAATCTGTAAATTGACCAGCTTTAGATATCAATCAAATAGTTCCGGGGATGACAGCAGTCGGGAAATATAGACATGTGTTGCATGACCGTTCTTTGTGGAGGCGAGGGTTGACATGGGAGGGGGGAGGGGCGGTTGATATTAGGGCGCTGTCAACCACATGAAAGTAGATTTACGACGGTGCCAGAACTGGAGAATTTCATCCGTTTGACAGCTGACAGGGCGATCGATCACCCGGCCCCGACGCACCACTCAGCCAATGAAACAAGGAGGGGGATCGTTATTTATCAAATAATGATAATTTAATATATCAAACTCTTCCTTTGCAGATGCATGAAAGTTTGCCTGAAGCCTTCAAATTCTGTGCGCCACGATCACACAGCGAGCATTGTGGAGGCTTCTTTTGACACTGCCAGTCACTGTCAGAGTACAAGCACAATAGAGCACAATAGAGCACAATAGAAGTGTGTGTGTGTCTCACATTGTATACAGTGTGTGATCAGAGTGGGCTATTGATCCATCTCTGACAAGGCAGGCTTTTCAGAAGATAGAAAGACGCACCGAACACAAATTCTCATATTGCATTCATCCGTTTTTGGAAAGTGCTTTTTTTATGTCTCTGTAACATTGACTTAATCCTTCTAATAGTGTGTTTACTTATTAAATGAAAATACACAAATGTGTGCCATGAAGCGCTATTTACGGCCTGTATTTATTCTCCATTAATGTATTTGCGTGACACTGTGGCGAAAGCCTATCAACGTCTGGTTCGCCGGACTTTCTTGAATCAATCTTAAATAGAGGGAAAAAGCCGTTAAAGATGTCTTGTATGTTTTAAATGCCAGTGAGTTTTTATATTTGTAGTCAATCATGCTGCTCTCATTTTATGACTAATTTAACTGACATTCTTTTATGTTTTGATGAACTCTTTCAAAAAATTAAACAATTAACAATTGGTTTGCTTGTTCTCTTGCTGACAGCCCCCAAAAAGCATGAATTCAGACTTTTTTTTAATACAATTTGGCATCAAAATGTAGTTATTACGGCATTCTTTTGATGCGTTAATTGCAATTAAATCACAACAAAATCTGATTGCTTTGGCTCGTACCGCTGTAGTTAACCAGATTAATTCAGCTGCGCGAAGATTCGAGAAGAAGAGCCTAAAAATCCTTTTGCGTTAAGTGTGATAAAACACTGACAGTAAGAAACATAGAAAGATCGGGGACGGAGAAAGAAGACGGAAAGAAAGTAAGAAAGAAAGTTCTAACATGTGCATGGACAAACACACACATGCCTGCATATCATCTGTCTGACTAAACCAACAGTCTCTGTGGGCACCTACGCTCGCCTCTTTTGATGTTTAATTAAAACTGAATAGAGGGAGGGGGGCGTTTGTGGCGCTGTGTTTTGAAAAACTATGCAAATGTCAATAAAAATGCATTAAAGAAACATACAACCAGTCGCTGACGGCTGCGATGCGCAAGGGAAGGGAGGAAGGATGAAGAGAGAGAAGGCATGTAAAATAACTAAATAACTGAGGGAGGAAGGGGAGGCTGAAACACCACTTGGCAGAAATAATGAAACTGAGCAAAACACATAAGAGCTCGCACTGCCGGTTCCCCGTATTTAATTTATGCACAGCGCAGATGGACAAATAATGCTAATGAGAGCTGGAGCCTCCCGATGCTGACAACTGGAGATAACTTTGGTATTCAGCTCCACCCTGACGCCTGGGGGACAGACACGTCTCTCTCTGGTTTTATCACAACAACAATGGCAGTGTGGAGGGACACTCTGGACAAAATAACACACCGTGTCTGCTGTGTGGATTTGTTGGTTGAGGTATTATGTATGACACCAAGCAGCACAAGCTTCGGGTTTATCATGCATGCTGGGGTATGGGGTTATGATGGGAAACAAACAAAAACGGTTCTAATTCAGGAGATGGTTCAAATACTACAAGATCAGCCGTCAAAACTCACTTATTAAGAGGTGCTAACGTGAAGGTACACCCAATTCAAAGGCATAGATTACTGTCAAAGCTCTTGTTACTTGTTGCTAGATGTTACTTTTCTCAGGAAGGAAGATCAGAATGAATGTAAAAAATGAATAAATCATCATTAATTCTAAGTTAGAAAAAGTTAGTTAGAGGTTTGACTGTTATATGAATACATAGAGTACAGTTTAGGTGCGAAAAGTGTGAAACCTGCAAATGATGTCACAGGAAATTTGACAACTGTTTTTCAAATGTTATCATTTCTGTCAAGTCAACACATCTGTTCAAGCCTGTTCAACTCCCGAATGGATACCTACCAATAGTTGTTTACAATTTTAATTAAAGAATGGCCTAATTAAGTTTACCCACGATTTTTCACATTTAATGCTAATGTTTTAAAAATGATTTTGCTTTGGCTAAATTGTTTTGAATCATAACTCAAACCTTAAAGAAGCAGAAATAAGGGATTCCAACCTAACCCTAGCATTAGAAGGAATGCAGTCAAACTACAACCATAGTGATGGTTTTAATCTCAGAACTGGCAAAAAAATATGGATATGTTTGCATTCATTGGCCAGGTGCAAGTTTTATGAGGTGATGGTGAGAGGGGTTGTGAGGTTTAGAGCTTGCATGCATTTCTCTGCATGCATAAAAACAGGAGTCAGATGTGAGCGGTGTTAAGGCAGGTAGGAACAGGAGGAGGTTGTTTTTGTTGACAGGAAATAAAGCACAGAGAGCAGGGACAGAGGAAGACTTCTCCAACCTCACGGATCACATCTTTTCAGCGGGGTAAACAGACGGAAAGGACATTGATGACACAAAGAGACAGAAGGAGCGAGAGGAAAAAGACAGCTGTACAAGACCCCTGCTGTTAGGTCCTTTGGGAGCGAGGGGGAGGGCTTCACCCCTCAGAATCCACCTGATGAGGTCGCCCACTGGGTGACCCCACTTTCCACCTGCAGCCAGACAGCCAGGAGGACGACCACAGGGACAAAGACAGACAGACAGACTGAGTGACGCACTGAAACAAGAAAGAATAGCTTTTTTATATACAAGAATAAGCAACACACAAGAGACAAAGACAGAAGAGGAGGGAGGGGAAAATACGACAAAAGCCACCGAAGTGGAAGACTTGCACTGGTGAAGGAGTAGAAAACAGAGAGAGTGAATGAATGAAACATGAAGGTGGCGTTTCATTTAGTTTGAGATGGAGGGATGGAGCGTGACAGGGATGAGGAGATGGATGGGAGGTGGAGGAGTGAAGGCACCGGGTTTTTTTTGTAAGGAAGGCACACAGTCGGCTTGAGTTTCCCCAACAAACCCCCCTTCTTCAAAGAGCATCACTGAACCATTTCTCAGTAAAGCACAGACATACAAACAGTTGGCCTAGAAGATAAAGAAGGGGAAAACACACATTGAATATGCATTCAAAGTAAGCAGGGAGAGTTCCTTTCTCTTCCTCCGGCTCCACTCACCACAGGGCCCCTGGTGCTTGATGGAGATGAGGGTCTTGCTCAGACACTCGGTCTTGCGTCGCATGCAGTCGTTGGTGTAGCTCTGGCCGTCCTTGCCGCACACGGGCTTGTAGGTTCCGTCGCACTCGATGGGGTCGCAGGAGCAGCGGGCGTTCAGCTGCTCCACCAGACACACGGCGTTGAAGAGACACTCCTCCTGACAGTCATCTGGAAGAAGGAGACGGGGAGAAAGGCAAGGCAAGTTTATTTATATAGCACCTTTCAACACAAGGCAATTCAAAATGCTTCAGAGAAATGAAAGACAAAAAGGGAATTTATATAGAATTTGTGGATTGTCCAAATGGTAAATGGACTAGATTTACATAGTGTTTTTTTGTTTGTCTTTGTGACACCCCAAATTGCTTTTAAATGTACAAGTCAGCCTTCACCCGTTCATTCCTAGAGAGGCAGATGCTTCCATAAAAGTCGCCACCTGCTCTAACCCTAACCCTAACCTTCACACATGAGTCCATTCCATTAGGAGCAGGTTGGGGAGATGTATCTTGCCCAAGGACACATTCACATGTTGACTTCAGGGGAATCGGGATTGAACCCCTGACCTTCCGATTGGAGGATAACCATTTACCTCCTGAGCCAGAGACTATATGGATTTCTCTTTTGCAGACCAATCGGCAAACTTGAATGGAAGCATTTGTTATTGTAACATTTTGCCACTAAAGACTGTCAGGTTCTCTTTTATTGTCAGACGTCTTTAAACATTTTTAAGAGTTGGTTTCCAGTGATTATTTAGGTAAAAGTATGACAGGCTGATTACTATTGAGGAAAGGACAACAGAAGAACTCTGCAAGCGTAAACAAATATTTCAAACTAGAAAACTAGGAGTCTGATAACGGGCACATTTTGATTTCCATTCAAACAGTAATTACATGTTAGGGTGGACTGATGCCGTTGGTACGGGTAAAAGCTTTTCTTTCAGCAGCAGAAAGGCGGTTTAACAACTCACCAAAAATGATTATATGTTACCATGATTGAGTTAGTTGTAGTGTATTAGTGGTTTTAAGAATAATTAGGGACTGTTCACAACTAAAGAAAACAACAAAAATCAATGTTATTATATTTTAATAGAAGAAGTAATAACACATTTAGACAGATCAGACAAATTAGGTTTAAGAGCTGGCTGGTGTACGGATAGGGTTAGGGTTACGTCTCTTTATTACTTTATGTGAGTATTTGCCTGGTTATTGTAGCGGTCCATTTGTTGTTGTCTTAGAAATCTTTCATGTTGTATTTGCTGAACTTGAGGTCAATTCTCTGGAGAGTAATGATTGCTCTTACCGAACAAGACTTTGGAGGATGAACCTTTTAGATGTTATTTGAAAGTAATAGTTAGCAGTAGTTCCTCTTCAGGATAGTGTGTACTACATTTAAGAAAAGTTTCTTAACTTTTGGGACAAAGAAATCCCACTTTGTAATTGTTAAGCCATGATAAGTATCACGTTTGCCATGCTCCCAAACTTAAATGAAAAAAGTTCCCCAAAAACTTTATTAAATTAGAAACCTCAAAGGAATTAAATATTTTTTAGGGTCAAGTTAAAGTCTAAACTATTATATTCATTACATTTTGACTCGCTAAGCAGAAATCTACAGTATAAATTGGGAAGAAAGAAAGGAAAACTGCTAATGTGCGACGGCAAATTTGCCATTGAAGTGAACAAATCCAATTTGAAGCAGGCCTCTGTTCTGGAGGCGCCCACTAGGCTTGGAATGTATTTCATTCCTGATCAGTGGATCAAATTTGTACAGCAATTCAATTCCTTCTTCTGCTTTCTTTAAAAGCCTGTCATGCCACACTTAATTACATCGCCGCTGTATCTGAGCGAGAGGGCTACAAGGATGTGTAATGTCATGGTTATAAGTCGAAATGGCAATTTTCATTACGACACCAATTTGTAATTTGCTTTGGGATATGATTTCATGGATCTCTGTTTTAAATTGAATTATTCTTTCATTTGAAAGAGGCAGAGAAGAAATGAAAAAAATAAAAGAGATCATCCATTTGCTCAAGAACATAAAGTCAGACTGGGAATTTGTGCGATTTTAATCCCCCCGCTCCTCCATCAGTCTGTCAAGCTGAGCGGACAGGAAGAGTTGTGTGTGTTTAAGAAGTGTGTGTCAGACTTCTTTGTTGACTGTACCACAGGGGGTCATGCAGCGACCTATTCTGGTCTTTGGTGTTGTCAGGGGGTCTCAGGACATGACTGAATCAACACAACTGTAGGTTTATCGGGCCCCCAGCCGACAACACAGCGGGGAAAAATTGGATTTCCTCCGATGGTTATCAGATGTACAGTAAAAGCTGACAGGTCTGTGTTGACAGAGGCTTAAACCCCCTGTTCTAATAGCACAGATAACAACCCTGCAGCCTCTTGTCTGGCCAGAGGAGGCTACTGCTGGCATGGATACAGAACGGACTCCAAGACCCCGGAGTCATTTATCTCTGTGCCGAGCAGCGGGACGCAGTTACACAGTCAACTACAGTACACCTGATCAAATATTAGAAAAAAGTCATGTGTATTGGACATATCACCATGGGTTGCAAATGTTTTGTGACTGTTTTGCCTCCTGCATACTCAAACCCATACATACAGTTTTCTGATTTCTGTTCAGTAGACCCATGTCGTGCATTTGGAAGCAAATATCTTAAGAATATATGACATTGTTGGGGTGTTCTTAAGTTGAGTCTTCAGATGTGTTGTCTCCAGAGCACTGTAGATGAATTAAAGGGGCCCTTATATGCTTTTCCGGTTCATGTTTGGGACTTTGTTGACTGTTTACATGCACAGACACCTACAAACTACAGGAAAGGGAAAACCCCCCAAAAACACAAGGCTTGGGCATTCTTTATGAAAATTAGAACAATAGCCAATTGCTGGTGGATCAGTTGGTTATAAAAGGTTACATTTCAGAAAGGATAGTTTGAGTTGCTAGATTGTGTAAAGTATTGAGCTGATTTAGCTCAAGTCATAGCTATCATAACAACGCAAAGTAAGGGTGAAACCATAAATGGCTTGACTAACAGTGGGACGTAAAAATAAAAAGCCTGCATTGGAGTTACGAGTGTGTGACTTTCCCTTACTTCCTTTTATGTCTACCCACTAGCAGACTTGTTTTCTTCTTCCCTCAGCTCCACAATAACCGTGCTTTATGATGGAGCAAGATTCTGAAAAGTTCTAAATTGAAGCATCCCAGTTGACTTTCAAACAAACTGCCCTTACCCTGCCTTCTGCATTTCCCATTGTGGATCTTCTTGACCTTGATGCCTTTCCGCCTGCCGGTTGCTTCCATGGCGCACTCGCTGGGGTATGTATGTCCGTCACTGGCACACAGAGGCTCGCCCCCCGGGGGGCACGACTCCGGCAGGGGAGAGAAGATGGACTGGCGGGTGATGCTCTCCACCCGGCACTGCGTGGTCAGACTGTTCTCATTGTCTTTACATGGGTCTGTGGAGAGAAACACCTTCATGAAGCCAGGAACGTCAAACACTTTTATCATGGATTACATTTCAAAATCTATTCTTGTTAATTAGACCCTGTGGGATTGAAAAAGAGAGCTTTAATCAAAGAACATATCAGTCAATCTTTGTTCCTCTGTAAAAAACAGTACAGCAATTACTTGGCAGGAGAAAAAAAAACATTAGAATATATCAGGATGTGGTCAGGTCCTTTTTTTTAAATGCCAGTAAACAACAAAACGGTTGGAAGCATTAACTTTTGTTTGCATAGTAAATTGAAAAAAGAAGAGACGAGAAAAGACAAGGAAAGGGAAGAGCAGACATGACCCTCCATCACTGTGGCTCCACAGATACTATCAGGGGCTATCAAGGATGTAAAGTTGAGACAAGGAAATGGATGAAGAAACGGTGCTTCGATTTGCTCCCTGGCACCAGGGGACTGTCGGCTTGGCACGTTGGCCGTATCAGCCGTGATCATAATGGAATTGGTTTGTGGATGTGAGGGACGGGACGGGACGGGGGGGAGTGACTTCATGTTATAGGAGCTTTATCCTGCCCGCCACGCATTTCAGCATGTAGGAAGACAAAGGATTTATGTAGCACCGTCACTTATCGAATCGCTGCCAAGCTGCCGGCGACTTATTCAAAACGCACCGAGGATGAAACACCCTATCGTCGGGAAAGGACAACACAAAGAGAGAATAAGGGGGAATGGTTTCCAAAGACCTCTGGCAGGGATGCAAGGAGCAACAATGCGGAGACACAAAAAGGGAGTTTGGCGGCGGAAGGGCTCGGAGGCCGGAGTGAGCGCTCGGCTCTGGCCAGGCCTGGGATTGTCTTCTATCAGCACAATGCAAAGGCTTGCAGGGACTAGTAACCAAGCAAACAGGGTTTTTTTGTATTTATCGTAATGCATGCAGGGTCTCGGCATGACGCAGTGCCTCATCCGCCAGCCAGGCTATTATCTGAGAGAAAGACCATTACCTCCCATAAAGTGAGAAGAACAGCTTCCAGGATCCATGCTTTAGTCTAGCTGAGCAAGTAGGGTAATTACAAAAAGAATGGCCTGTTTGCTGCAAAGACTAGCCGTGCGTATAAATCAAACGCCTTTGTCCAGCTAGGGCTAGCGACTTGAAATAGCAGAGGCTTTAGATGAAATGGCTGCAGGGAGATTTAGAGGACCATAAGGGCCGATTTGTCCCCCAAGCCCTGGCCTTCCCCAGGGAGGTTGGGCCAACTCAGGTCACTTTGGCCGACTCCGGCTGGATTTATACGAGCAACCTTAGGCTGGCGGACCTGCACATCCATCTCTCTTTCCCCAGCATGCTTCTCTGTCTCCCGGAGGCTCAGGCTGCTGAGAGACAGAGCTGCTGTCTGCTTCTCTTTCCCTCCATCTGGCTTCAAACAAACAAACAAAACCTCAAAGTTGAGCGCCTCGGGAGTAAACAACTATCGCCTGATGATAACAAGGATGAGCAAAAAAAAGAAAGAAAGCCGGGCCCCGACGATAACGACAGCGGCGAAGACCTACTTAGAGAAAACAACAATTCGCACCGCAGGAGTACCTTTGTGAAGCAAAGCAACCTGAATGAAAAATGAGAATTAGCAAAGGCGTGCCGTAAGTAAGGGGGGTTTGTGGAGGAGAAACAAGACAAAAAGCCAGAGGTAGCACACAGAGAAGAAAAGGAGAAGAGAATCTTGGAGAAAGAAAAGTAGTGATTCCTGTCATTTATCAAGAAAAAGTGCCCCAAAAAATGAGCATCCAGCAGCTCAATGTGAGGAATCTCTGCTTTTCACTTGTTTGTCATCATTATCTCTGCAAGGTGTAAGCCTGTAGGGAGATCATGGTAAGTGTGAGTGTGTGTGTGTGTGTGTGTGTGTGTGAGTGAGTGAGTGAGTGAGTGAGTGAGTGAGTGAGTGAGTGAGTGAGTGAGTGAGTGAGTGAGTGAGTGAGTGAGTGAGTGAGTGAGTGAGTGAGTGAGTGAGTGAGTGAGTGAGTGAGTGAGTGAGTGAGTGAGTGAGTGAGTGAGTGAGTGAGTGTGTGTGTGTGTGTGTGTGCGCGTGCGCGTGCGTTTATCTGTCTTTCCATAGCTAATCTCAAAAATAATATTGATCCTTACAGTATTATTCGTTTTGTTTTGTTTTGACTGATTGATGATTGTATGTTTTGAATTGAATTGTATGCTCAAGGACCTCTCATTGTTGCGGTTTAAAATCAATACAAATGTTGTTTCCAAAAAGTGTGAATCAGAATCAGGTATTCTGATTCTGATTCACACTTTTTGTAAACAACATTTGTATTGATTATAAACCGTCACTGACTCCCCCCGATTGCTTCAATAGGAAAAGGTATCTCCTAAATGGCTAGGTCTTTTTCGTGACTCAAAAACTGACTGGTCAGTCTAAGTTTTAACAATAGACAATAAATATGATTTCCTTACCCTATAAGTAATGATCCCCTTGAGATGGCATGAGATGGTACAAATACAATTTGGTCATCTTGACGGGACAATTTAGTGAGGTTCAACTGTTTTGGTCTTTGATGAGTGCTTTTTCTAGTTGTAATTGTTGTAAATCATAACAATAAAAAGTTGGTACCTTGGGCTTTGACAAACTCTAATGGCCACTTTTCTCCTTTTGCTGGACCCCCAATAGACTAAATGAATGTATCAGTAAAATAAAGAGACAGCTCACCGCAGTTCCCTTGGTATTGCACTCGGATGTTCTTCTGGTTCTTGCAGGCATGCTGGTGGAGCTCACACTCGTTGCGGTAGTCCTTCCCGTCGCTGCCGCACACGGTCTGTTCGCGCTTGCCCTCGCAGCCGAGGGGACACATGCATTTAGCTGACACGCCGTCCGAGGACTCGGCGCAGGTGCTGCCGTAGCTGCAGGTCACCTCGGAGCAGGGGTCCGTCAGAGCTGCAGGCAGAGACACAGACATGAAAACAAGGTTTAGTAAAAGCAAAGGAGGGGAGAATACAGCTGTCAAGACGCTGAACTCCGGGACACCCTCTGTAACTGTACACTGGAGTGCACCATGGATGACAGGCCACCTTGTTTAAGTGGCTGCTGGAAGCTCAGAGCAGTTATTCTGGGTTTTGAAGAAGTGCTCGACACCCCTGGGTAAGGACGAACTGCCACAGCTGTGTACTGCTACAAACACGGTTGGTTTCCAATTGATTCAGGAGCTTTGCATTCACAACACATTCTCTATTGCTATGCTCGAGCATGCTTTAATCGACACGGCTGAAAAGCAACCCTCTGAATATTTTCCTTTCCACAAATGAGACTCAGAGAGAGAGGTATTCCCCCCCGGAGGACTTTGTTTCCACTCTAATTAAACAGCGTGCCACTTGTCGCTGAGTGACTCACTCCAACGATAGGACAGGGTGCAACTTTTTAATTCCGCCCGTATTCAAGCTTTTTCTCTGGATTCATATGCTTGACAAAAGGCGGCCATCAGATTACTATCGCTGTCATCTCGCTGCGTGATACATATTTATGACTGTCATGGACAAACACGCTCTCCCGTGAGAGCGCCGGCAGCCCTCTCATTTCCTAAGCCTGCCACTTTTAGAATAAACATTTACCCATGTCTGATATTATCCCCTCTTTTGTTACAACCAACATGAAGGATTTAATTTAAAGGAAGGTGGGTATATTGAATCGCATATATGGTGCATTTTGTTTCAGGACTAGAATGTGCGCAGCAGATATATTATGGATGTGTAAGGAGACAGTAGTGCTACGAGGAGTGCTCTTGATCAAAGGATTCCCCCCCACCTCGCTTTCCTCATCTTCAGGACACATTTTTTTTCTACCCCCATTTCTTTTTCCGCCCCGCTCCTGTCAAGTCCTTTTGAGGTTCGGTGAGGGAGACTCGCTAACGAACACTTTTTCATTTTATATGTGTACTGTATTGCAGCAGGGACTGGCTCTAGGCATAATTTATGACAAAGACAGCTCAGAAGTAACTTCAAAATAAAGTACTAAATTATAGCTCTAGACAAGGGGAGACTCATGGGAAATGACTTAGTGAAATCATAAGTCATTGTGAGCCATCTGTGGTGCTTTTAGAGGCAGACAATGATGACTAGATAGCGATTGGGTCTAATCATGTGAACAATGACACACTGATGGCGCCGCGGAAATGACCTTGTTGCCAGAACAGGTAAAAAGTCCTGTTAAATCACACACGCTACAATCACTACACAATTCTCACTTATAAAATAGCACTTGTTCTCTAGCGTATAGCAGAAACAACCTTCAGCCATTTTGTTTTGATGCACCTGCTGTTGAAGATGGTTTGAGTAGGCGTGTGTCCTGCCAAGTAAAAGCACCTTGTCTGGGCGCTTCTGTAAATTGGTGGTTGTTAAGGCGGCAGTCACACCTCCCGAGAAAAAGAGAAGGAAGAGGAGGAAAGAAGCCCAGAGATCTTCTTCAACCTCCTCGCACTTCTTGATCTCATTAAATAATAGCCCAGGCTTTCTCTTCCGCTCTACCCCAGCCTCCCTTACCAGCGTGTTGACAGCTAATAAGGGTGGGGGCGACAGTAAGGAGCACAAGAGCAACGTAGAATAGGAAGCGGAGGTAGGGGCTCCTGATTTGAATGCTAACAGGGGCCCATTTGGATACGAAGCGCCGCCTCGATGGGGTGTTAGTGCAGATAAGCCTCCCTTCTCAGACTCAGACAAGAAGACAAATTGCTTGAGCGAATGTGATCTGTGTAACAAACCCATATGACTGAAAAAAGGAAAAAAAGAGAAGAAGAAACACGCTTGCTACAGCAAACATCACGGAGTTCTCGCTTATATTTTCTCATTATTATCATGTGAAAGGTGGCAAAAAAAAAAAAAAGAGTTGAGAAGTGTGCAGAGCTGGATTCGCTAAATTAGAATGATCCTCGGTGCCAATTAGATCAGTCTCCTCTCGCTGGAGGAAAGCTCAGCGAGAGTTTAGATGGCAAGGATAATGAGAAATTAAAAAGCAGATAAGGATACAGATAGACTGGGCGATAAAGACAAAGTGACACTGAAGTTGGCGTTCCAGCACAAACAGAGATGAGATCACTAGCCTATGAGTAGAGAGGAGCCCGAAGAATGGCCAACTTTCTGGGGGCCAATATAGGGCTGTAGGAATGAGTCCTACCACTTACTGTACGTCCTCTTAATTTAAACTCAACAGTATTTTTAGATGTTTTTTGCTTAGATGCCTCAACATATACCTGTGCCATCATTAGCAGAGCATTATGAGAGATTTTCACAATTTGTTGTACAACATAACATACGTAGATAAATAACCCCACTGTGAGCCATCTGTGGTGCTTTTAGAGGCAGACAATGATGACTAGATAGCGATTGGGTCTAATCATGTGAAAAAATGTTGTGATAAAAAAGGTGGTTGCTAAAAGGTGTGTAAATGAGACAACAAAATGTCATCACGGCAAACATTAGCCACCTTTAGCTTAGCGGTGATGAGTCACGCAACTATTGACTAGGTTATTTTAGCATTGCGTTTGCTTTTACTTTCTGGCAATTGCATTTACTGTACGCTTCAAAAATCATTAAAGTGGTGTAAATATTTGGAGATTACCAGTCTCAACTAGTATTATAAACATCTATTTGCTAAATATCTTTCTACAAAATTACAAAAAAACTTTGTTTTTTTTTGCTAACTTCTGGCTCAACCTACACAAATACGTCATTACTGCAATGCTCTATTCAACACTATCACTTGATTTATCCACATGAATTTCCCCACAGCTTATTTTCCAAAGGACTTTGGACGTATTCCTGCTAGTTAATCAAAGTCAGACCTGGATTTGATTGGCTCTCTAACTGAACAATGGCTCCAAGTTTTTCTAATCACAGGCATGCATCATTTGGATGGACACACCTCCTGGAATATCTACACTCAGCAGGTTTGCTCTGTTTGAATCAGAGTGCCGGCGCTGCCTGCCAGTTGGAGAAGCATTGTCTTCCTGCTAATTGTGAATTCAGGTGCCGTAGCGAATCCTTGATACACACCTTCACCTCCAATCAATCCGAGCTGCAGATATGACTTCAAGAGAAATGTTGAAACAAATCTGTTTAATGCCAGCAACTCTGAGTCTGTCCTCCAGCATGCATACAAATGCAATATTTATCTTTAAGTTGTGCAGTATCCTTTGCAGTAATACTACATTTATTTGCACGTTAGAGAAAATAAAATAACATGCGCTCTGCAGCTTGGAGTGCAGAGCTGCTGAAGGTTAAGTGGTACTGAATAATACTGGGTATTCCAGCCATTATCTGGCTTAATCATTAATATTTTAATATTAATGCAAAAACACCACTGTATATTTTGTAATATAGGCATTTTAATAAATTTCTTGTTATATATTATAGTACAATGTGCACGTTTTTACCTTTACTTCTTTTGTTTAGATTATTATGTTTCTTTTTATTGCACGTTTTACTTGAATTTGTTAGGTTCCTAAATGTGTAATAATATTTCATTTTATATTTTTATTGCACAATATTTACGTTAACTTCTTATGTTTGTAAAAATATATGTATTCTTTTATTTATTTTAAATCTCATTTTATTCCTGAATGAAGCAACTTTCACAAAAACATGTAATGTTCTGATTCATATGATTGATTCTGCTTATGTATAATATTCTAATTATGCAAGGTCTCATTTTACTGAGTATAACGTTGACATCATGCAAACTAAGAAGTACAGAACTTTCAGAAGAATAATCTGGAGAGCAGGTGATGTCTCCCTGAAAATTGGGGCAGAGGGGTTTTTGGAAAGAGGGGGGATTACAGTGATCCTTTCCCCTCTCATCTCTCCCCCTGGCAGCCAGCAGACAGCCAGGCAGGTTGGGGGTAGGGGAGGGTGGGGGGGATTCAGCTTCCCTCTGATCCACTGTTTTGCGCTGCATTTTATTAATGCTTCATTAGGGACAGGTAACTGTCAGCGCCATGCTGGCTTTACCTGATGCCCTGCCGCCACGATAACTGCAGCAGCCAGTGTGTGTGTGTGTGTGTGTGTGTGTGTGTGTGTGTGTGTGTGTGTGTGTGTGTGTGTGGTGTGTGTGGAGATTGTGAGCATTCACTTACTCCGCTTCACATTTGCAGGCAGCCATGGAGTTCAGATAAGTCTGGCAAGTGAGTTTGTGATATATATGCGTGAGTGTGTGTGTGTGTGTGTGTGTGTGTGTGTGTGTGTGGGGGGGTGCCTCCCGTTGTGCTGCTAGTGATAAGGGAGGGAGCAGGGGGTTGGAGCTAATCAAATGCAATGATGCGATGTGGGGGGACTTGGCAGTGTGTGTTCTAATCAAGAACCCACCCCCCAACCCCATCACCAGCAGGAGAAGAAGAAGAAGAAGAAGAAAAAGAAGAAGAGAGAGATGGGTAGCAAAAAAGAGAGAAAGAATGTGACAGAGAAGAAAAACAGCAATGAGGGGATTTATTTTCATGCTGTTGAAAAAGAGCAGAATGATGGAAATAAACACTGAACAGTAAACCAATATTTAAATTACTGGAAAAAATTGTATTTGCTTAAAGGTTGAGAGAGAGGCATTTGGACCATACATTGTATTTAAAAAGGGGATGTAGTGTGTGGAGAAAAACTCTGAGATACTTTCATGCACACAGAACCTATACAACACACTACAGGAAAAGGAAACTAAAAAGCCAAAAAGCAGAATAGGGCCTCTTTAACATTTAGTGCCTATCCAACCTAGCTGAAACATGAACGCTTTTCTAACTTGTTGTTAATGCTTTGTTTCCTACAGTAATGCACTGTGTAACTTGAAATCCTTTTGTTTACAAGTGTATGTAATCTGCGCAAAAATCCTAATGGATGCAGTTTATAGTAGCCTCAAGAATGTAAAGTAAAAAGAAATGCGTCCATAGCACTATTTATTTTATT